CCAGATTAGCGTCTCATAAATTCTGGATACCGTAATCTAGCCACCAATTGGCATGCTAGCATAGATAATTTGCGGAAAATCCCAATTTTCTCGCGATTACCGTAGCCCCGTAGCCATAAAAATCGAAAATTTGGATTTTTTAGGGGATTTTTAGAAACCGTACTTTCAGGTGGCTGCGGCCTCGGCAGCGGCATCAGCCTTTGTGAATTCTGCGTCACAATACGCCTCGCAGTACGCACAACAATTCGCCCAGACAACACAGGTAACTTTCGACAACCCATTTTCGATCCATATCGATCCATAGATTTCCCTTCAACGCCCCTTTAATCCATACCATAATGCTTTTGCTAACAATTCAGAGAAAAATTAAAATTATGCCCCTGGCTTTGTGGTGTGTGCTTGGATTTTCGAGAGAAATTTGTAGTTTGTAGCCGAGACTACGGGGGGACAGACTATAGACTACACCAAAATGTAGTCTAGCTATTTTGGCTACAGACTACAGAGTACAGGGTGCTGAAGAGTTACAACTAATTTGAAGCCTGTAGCTTGTGGTCTTTTTGGCTTGCCTACAAGCTGTTGCTAGAAGTGGTGGTTGTTTTTTGGTGTTTTATAGTCTGTAGCCCCAGTTGTAGTTCGTATTCTTGCCGGTTAGGCTACAAACTTGGTTATTAGGCCGTTTTTTGAGAGTTTTTAGTTAATTTTCTTAATGTTTGGACGTATTGCGTCGCCTGTAGTTCAGTGTGTAGCTTGTAGTCTGTATTCGTTTTAGCTGGACTACAATCTTGGTTTGTAAAGTTTTTTTAGGGTTTTAGGACGGTATTTTATAGCCTCTGTAGCCCGTTTTGTGGTGTGTAGTCTGTAGTCTGTCTCCCCCTGATCCCCCAGCTTGTTTTGAGGTATCTCCGTGTCTCTCTTTCCAGCATCCATCCTCATCAGTTGCCGCTCAGCTCGACCAGAATAATCTGCAGAAATACAGTCAATATCTCGACATTCTCCACAAGCATTATGGCATCCAATTGCCCGGTGCTCTCTCCGCCCATGTATGCCCTTTTTATACGTTTATTTATTCATTAAAATACTCACCGAAATCTGCCCTAATTTTTCTGAGTTTTTGCCGTTTTTTAATTCTTTTTATTAGGTTTTCAATCGTTTTTTTTTAGTTGTTCAAGCCTTAAAAAACTTTATAGTTTGAAAACATCATATTTAAACAGAATTTTTGCTATTTTTCACTAAACTGCCATGCAAATCATTATAAAAAATTATCAGCTATTGTAAAAATTATGAATTTTCAATGCTAAAATTTTCTAAATCACCACAAAAATTCAAAAATAATTTTTTAATGAAATTTAATGAATTTTTATACAACTTTTTTCCATTTTTCGCTCAACTGCCAGAAAGTCGATATTCTAAACTTCAAATATTTTGAAAATACGACTCCGCCACCACCACACCAGCACAAATTCCCGATTTTTCAGCCGAAACCCGTGACCCCATCCCCACTGGCCATCCAATTCCCACCACAATCTCCACCTGCACAGCCACAACAGCCCTCCTCTGCACAGGTACCGTATACCTCCAAAAGCACGATTTTAAAGGAGGCATCAAGGCAAAATCTAGAGCAAAATTTGGCTGCACGTCACTTTAAAATGCACGGCACGCGAATAGCACAGCGGCAATTTTACTAATCGCTAAACTGGCATGAAACGCATTAAATAACGTATTAATTATACTATTAAAATCAGGGATTTATTCAAATTTTGATCTGGAAAATTAGGAGAAATGGGGTCGATTTTAGGCCGTGGGCTATGAGACAGGGGAGGGAAAAGGCCTCTGCCCTGCCCAATTCTCGTGTTGATTTGGTTTATTGGTAGCGAGCTCGTTTTTGGTGCGCAAGGTCCGGGTTCGACTCCTCGCCTCGGCAAAAATTTTTGCTTTTTGGCCAAAAATTAATGAATAACTATTTTAGCAATTCTACCTTCTTATCATTTTGTACGGGGGCGTAAAATGGAGCATGAGCATGTGGAAATCCACTTTCAGATGCCGGGCTACCTTCCCCAGCCAACACAACAACAGCCACTCTCGGCATACCCACAACTTCAACAAGGACCCCTCCCCAACCATCAACAGCCACAACCACAACAACTACAGACTACAAACCCCGCCCTCCAATATCAGGGATATCCGAATGCGGCCACGATGGCTGTTGCACAACAAGTCGCACAACAGGTTCGAGCCGTTCACTGGAATTTGCATGAGTTTAGCATGGCACCGAGGCACTAGAATGCATTAATGGCGGCCAGTTTGGGGAATAATCACTCAAAAGTTACCGTAAAAACAAATGTGAACAATTTAGGCTACGTCAAACACTTATGCTACCAGCAACACCCATCCCCAACCCGCGCAACAAGTTCAGCAAGTTCAGGTGGGGTTTTTGAGTCAGCAAATAGTCCCTGCTAGCCAGTTTAACGATTGGGCCAGTAGCAACTAGAGAAAAAATATAAAATTTAGGCTAATTTTTCGATTTAGCAATCGCCGTACCCTCAACCGCAACAACAACAACAAACAGCATCCCCTTATGGAACATATCAACAACAAATGGCACAACAACAACTGCAATTGCAGGTATCGAAGCAAGGGAGGCAAATGTTCTCTGCTAGATTGCCTGAAACAATCTAAAAACCTTTGCTAGCACGCCAAAAGTGTAAAATTCACTGAAGGATCTCTGCTAGTTAACCTGGAAAGATCTGGAGAATCGGCCGAAAAACTGAGAGAATCTTTGCTAGGTTGCCGGTTAAAAATCAATAAACTCAAAAATCCCTGCAAGCCTGCCCTTCCAGATGAAAGTTCAAAGAATCCCGGCTAGCATGCCTGAAAGGATTGAGCTTTTTGGCTTCCTTACACCTTTAGAACATCGAAAATTCGTTAGAAATTTTTAGAATTCCAAAGAAATCGATAAATATTGTCAAATTGAAAAATGTAATTTATTCGAATCGAAAAATTTTGAGGCGAAACAAGCGTCAATTTGAATTGTTTAAGCCATAAAACTCTCAATTTTCAGCAACACCTGCAGCAACAGGGACAACAACAACCACAGTATCCGGCAGCCCCACAAGAACCACAACAACCCCCACAACAACAACAACAACAACAACAATATCAAACATATCCATCCCCTGCCCCAGCTGTTCCTTCTTCCGCTTCTGCCTCCAACCCTGGATTGTCTGGATTCGCCACCGCTGAGCAACAGGCTGCCGCGCAGGTAGGCAACATCCAGAAAAAACACAGAAAATCCCAATAAAATGGAATTTTTGGCGTAACTTGGTGTAGTTTGTAGTCTGCCGGTCGATTTGGATGAAATGAACATTGCAAGTTCTACGAAAAAAGCAAAAAAACCGTCGGATTCCCTTTTCTCAATTCCGAGACTTTCCGACATTCCGTTAGCCGTCATTTGGTGTAGTTTGTAGCCCAATCCCGCCCAGCGCTCAAAATCTCCCAATTTTTCTTTTTTTAGAAGGTTTGGTAAAGTTGCTTGATTTCCGGCGGCTGTCATTTGGCGTAGTGTGTAGCCTACAGTCTTTTAACAGTAGGATAGTTACCAAAATACGCAGAATTTCACGAGGAAACCCCTGAAAAAGCGCGCAAATTGTCTGAAAATGTCTTGAAACGAAGCGGCAGAAGCTAAAAATTACAGCCTCCATTTTCCAGGCATATGCCGCCCAGCAGGCCCAACAAAACTACGAACGCTACGGCCAGGCAAACGGAGGGCAGCCGGTATTTTTTTGATATTTTAGTTATTTTTCTTTTGTTCAGAATTACCCGCCGCAACAACCCCAACAACCCCAATACCCACGTCCCGCCGCACCTGGTAAGTTTTACAAAACAAAAATAAACGTTTTAAACTTTTCACAAATTGCGAAAATTGAGTAAAAAGCTTGCTTTTGTTTTAAAAACAATATGTCTAATTGGCATAGCTTTATATTTAATGTATCGGGCAATCCTACTATATATATATATATATAAAAAAATAGTGTTTGTGTGTGTGTGTGTATATTTGCATGCACTTCCGTTTGGATGTTCCGCGCCTACAGCCTCGGAGAAGCATTTTTTCGATAGGGAAGAAGCGTGAATAGGTAAAGAAGGGGCTAGAATCGACTGCACGCACATAAAATCTTTGAAAAATTGCTATTTTCGCTATTAAAATTAGCTTTTTGTAAAGTTTTCGGCAAACCGCTTTGTTAGGAAGCAATTAGCATACCCCGGAAGTGGAAATGGCTTATAAAAAGGAAGAGAGGGCGCGCTTTTCATTTTTTGGTGAGCGGTTTTCGGCAGGAATTATGCAAGGACAATAACTTCATCGAGCCTAGACGGGGCCAGGGTTGAAAAGCCGCGAAGCGGTTTTTCAACCCTGGTTTTTAGCTATTTTTCTATGTATAAAATGTACTTTTTAGCACCGGCCCCAGCCCCGTACCAGCCCAATCCGCAGAGCTCCTATCCACGTAAGCATTTAGCCGTTAAATCGATAAAAATAGGAAATTGTGGCAAATTTCTAGACTTGGAAATCTAGACTTCCGGCTACAAACTACAAAAAATCGCCCATTTTCAGCCGTCCAGCCGCAACAGCCGACATACGGTATCCAGCCGAGCGCCTCAAGCGGATATCAGGCGACAGGTAGAAACTATAGATTACAAACTACAAAATAGACTAGAAGCTAGCCTACAGACTACAATTTCAACCCCAATTTTTGCAGCCGTTCCACGACCCGCCTATCCCCAACCGGCCCCCGCTCCCGCCCCAGCCCCCGCCCCCTATGAGCCGCCGGTAGGCTAATATTCCGGATTTTTTTCAGTGCAAAATCTGAACTGTCACTCAGTCTAGTGAATTCTGTGGTTTGCAGCCTATAAAAAAGGAAACGAATGAACGAAGAATTTGAAGCCCAAAAGCTCAAAAAACCCGATTTTTTTGGGCTTTACGAATTTAACCCATTTTCCGAAATTTCTAGATGCAACCCTATCACCCGCCAGCCCAATACGGTATCCAGGCCACCCAGCAACCGCAGATCCAGGTAGAATTGACAAAAAATCTACCAAAAAAAGTTGAAAAATGACAAAATTCGAAAAACGAGATATCTTCGATTTTTGGCAATTTCCAAATCTGGAATTTCCAAAATGGCATTTTTCTAGCCACACCCTTCATCGTATCAATCCGGAAATGGCGGCTATTCGCAGCCAGAAATTGAGGGAAATCAAGTGATTGAAGAAGAGGTCGAGCAGCCATATCAACCACAACAACCCGCACCACAGGTATTGCAGAAAGATTTAGCTGTCACCATCCCTTTAAAATGGTAAAGTGTCTTTTGTAGCCGGCGAAAAATGGGTTTTATCGCGAAAATTCTGGCTCAAAAAAAAACCCCAAAAAATTACTGTAAAATGGTTGAGATGAACTTTGTAGCCAAGCCGAAATTCTATCCGTCTTGCTCCCTTGAAAAAGCATCTTTTGTAACCTGTAGCCCTGCCCTGAAAAACCTTATTTTTAGACGCCATTCCAACCCTATCAACCGGCTGTGGCAACGACAAAACGACCACCACCAAGGCCCGTGCAGACAAGGTAGGGGAGAGAGAGAGAGATAGACAGAGTGAGAGAGGGAGAGATAGAGAGAGATAGAGAGAGAGAGAGCGAGAGAGAGATAGGCTACAATCTGTATCCCAATTCCAGAACAATGCCGCCAGTCGTCCCCACTCAGCGTCCTCGTACCCTCCCTCCAGCTGTCATCCGAACAACATCTCGACCAATGCCCCGGCCAGCACCCATGCCACGTCCTGCACCTAGGTACTGTGCACTTTTCCTCAAACTTCTCTGCTAGCCGTCCTTCAAACTACCCGAAAAAACGTTAAAAAGATTCAAAATGAATTCCGGAATTTTTTTGCCAGTTCTCTAGCTGCAACTGGATAGAAACACCCATTTTCCTCAAGAAACACCGCTAGCTAAATCACCAGAAAAATCCGATTCCTCACGAATCTTTGCTAGCTTGCCATAACCCTCCCAATTTTTAGCAAGCCCGACGCGCCGGCCACCCCGCAGGACACGACTGCTGGGACTACGGTACAAGCATTGACACAACAGGTATGGAGAGAGACAGCGAGAGAGAAAGAGGGAGAGATAGAGAGAGAGCGAGAGAGAGAGAGAGAGATAGAGAGAGAGAGTGAGAGCGAGAGACAGCAAAAACGAGATGCCCCTCTTCAGATCCGTCGTCTCCCCGTGGTGATGTACGTCGACTCGAGGAAGGAGAGCTCATCTAAACTCGAAAATCTGATGAGAGACACCTATGGACTGCCCCTTGTCTCTTTCTATGTTGATAAGGTCAGAGAGAGAGAGAGAGAGAGAGAGAGAGAGAGAGAGAACGAGAAAAGATATTTTACAAAAATTCCCCCCGGATTATCGTGAAATTAATGCATTTTTCAAGCCTAAAGTCAGTTTTTCACCCCCAAAAACTTGCCTCCTTTCTGTTTTCTTCAAACGGAAGTTTCTAGATGAAATCATTCAAATTAAAAATAACCTTGATGAATTCAGATTGACCGTCCAGCGACGGTGCAGCGACATCTCTCCCAGCTGACAGCCCACAAGGGTCTCCCATATCTATTCATCTGCGGAACCTTCATCGGAAGTAAGTCGATTAGGAGTTGGCAATCTAGCAGTGGCCATTTGGGAAGCGCTCCTAAATTCTCTCTGCTAGCTGGCAATTTTTAGGGCCCAAATGAAGCCTAGAAACCTGAAAACCCGTAATTTCTTGCGCCAAAAATTTTAGGAAAATTCGGGATATCTCAAAAAAATTTTTTTAGAAATTTTCTAAAACTGGAAAAAAAGCTCTGAATTGTAGTTTTCAAGCTACAGAAAAACGGGCAATTTTAGGCGAATCGTGCTCCTTTTTTTGGGCCTTAAAAGTGCAGAAAAATCAAGAAAAATCTGGTTTCCAGGGAATATCTGATTATAAAAATTTCTAGTGATTGTAGTTTGTGGTATTTACTCCAAAATCTTCTAAAAACTCTATTTTAGGCGAGCAACACATCGAAAACTACCACAAGAACGGGCAGATTCCCCAGCTGGTGGAATATGTATGCGGGGAGGACAAGAAGAAACTCGGAAAGGACAAGACCAAACAATAATCGATTTTAAGAAAACAATGGCTTTTTAAAAAGCTAGAAACAATAAGAAGAAGAAGAAAAGAAGAATCTCTCGCTGTGATACCCCCCTCTCTCTCTAACGACCACAAAAAAGACACGCAACGAATGAAATGAACCTTGTAGTCGATGCTAATTGATTTCTTGTAGTTTGTAGCCCATTCCTCGATACGATACACGACGAAATATCTTAATGTCTTTACAGCTAAATATCTGCTCTGCTCAGCCATTCGAGAATTCCACTGATTTACCCCAAAACTAGTCACTTTCGATGATAATAAGCATTCTAATATATATTTTGTTTATTTATTTAATTATATTCTATTATCTAGCGCTTTATCCTCTATATTTATTACAACGAAAAACAAAAGTCTTTCCATTTTTATCGCATTTTCCGTCTTCCCCCCGTGCGTGCCATCCGCCGAAATTCCTAATTTATTATTATTTATTGCATCCCATGTTCTCTTCCTATTTTGTGTCGTTGAAAAGCGACAGTTTTTGTGGATAAAGCTGAAAATTGACGATTTTTACAATCGATACTACAAAGTACACGGCTCCACGAATTTGCGTCAGGAGTATCCATTCGTAGGCACATAAAGATAGAAAAGAGCGTCGCGATAGAAATTTGAAAATTGCCATTTCAATGCCTTGCAAAAACAAATAAAGCGCCAAGTTTTTTGTTTACCCATAAAATTGCGCTATTATCCGAAATATTTTTCTTGATTTTAGTAGATTGAACTTCTTGCGCGACGTAGCTATCACACAATTCGCCGGCTATTCATGCTTTTAGTAATAAAAATTCAATGTAATTCAATTTAAACCTCTGAGAAGAGTCATGGCCTGCCGATTATCGTTTCAGGGCTTTTCACACCCCTAGCAGAAGTCCAAACTTGTTCTGAAGACGCAATGCTCGTCAAGATGTTGAGGGCTGTTACGGCAGACCGTCGAGACCTGAAACAAGGGCACAGAAGTGAACCGTTCGGTCACTAACCGCCATCAAACTGCTACGGATTGTGCTTCTTGTCGATAAGCCATCCCTAGCGCGATCCCTAAAATAAAAATACCATAAAAATAAACCTTTTAGGCATTGGGGCGTTGGCGGGGCACAATTTGGTGAATCGTCGGGTTGTCCCTCTGCAGCGCTGTCCATTTTTCACCTGAAAATCAACATTTTATCGGGCAAATGACTAGAAAAGTAATGGAAAAGCGGAAGCGACGAGAAGGAAAGAAATTGACAATGTAAGAATAAAGTGAATTGGCTGGTGAATGGGTTCTTCCGCAGTATCGGGGGGGACCAATTTTTTTCCCCGACAATTCAGAAATGCCTAGTTGCGTAGTAGAAAGTGCTTTCAGTCCAGTTTCTTCCTATTTGATTCCGCGGCAATGCACCGGACAGTTCCGCGTCATTTGGTGTGAACGGAACGTACATTCGGGATTTTCGAGTTTTCTGGGTTTATGGCCAATAAACCAAAAAATGCTAAAAGGTTCATGTGATGTGTGATGGCGTTCAGTCTGATAAAGCTCCGTTTATTCGAGTAACGACCCAGCGCGATGCATTCGAAAGCCAATCGGGAATATTCGAGACATATTTCGAGGTGAATAGGGGAAGAATAGAGGGGCTTTTTGAGTGAAACAAAGTGTGAAAAGCCATTCAGCACGACGTCTACGGACTACAGAAAGTCCGATCTGAATCTCGTCTGTTGATGGTTTTGGCATATTTCGAAGAAGATGATCACGCATCGCTTTCATATCCTGAAAAGCCCTTTATATCGATTGTTCCTCGGCTTTTCGCGTATTTTAATCGGCCCTATAGACTTACAGCCTTTTTCTGGAGTACAAGGGTGAATGTGACGATGATCGTACGGCTTTTATTCGGAGCTAGGGGATGCTACAAGCATATAAAATGAATCAAATAGATGGCACTGCTCTGTTAGCCGGGGGAACACATTTTCCAACAATCCCGCACGGTTCTGCCACAATATCAAACCATTTTTTACAGCATTTTATACAGTGTTAGCTATCAAAGCTGATAACGAAAAATTAAAAAACCTTGGCGAATTGTTGACTTTTTGGCGAAATATCAATGAAAATCGTCGAAAAAGGTCAAAATTTCGATTCTCCAAAATGTTTAAAATATTCCTTATAACTTTCTAGCAATCAAAAGCTATTAAAAACGCTACAAAAATACTATCTATCCTACCGTATATAATTTGGTCGCGTATCTTTGTCTGTGTGTGTGTTTGTGCGGAGGTCAGTTTCGAGGCCAGATTTGAGGGCCTTCCCGTGTCCAAAATGCTCCAATTCTTTGACACTAGGGGGAATGGACCCTCCTCTTTTCGATGGTGTTTTCAGAATTCCGATAAAATACACGTTTACAAAGTTAAGCCGGTTTTATTCATTTTTGGGGGTCCGGGAGGGCTAATTTGCATAATGTGAAAAAATACAAATTCCTCATTCTTGCAATTTGCACGCGCGTGTGTGGTCGGTGGGAAAAGGGGGGGTCCGAAGCAGGCCTGGACGCGGGCCGGCCCGACACCCCCATTTTTCTCGGCCCGGCCCGGCCCGGCCCGACGCGATTTTTCTCGGCCCGGGCCGACTTTTAGAGGTCAAAACCGGGGTTGGTCAAAAACCTGCCACCAAAGTCGTTTAACACTTTTTGAAGGTACTTAGCTTTTATTACAGCGTTAGTGTGTCCTCTTTACAGCTTTTCCGCAAAGAAAATTCAAGGTTTAAATTAAAAACGATTTTTAACGGATAAATATCGATGGAGTTTAGGATAATAAAGTTAAATTAAACCATTTGGGGGTCTAATTAACTATTTTAGTGTATAATTTAATGTTTCATACGTTACTACGATGTACCATTATACTTCTATGAAAAAACCCGGTCCGAATGACTAAAAATCCAAAAAGCAAAAAGATAGCACCGGGCGGGATCGAACCCGGGTCGATTTCCTGGTAGGGGGTTAAGCCAAAAAAAGGTCCAAATTTTGACTGAGGTTATATAACAATGCCCAATAGGCTATTTGCGAGCGAGAAATACGCAAAATAGCACACAATTTCCGTCCAAAAACCTTTTTTTTACTTAGACAAAAATGTCGGGCCGGCCCGGGCCGGCCCGGGCCGGCCCGGAAAATCCCAATTTTTCTCGGCCCGGGCCGACCCGCCGTTTGTCCAGGCCTGGTCCGAAGGACCCGAGCTATCGGAAATTTAAATTTTTCATGCAAGGCCGAATTCCAGCGCCCAAGGCCCGCGAAGCGGGTTTTGGGCGCTGGTAAACATATAAGTGCAGCGATGTACCAGCCGTGCCCATCTCTGAAATGTTTGGATGCTGTTTAAAGCATTGGCCGCGTGGTACACACCGTCCCACTGAAAAAGTATCTTCTCGGGCCCAGCTGCTCCCATCTAAAAATGTTAGCATATCGCATACCTGGACGTGTTGCATTTTTATTTACGATTTAAAATTGGATCGAAAGCTCTCGATGAGCTGAAAAGATGCTTTCTTTCCGTTTTTGAAATTCCCAAATTTTTACGTCGATTTTTATTTTTCATGAAAAAATTTCACTTGTTTTCTCCAAAAACTCAATGTAAACTTTGCATAGGCTTAGCTTAGACTTAGCTTGGGCTAGGTATTGGCTTAGCCGAGATCTAGATTAGGCCGACGCTTGGCTTGGTTTCCTTCGACTTACAAGATTCAACATTCTCCACAATTCCCGTGGCCATCCATCAGCTTCTATGTGATGCCCCCGTTCCACACATAATTTCGACACGACCACTGCCTAAAAACGGCTCCGTTAATCTGGTACTTTCGCATTATCGGGGGGGGGGAGGCTATCGAGAGCCAAAACCCACTTTTTTTCTGTGTATTCCATTTTCTAATCTAACTAATGGAAGTGTTTTCATCTAGACTATTCTTTTATCATTACTAAACGCATAAATCCATCAGGTTTTGATCCCCGAGTACAAAAATTATCGCCTTTTGAGCGAAATTCCGATCGTTTATAGTTTTTAAATAGTTTTGCTGCTTGAAAATAGCTAAATTTGTCAAAACGCTCTTAAAATCCGTACAGATAACGTAGTAGGATAGATTTCTACGAAAAAAATCAGTCCCCGTCTCCCCCCCCACCCGATGCAGCGAAAGTGGCAGATGGTATCTGTAAAATCCGTAAAACGCACGAGATTGTCCAATGGGAAATGGTTGTTCTTCAGCCATTTCAGTTGACAAACCACCAAATAAGGGCACGATTTCAGCACGATAGAATATGGATTGGAGAGGAGGGCGAGGCGTTGTACTGGGCTCCTCAAATCCTAAACGATCCGTCGTCATAGAGCTTAAAAATCCCCCCAGTCAGAAAATGCTACTTTACGGTATCGTCCCAAAATCTCAATTTTGCGACTGGAATCGATGCAACTCGATGAATTTGTGCGTTTCCAATTGAAAAAAAAACGATTGGGAAACGAAACGCCGAAAAGAAAGGGATAGGCTTTTGAAAATCGCGAGTATATTTTGCGGAATGTTCATAAAATATCATTTTTCAACTGGAAACAGTAAAGCTCGGTGAGATAAAGCGTTGTCATTTGAAAAAACAATTGGGAATATCATAGATCAACAGTCTTAAAGCTATTTTTGCTAAGGAGCGTAGGCTACGCAACACTCCTATCCCCGCATTCTAAGGCGTGCCCTATCTGCCGGTGCTCAAGTGCTTGGCCAAACACATTTGTAACTATTAAAACTAGTCTCTTCAGCATGGAATAGATAAATAAATATTAGTTATGGTCGAGCTGCATGGATTCCAATTGAAAAAGTGACAATTTGGGAATATACCGTAAAGCGAATTTGGACATGTTGGAAAAAACGGACCACATGTTGGTAGGGCCATACATACAGTCCAATAGCACCAGACTTCACTCGATGCAGTAGTTGATTAAAGATGGCAATCCCTCGTTCGGCATCGCATCGTTCCAATGTGAATTCTATCTTCTTTCCGCGTTCCCTGGCAAAGGTTAAAATGCAGAAAACTTAAAACCGCGCAAGATAAAATATGTATGAGCATCTCTTTAAAAAGTTAAAAAGTTGAAAAAGCTGTATAAAGCTTGGCAAACGCGATCAATTGAAATACTAAAAAAAACCCTCGAAATCGTTCCAAACGGATTCAAAAGTTATTAAAAACGATAAAAATGGGCCTACAAACGTTAGGAAACTCTAGAAAATGGCACAGACAGTAGAAATTGCCTTAAAACGGAATAAAATGTTGAGCGTACCTGAGATATGCGCGTCCATTGTTCGTTTTGCGCCCCTGGCCGCCATCCCGATTCAACGATGGATACGTGTTATAATAGAAAGACAATGTTGAAGTGAAGCCCGACCAATTGATCTCCATCTCTCCACAACGTGTCTCACACCAAACACTCAGCCTCTGTCAAATTATCCTCGGTTAGTCATCAAAAATATGTATTACCCGCAGTCTGGCAGAGATCAGAATGTCATCGACAAATTTTGACGCCGGCCAATAATCACTTTTATTGGAGCATACCTAAGATTTAATGGTACTGGGCTGTTAGCGGGGGGGGGCTCCAAATGCCGTTTTGTTAGATTCGAAGCCTCTCGAAAAGCTAAACTAAGCCTAAGCCTAGGCTTAGCCTCATACAACGAAGGGCAATTTGTAAAATACACCCGGCACAGCCGTTTCGAGATAGCAGGGAAAGGGGAGAGAGACGCAGAGAAAAATGTCTGCACTCTCGCGCTACGCCCACTCTTTCTATCCGGGTGTACCCGGTGTCCTTTACTAATTGCCCAAACGAAACCTCGGTTTAGCTAGAGCCAACCTAAGCTTAGTTCTCTCGTGTATAAATGGCCCCATTTTGACTCGTAAGGCAATTTGAAGCTAAATATAAGCTTAGCTTGGGCTTACGCTTAAGCCCAAAGCCAAAGCTAGGCATAGTTAAAGCTAAGCTAAGCCAAGGCATAAGCTGAGTACCAAGTAGCTTAAGTGGAGCGCCTCGTAGTCCCTTACGAGCCATTTCGGACTTCCCCTAACTGCATTAGCACCACGATCTCTTAAAATTGATCCCCTATCGAGATACCCACCGGTCAAAAAATTCGATTTTTCGATTTTATAACTTTTCAGGAATGAAAAGCTACTCAGAACATTGTCAAAATACCCTATTAATATTATCAGCATCTATTGATTAGCCCCCCTCCCCGCTGACAGTGCGGTACCGATGATATATGAAGTTACCTTTTTGGTGGCAGCTCTGAGATGATGCTTCTCCCAAAAACCGAGATGTCCATAGATGGCTTTTTGTAGTAGAGATGGTAATGACAAAAAGGGAAGAGAGGATTTTGGAGGGGGAGGGGCTAGGAGGACGAGACGTCGCTTCACATCCATTCTAACAACAGAAATGACTACTGGTTGATCAGAAAGGAATGATTGACCTCTAGGTGAGATGAGTCGATTTCCTATCACTTTTCTGATGACCTATGCATGAGAATTATCTCCCAGCATCAATGTCCATACGGCAAAGGCAGAGCTTTTACTGGTCGGATAGGGTATTCAAGGGCCGGATTTCTTATCGTGCTCACCCGAGTAATTAAAAAAATGCCTCAGTGCTCTGACCCCGAGACATCTGCCAGTATGGAGAAACAATTCCAGCGTGAATTTTCGACCTGTTCCAGCATTAATTTCGTAGTAGACTTACTATAAGTCCATCGTCAAAATGCTATCCTATAAATGAGAAAAGTATGTTAGTTTTCAGTAATGGCGATTTCTCGGCCGTCAGGCCGAACTTCCGGCTGATTTTTTGGCATGGAAACACATCCTATTTATAAGCCTTTTGTTTTCGAAACTCCTCCTTATAAAGATTTTACAAGTAAAATAGGGAAAAAGCCTTAACATTTTGGCCTGATAACAAGACGTGTTCTCAGATTCTGTAAAATAAAGTTTTTATGAGTATTTTTCTAAAAAAAACCCTTAAGAAAATGGCTCAAGGACCGTGGTTCTCGGAGAAAAAAAGAAGATAACTCGAAGCCCCGATGGAAGTTTGGACTGTAACTTGGACCACTTATCTAATCGATGGTGTTTCTTAGGCGCAGCTTATTAGATGTAAGAAAATCGATCATCTCCCAGCTCAAAAATGCCATTTTGTAAAGTGACCTGAAGGCCTGCCTCACGGAGGGCCTCAGCCGCCGATGCCTATTACCACTGCTTGGCTCCGCCCAGACCTGCATGCGGGCCGCGCCGGGTCGGCCCGGTCCGGCCCGCCACCCCCATTTCTCCGATCCGGCCCGAATTTTCAGGTTGAAATACGGGGTTCGCCAAAAAACTCCCGCCAAGGTGGCTTAACACCATTGCAAGGTTTTTTGCTGTTAATACCGTGTTAGTGGGCCATTTTTGCAGCACTTCTGTTAAGAAAATTAAAATTTCAAAGTTATAACGATTTTTAAGCGCTAAACCAGGGTTGAAAAGCCGCTTCGCGACTTTTCAACCCTGGCCCCGTTTGACCCCATTTTATCCTTCACTTTGCATAATTGTCCTAAATTCAGATGACAAAAATGAAAAACAACCTCTTCTTCCTCTTTATATAGTTGAATCCCCACTTCCGGTCTATGTTAATTATTCCTAACAGAGCAGTTTTTACAAAAACTTAAATTTAATGTCGAAAATAAGTAATTTTGTTAAATCTCATACGCGCGCAGTCATCTCCAGGCCATTACGCACCTAATAACGTATCATACATACGGCACCCCCTTCCCACATGCAGACATGCGGCCCGGCGCCGTGGGTTACGGTCACTGGTCCACGCGATAGGATTATATCGCGTAATTCCTGTGCATTTTCGTCCACTAGCATTCATAAAAACAAAAACAAAATGTCTAAACTAGTACTTATATTATTTATGTGACTAAACTTATTGAAATACTGAAGTATTGCTGCACGTCGCTATAAACTCGATGCATGACGCACTCATGGCGCGACAACCCTACAAGTAAATCGGAAGTCCTCCAAAAGTGCTCATTACCATGCATCAAATGTAAATATGCACTAAATAATAGTTTAGACATTTTGTTTTTGTTTTTATGAATGCTAGTGGACGAAAATGCACAGGAATTACGCGATATAATCCTATCGCGTGGACCAGTGACCGTAACCCACGGCGCCGGGCCGCATGTCTGCATGTGGGAAGGGGGGTGCCGTATCATACATACCTTAAAATGCATCCCCTATCGAGATATCCTCCGGACAGACAGACGGAAGTGAATGCAAAGTGGCACACATACACAGACACTATTTTTTTTATATATAGTAGGATATCGACCGATATCAGGGTAATAATGTTAAATTAAGCCATTTCGAGTTTAAATTCGGCATATTAGTACGGGCGTGTTTTTAGCCCTCAAACACAACGAGTCACCAACGGGCAACACCTGTTTATACTCCGTAATCGATTTCCCAAACCCAATTAATTGTAACTAAAAACTTAGAGACTCTAAGTTAGAGTTATTAAGATAGTAGAAACGAAACAAGCAAGTTCTAGAAAAGATACTGTACGATACTATTTTGCGGGTTTCCGGCGCAAAGACCATTTTGCTGATGAGTGACGAATAAGGATCGTATAATCATGATGAAGGACTTTCAAAAGAGAGCCGCCAGATGTTGTAAGTAAATCTTATGGAAGCTATGCACCTTGCTGATTGATGCTCTGCAAAAAGCCGAGCGTCGTCGGGAGTGAAAAATGATGTGGCACTCGAGCATGCGCAAAGCACTGTTAATGATAGGGCCATTGTAAAGTGGTTATCTGATTTTGTTTCTTCGGCTACCGTTGCTCCTTCAGTTCGACATATCCAGCCTCTTCTAACTATCAGGTTGGAACGAAAGTTCTGTCGCCGAGATTTTGGAAGCCTGGCTAAAATCGTAGATAGCTCCATTCTGCACATGCGATATGTCATTTTGTAGGCCTCGGTCTGAATGGTTCCGGGAGGAGGGTCCGGGGCCCTCAAAATCAAGAACAGCCGAGATACAGGCCCAAGAAGATTTTTTAAAAACAATGAGAAAGTGTTTTTGCAAGTTATCTCTGCATAAAGACATTTGCATGCGATACCTTTAACGCCAACCGATAGCTCTTGAGGAGTAGATATCGATAGATGTTGAGATCATCAAAATTGGACGCTGGATGGCCGAGATATGGCCACTTGAAATTTGGCCCATTTCTTAGAACTTTTCCCGAAATCCCATACATTTCCAAAAATTTGACGGACAGGCGCCAAAAATTACCGCTTTATTTTTGGACTAGCGGAGCGGATTTTGAAAAAATGTATGGGAAATCGAGAAAAGTTCTAAGAAATGGGCCAAATTTCAAGGGCCCATATCTCGGCCATCCAGTGCCCAATTTTGATGATCTCAACATCTATCGATATCTACTCCTCGAGATCTATCGTTTGGCGTTAAAGGTATCGCATGCAAATGTCTTTATGCAGAGATAACTTGCAAAAACACTTTCTCATGGTTTTTGAAAAATCTTCTTGGGCCTGTATCTCGGCTGTTCTTGATTTTGAGGGCCCCGGACCCTCCTCCCGGAACCATTCAGACCGAGGCCTACAAAATGACATATCGCATGTGCAGAATGGAGCTATCTACGATTTTAGCCAGGCTTCCAAAATCTCGGCGACAGAACTTTCGTTCCAACCTGATATTTTCCTATCTATCCTTTATAATGAGGTATTTGGGTAATTCGCAAAAGATTCACGAGCATTGGATGTACGAGGGTTTACCAACCGTAAATACTAGCAAAAATTAAATAGAACCTCTTGGTGACTATATAAGAAGCTTTTTCGCATTAGAACAGATATTAATATTCGTTACTTTTGTTGCCTCCTCCTTCGTTCCTTTTTGCTATCCGTAAAATTGGTGAAGGTGGTCGAATCACGCAAAATGATAGAAATTTCACGTCAGTAGCGGAAGTATCATTACCAAATCAGTTCTCGAACTATGTTTTTCGTTTATTATTATAATAAAAAATAACCCTTAGAAGCTTTTTAGTTACAATTAATTGGGTTTGGGAAATCGATTACGAAGTGTAAACAGGTGTTGCCCGTTGGTGACTCGTTGTGTTTGAGGGCTAAAAACACGCCCGTTTAGTGTACCACACCATTAGTGTACCAGTGGACAAAGACCGCTTCGCGGCCATTTTCCACTGGACCCCTTCCAGGAACCATGAATTTGAATACCTTCTTTTTTAGCCTGCGGCGCTAAGGAGCTATTGTTTGGCCTGCGGCGCCAGAGCCAGCGTTCCGCTAATCTTTGAGCCTGCGGCGCTAGTTACTGGTTTTTCTCCAGGATTTGGCCTGCGGCGCGAGAGCCTCGATCAAGGACCCATTCTTGGCCTGCGGCGCGAGAACGCGGGCCGAGGACCTTACCTTTGCCTGCGGCGCCAGAGCGAGAGCCAGGCGTAAACCTCGCACACCTAGAGCCTAGAAATATGTTTTGTTGCCGAACTACCAAAAAGCAAAAAATTAAATTCTCCCGGGATCCGAACTCACGACCCTGTGCGTGGTAGACCGAGCGCTATTCCATTACACCAAAGGGCCCATGGGAACAGTCTGCGGGAGAGGCCTCTTCTCTCCTGGGGGAGCTGGGGGGGGCAAAGATAAGGGTGACCAATGATCCCGGAGGGAGGCCTGCTCGTCACTTTACGAAATTCGATTTTTTAGTCTGAATCTATCCCCGTTTTTTCAGGAGTACGAGAGCTACGTGTGCCGTCTATTGGAGGGTTGCGTAGGCACGGACGAGATGGAGAGGAAGGCTGGAATGGAAGCAATTGGCACGGACACGAATCTACAGCCCGCTGTCGCGCACATTGTCGCATTCATTCACGATGGGGTACGTCGAAGAGAGAGAGAGAGAGAGAGAGAGAAAGACTGTAGTTTGTAGACAATTCCTTTTTTCCATTTTAGATTCGAGTGAATTTGGTGTTGAACTTCGTGGAGTTGCTGTACACGCTGATCTCGATGATTCGACAGTTGGTGCACAATCACAGCATCGATCTATTGCCCCAGGTGCGTCCAGATTTTTCGCGTCTTAGCTGTAGATTCTGTGGAACTGTGCTGTTAGCGGGGGGGTAATTTTTGAATTTTAGCGTATTTTTATGATATACATAAATTCTATTTTTTAGTGTTTTTGTTTTTTTATAATTGCTGCGAACAGATAAAAAATTTCAAGCTGAAAAATTGAGGAAATTGGTCTAAAAAATTTTCATTTTCGAATTTTCGAATTTTCCAGCGCGTCGCGTGTAAAATCCATGGCCCTGCCATGCTTGTCGATCCCTTTAATCCTAATTTTGCATTTTTTCAGCTTCACAAACTACTCCCGTCAACAATCTCGTGCTGTCTCTACAGTCATGCGGGCAATGGAAAGGATGATGATGATTGGATGTTGTTGAGGGAATATTCTGCAGCTACTCTCGCCCTCATTGTCCAGTAAGCCCTTGATGGGGCCATCTAGCCGTGTCCATTTAGGAAATATTCCCCAATGCTGCCGTCAATTCGTGTGCGTCCAATTGCCGTTCTCGTCAAACATTTCAACGACACCTCAGCCAGTCTCTCTACTCTCTATGGGGCCCTTCTGGCTATTTTGGGATGTGTCGAGACGGATGAACAGGTTCGTTAGAATTTACGTTAATTTCGCCCGCCGTTTCTTGATCCGATTTTTTACGCTTTTTACCCAAAAATCGCTACGCCAGGCTACTCCTTACGGATTTTTTGCTGTTCAGAGTAGCGTTCCGGAATTGGATGGAATTTTCGAGCTAAAATCTTTTTTAAATTTTTTAATACCTACCATTTTTCAGCTCTCCCCGATCCGCGATCGTTTCTTTGCCCTGATGGATGAATGCGAGCAGATGGGCCCCGATCATCAGCGATACAACGACGCAGCCCATCTCCTCCCAGCCCTTATTGTTCGTTTTTTACACAATGATTTATTGATGATTTTAATTTGGGTTAATAATTAATTACTTGTATTTAAATAACTATTCATAATTATTTTTTTAATGTTTTTAGACTGCGAAGAAGCGTTTCGTCGACCCATTCGACGCGCAGGTGGAGGAGGACATCGAGCTCGAGCCGGTCGCCTCGCAAATTGTCGAATAATTGAGAGAAAAAAAATAGACATTTATTATTTCGCCCCTTTTTCTGCTGTTGGTTTCTGTCCGATTTACGGGTTATTTTTGCATTGTTGCGTTCGTGAGAAGCATTTGTTTTCTGTATTTATCGGTTTGCCGTTTTTTGTCTTGGTAATAAAAATGTTTGCTCGTTGTCGTTTTTTCAAAAAATACAGTACTGTACTACTGACGGAATTTTGTGAATAGGTGTATTTTGTAGCTTCTGCCAGGAAATGTTCATAAATCTACAATGTAGTAATTAAAAAACCGTTTTCAACGACGCGGAATAGGAGTAAAGACGCGAATCTCTTGACAATAAAATTTTTGCTCATTAGTTTTAAGAATTGCAGTACTTTACTACGGAATTTCGGCAATTGGTGTGCCTTGTAACGGTCTTTCCAAGCCTGGATTAGGTTTTTATATACCTTCAAAAAGATGTATCCCTTCTGATTTCGTAGAAGGTCGATGAATTGAGTGCGCAGCTCGTCTTTTGAGCGTGCCGGCTGGCTGGTTGTCGTCATTTTTGCCGATTTTCTAAAGGGTTTTTCGACGTTTTATGCATAGAATAGCGTGCGAAAACGCGTAAAATGGCTTGGAAATGAGGATAAATACTATCCAGTAAGATCCAGAGCGTGTTCTTGACCTTCCCAAACTAAATTTCGTGAAAATTTCGTGATCTTAAAAGTTTTTCCAAGTTTTAGGCATGGATTCGAGCGCGAAGGGCGTAAACTAGCTATAAATCACGATGTTGTGGCCTTTCAAGCAAAATCTGGTTAGAAATGGCTAAAACTAGAGTTTTATGGCAATTTTTGGAGAACAAAAAACTTTAGAAGAATCGAAATTGGCGGTTTTTCGTAGTTTTCCAGCCAGGAAATCGGTAAATAGCCCTTATAGCCCTTATAGCCAGCCCTAGCTAGCCAGCACCACCTGCGCTTTCTGTGTGCCCCATTTGGGTTGTCATGGCAGTGGGTGAAATAGCGGGGGTGGGGGCTAGAAACCCTATATATTGCCCCCCCCCCCCCCCCCCCTCTTCTACCCCCCAGACGAATGACAAACACCCATTTAGAGGGCCCATAATTATCGAGAGAACGGGCTGCAGGGGAAAGCCATTTAGAAATTGCTGTATATACTATAGTGTAACACTTTAATTAGAGGAAATCCATTTCCTAAATTGTCTCTGTTAGCTAGCCAGCCTTCGAAAGTTTATCATATTCGGCGTGCGGCCGTTTTTCGGGTCCTTTGCGCCGTTCTTTGTGAATCTAGCATCAAAACTTATAGTTTAACCACTCAAAATGTAGGAAATGATCTCACGGAATCAAAAATGAAGACGAAATAGCTGAATTCTAGTTTAGAAAAAAAGTTATGAATTTTACAAAGTTTTCGCTGCGGGAGCCTACAAAAGTTTCGACCATTTCGACCCGGGTCGAATAACAACTCTAATTAAAACGGCTCTTCCGCCAAATTTTTGGTCAAAAAATTTAACACCTGCCAAAGACAATATTTTCCCGCTGTTTTCGGTCTTAATAGATTTAATTAAGGTTAGTAAAGATTAGTAGGGAACAAATCACGATTCGGGGGGCACTTTTGGCGGTTTTTTGGCTCTTCTCCGTCGAGGAACGGTTTCTTGCCTGGGAATGCTCGTTTCGCCCTTTTTCTTTATTTTTCTGGCTGATTCCTATTAGAACGAAGTGAATATACATCATTTCGATGTTACTTAATCCTCTAATGTACTATACTTATCGTAATTAAATCTTATCTTTGGTGATTTTTGTCATTTTTTTAGGTTTTTGAGCAAAAACTCAAAAGTGATTTACCGACATTTACTGGATGCAACTTGGAAAGACCGTTACAAGGCACACCAATTGCCGAAATTCCGTAGTAAAGTACTGCAATTCTTAAAACTAATGAGCAAAAATTTTATTGTCAAGAGATTCGCGTCTTTACTCCTATTCCGCGTCGTTGAAAACGGTTTTTTAATTACTACATTGTAGATTTATGAACATTTCCTGGCAGAAGCTACAAAATACACCTATTCACAAAATTCCGTCACTAGTACAGTACTGTATTTTTTGAAAAAACGACAACGAGCAAACATTTTTATTACCAAGACAAAAAACGGCAAACCGATAAATACAGAAAACAAATGCTTCTCACGAACGCAACAATGCAAAAATAACCCGTAAATCGGACAGAAACCAACAGCAGAAAAAGGGGCGAAATAATAAATGTCTATTTTTTTCTCTCAATTATTCGACAATTTGCGAGGCGACCGGCTCGAGCTCGATGTCCTCCTCCACCTGCGCGTCGAATGGGTCGACGAAACGCTTCTTCGCAGTCTAAAAACATTAAAAAAATAATTATGAATAGTTATTTAAATACAAGTAATTAATTATTAACCCAAATTAAAATCATCAATAAATCATTGTGTAAAAAACGAACAATAAGGGCTGGGAGGAGATGGGCTGCGTCGTTGTATCGCTGATGATCGGGGCCCATCTGCTCGCATTCATCCATCAGGGCAAAGAAACGATCGCGGATCGGGGAGAGCTGAAAAATGGTAGGTATTAAAAAATTTAAAAAAGATTTTAGCTCGAAAATTCCATCCAATTCCGGAACGCTACTCTGAACAGCAAAAAATCCGTAAGGAGTAGCCTGGCGTAGCGATTTTTGGGTAAAAAGCGTAAAAAATCGGATCAAGAAACGGCGGGCGAAATTAACGTAAATTCTAACGAACCTGTTCATCCGTCTCGACACATCCCAAAATAGCCAGAAGGGCCCCATAGAGAGTAGAGAGACTGGCTGAGGTGTCGTTGAAATGTTTGACGAGAACGGCAATTGGACGCACACGAATTGACGGCAGCATTGGGGAATATTTCCTAAATGGACACGGCTAGATGGCCCCATCAAGGGCTTACTGGACAATGAGGGCGAGAGTAGCTGCAGAATATTCCCTCAACAACATCCAATCATCATCATCCTTTCCATTGCCCGCATGACTGTAGAGACAGCACGAGATTGTTGACGGGAGTAGTTTGTGAAGCTGAAAAAAATGCAAAATTAGGATTAAAGGGATCGACAAGCATGGCAGGGCCATGGATTTTACACGCGACGCGCTGGAAAATTCGAAAATTCGAAAATGAAAATTTTTTAGACCAATTTCCTCAATTTTTCAGCTTGAAATTTTTTATCTGTTCGCAGCAATTATAAAAAAACAAAAACACTAAAAAATAGAATTTATGTATATCATAAAAATACGCTAAAATTCAAAAATTACCCCCCCCCCGCTAACAGCACAGTTCCACAGAATCTACAGCTAAGACGCGAAAAATCTGGACGCACCTGGGGCAATAGATCGATGCTGTGATTGTGCACCAACTGTCGAATCATCGAGATCAGCGTGTACAGCAACTCCACGAAGTTCAACACCAAATTCACTCGAATCTAAAATGGAAAAAAGGAATTGTCTACAAACTACAGTCTTCTCTCTCTCTCTCTCTCTCTCTCTTCGACGTACCCCATCGTGAATGAATGCGACAATGTGCGCGACAGCGGGCTGTAGATTCGTGTCCGTGCCAATTGCTTCCATTCCAGCCTTCCTCTCCATCTCGTCCGTGCCTACGCAACCCTCCAATAGACGGCACACGTAGCTCTCGTACTCCTGAAAAAACGGGGATCTTTTTAAGTGACCTAAAAATTGCTGGAAAACCAAGTTTTGTGAATTAAAATAAAAAAGCCTAAAACCTTGATAAAAACCAATTTGTAATTTTAAATGAAATTTCAGCGAAATTAAAAAATTGAAACCAGCCTAAAAATTCTATAATATTGAAACTTTTGTGGTTTCGTTCCAATAAAAATTGAGAATAAATACAAACGAAAAAGACCCGAAAATTTCGATAAAATCCAACTTTGGCATTTTATTTTTATTTATTTTAACATTTTTTATTTTTACATAATTTTATCCGAAATAACTACTAAATCTAATTTTAAAGCTATTTAAAATGTATTAAATGACATTTAAAAATTAGAGAATCAGTACCACGGATAGGGTGGAAGACTTGCGCGAAGTGACGCCGATCTGCTCGCTTTTCGGGCAACACTTGAGGGCGCTGCGGAAGGCATTGCAAGCCGAATTCACTAGAAGTGAAATAAAGTAAAGATGGCCTGAAAAGCGGTACCGTGGCTGAGGCCGAGCTCATCCGGTACGGCGGGTTGTTGGTGCTCCTTGTTCCTCTCCTCCCGTTCTTCGAGCAGCAAGTCTTCAAGCGGGCTTTCAGGCTTCCGAGACGACGTAGCAGCTTTTTGCTGAAAATATCGTTTTTTACATTATTCTATTTTTTAATTAATACAAATAAAAATAAGTAAAACCTATTAAGGCTATTAAAACGTGCTAAAATCTTTACAAAAGTAATTTTTAATACTCAAATCGTTGCAAAATTTCCTAGAAATATAATTATTACCATTTCACAAATTATAAATTTGGTAAAAATCAGTATTAAAAATTCAATTTCGTATAATTATAATGAAAATCATAGTTTAAAAGCACTAAAACACTCACGCCGGGTGGTGGGCGATTTTCGGGAATGTCGGGCACGACCCCATCGATGGCCAGCCAGTGGACGTGGATCTTTTGCGGGGCGGGTAGAGGGGCCAGTGGATGGTTCAGCACATTCTAAACCAAAAAAATAGGCATTTTTCTAACTAAAAATCGACATTTTGCGTATTCTTTCAATCAAAAAATTCTCCAGTAAAAAACAAGTAGAGAATTGAAGAATTGAATCTAAACAGTTTAGAAAACAGAAAAAAGGTTGCAATCCTTCCCCCCGATAATGCGAAAGCACCAAAATATACGTCTAAAACGAACGGATATATCGAGCATCTTGGCGCCTCGATCAAAATCTTTCAGCGCATCACCCACATTACGACGGAGGCCCATCTAAAAACGATATACAAGAGATAACGTTAAAAAGCGCTATACCTGAAGGCCACTATCCTTACAAGCAATCAAAACATCATTCACTGACAATCGATTACGACGTCCTAAAAACATAAAAATCAGCATAAAAACAAGAATAAACAAACCGTGTAGGGTGTACTGCTTGGCCTTGGTGAGAATGTGCTGCAGCCGCTTGGTGACGTCGATCGCCATCAGGGAATACGCCTAAAAATTGCTGAATCGTTTTTAATCAAAGTAAAACTACCAATTTTTATCGAAAACTATCAAAAATTATTTTTTTAGAGATTTTCATTTTTTAAACGCGTTTTTGAACTTTTTTTAATGTGTTTTAAATAGTTTTTTGCGTCGAAAACGAGCTTTTGCCCTTATTTACAATTTCTACAATTTTCTAAGATTGTTTAATGACCCTTAGGCGCAATTTGTACAAATTTTCAGCAATAAAATTGGCCAAATAAAATTTTAGAGCAAATTTCGAATTTTCAGATATTTTTCGAAGTGTTTAGATAGTTTTTCCAGTTAAAATGTAGCTAAACTTGCTAAAACCCTGAATACCTCGGTGGTGAGCGGCGTGTCCGTATCTTCCGCCTCGTCCGTATCGTTCGTCGCTCGTCCCTGCTCCACAATTTTTTGGACGATTTTCTGAATTAGAGCCATAGATAGACGTTTTTAAGATAAATCCGATACCTTGATGCTATTGATGGAATGCTGGGCGTGGATCGACACTTCCGGCACGACGATATGTTCTGTATATTCGGGAAGGGTGGTCATCTCCTTCGGGAAATCCACCAGACTCTAAAAAAACTTCTCGTAAAAAGCCGTAAATTGAGGGCATACATCCTCGCGTTCTGCCTCATCCATTGCCTCTTGCAGGGCCAGCTTCATCCGCCCGAATTCGCGGTTCGCCTGCCGTTTTGAGCCGTATGGCTGAATTTTTGGAGATTTTTACGGGGATAAGAAATTTACCTTAAACGTTGGATGGTATTTGATGGAGGTGAAACCGGCAGGAATTGAGGGAAGCTTGTGAAGATTCGAAGGGTCGCCGATTCGCTGTAAATCAGATTTAAATAAAGAAAGAGAAATCGTGCGGTACCTGAAGACGATATTCAGCGCCATTGAAGCGACGGATGCGGCCAATATTGTCGAAACCCTCTTCACGCGCCATTATCTGAAAGAAAAGTTTTTAGAATAAAGGGTAAGAACGAGAGAAAGAAAATGGAAGAGAAATTATAGAACAAGAGTTCGAAAAGGGGAGAAAATTGAAAGCGAAAGTCGAAAGCTGACACTGCATAATGAAAGTTATTAAAACTTAAAGAATATTTATAATTAGAAAACTATAACAACTGCAATGGAACAAGAAATGCCCATTTTATCACATTTTATTTTTCGAGGTTATAACGTTAGTGGGCGAAGGTTTTATTGTACTTCCGCTGCAATATCCCGTACAGTTGCCCGTCATTAGGTGTGAACGGAGCGTGAATTTTGAATTTTTACCCTTGTCGATCTAAAAAAGCGAAAAATTTCTGAAATGTTGCGAATGAATAAAACAAAATAAATTTGAATACAAATAAAGCATAAAAATGCCTTTGAAGGACAATTAATTATATTTCAATTTTACCCCACCCCCAAAATGTCGGCCTCCCGGTCGCTGGCCAAGACGCAGGAATGGGCATGCGATGTCGAGGTGAGCCATTTCTACGTTAATTTTCTATAGCTTTCTGTTTTTGCAGCCATCCGATGTGGATGAGATGATGATGATGGGAAAAGGAGGGCCGAGTCAAGGAGGAAACAGCAGCCAGTCGACAAGAATCGACTATTTGTGTATGGATGAGAGTATTCACGAGGAACAGGTCCATCTCCCTCATAATAATAATTGTTATTGTTGTTTATTTGAGGATCTGGGTGAGGCTGAGGCTCAGACGACGTTGAAGTGTACTCTTCGCGGAGAAGTTGGCCCCAAGCCCGAACCCCATCAACGAGCTTCGAATTGTCTGGCTTCTCGTCGTGAGCAGTGGTCTCTCGAATTGCAGGGCGGATGTACGGCTGGTTGGTTATATTTATCATCTTAATTCTCTCTCTTTTCCAGGCCCTCAGATTCCAATCAACGGCATCTATCGGCCATGCATCAACGCCTCCGACGACACGGCCAACGAGACTAATGGTATTATTATCGTTTGATAATCTTTTGAAACAATTCTTTTTAGGGGACAAGCACGAATCGCTGACGAATTGAGCGACAGCGTCTCGGACAGCCACCAGATCTACTTAAATAAAGAGAAATCACACTGATAATGCACTATTTCGCGGTTGAATAAAGAGTTTTGGTTTTTCTTTTGTTTTTACTTTACTTTTTGATGTTTGAAGCATCGTAAATAATGTCGGCGCCAGCTTTTTCCGACGGGAAATCTACTTTTAGCTGTGCTTCCGGTTTCTCGAGCATTGCAATATTTTCACGCTGCGTCAAAATTGCTTCGCTGAATCTCAAATATCCTTTACGCCGTCGCTTTGTCTGTTTTTTCCATGTCGAAGGCCTAAATAACCCCTATGTTCCAGGTAATGACATCAGCTGACAATTCAATGGACGGAACAGAACTGTCAGAACTAGATGACAAATACATCATTGTGATAAGTGAGCTGATGTCCTGGAATCTGCACGACCTCTTCCAGATGAAGACTGACAGAATCGAAGCTGAGGTTCGATCCTTTGAACAATATGGAGGAAAGGAAATGCACGGGTCATCGATGAAAATCTACGATCTTCCGGTAGATATCTTGGAGATAATTCTGGAGCCGCTTGATGGAGATGATCTCATTCGGATTGCTGGTGCTCATCAGAAGCTTCTACATGCAACCAAGGATGTGAAGAATAAGGACTTTGAGTATGTGGTCTGCGTGCCCACCGGTAACCCGGCTAATCTTCGGGTATCGCCGGAAGTGCTGGAGATTCTTCTACATGGAGCCCTTGTTCGGGGCTTGAACTTGCACCTCGATGCTCGTCTATTTCATGTGGACGGGATGAAACTCCGAAACCTCCAACTTGACGGCCAAGATGACAACGACAAGGCAGCCATCATCATCGAGCAGCTCAAGCCCGAGTTTGTGGACCTGTATTCTTATGAGAACCGCAGTTTGACTCCACGACTCAGCCGCGCTCTTTCCACAATGCGGTGGGTCGATCTGGGGGGTATGGACATCGAATCAATCGACTTCCTTACCGAGTGGAAATTCAATTTTTTTCGTTGTTTCCTGCGAATTACGGAGGGCCAGCTGCCGTCTCATATCTACGCCACGATCAGGCAGCTTCTGGGCCAACCGAAGCGCGGAGAACGAGACGGTCTTCATCTGCAGTTTTATTTCCGGACGCCCTTCCGCCTCGAACTGCTTGATGATGAGGTATTTGGACCCGATTACCCGCTGCAGCGCAATGCCGATTTCCCTCGTTGCCGATATAACCTCGGGAATTCTCAACTGGAAATCAATATTGCTCAATACAGTCTTCAGATTTGTCTTTATCGCATAAGCACGTCTCGTCCATTCTGATAATGTACTTTTTGTTTTCGCTCGTTCTCTGCATCCCGTTTTCCCTTTATTCTCATCTTTCTACCAATAAATTTCAGGTTTCTGATGGTGGGTAGCTACCGAAGGGAGGGATTGCCGCACGCGGGAACTGCCAAACTTTCAGATGCAGTGACGGGCAGGGTTTATTTTAAGGTCTTTATTGATTTTTTATTTAGTAGAGCAGCTGCCCATCAATGAAGGTCCAGTGTCCAAGGCAACGAAGATATGTTTATGATTTATTGCGGTTAGTGATTGAACCATGCCACTTCTCCGAAAATCTTTTTAGATACCCCTCCTCAACACGCAATCGACAGGAAGATGAAAAGCGGAGCTCCACGAACACCAGAAACCTTCCGAAAGTTCGGATCTGAGCTCCCCGTTGTGTTACCGGGCTGAAAAATATACCAAAATGCTACCCAAGCAAAACCAATCATTTCGGTATATTTTTCAGCCCGGTAGCACGACATGTAGCCAAAAAAAACCCGGAGGAAACCGGGGTACGAAGAAAAGCTTGTGGCAACGTGATGGACAACGTAATGCGGTTGCTGTTCAGCCGTGTCATCTCAAAAAACAAAACCCGATTTAACTCCCCTTCGTGTGAGACAAGAAAGGCGAATTTATATTCTAGATAAACACACATTTATTATTTTTATTTGGATTCTGCGCGTAAAAAGATCATAACTGCTTAGTAAAATCGTCAAAACGGCGGCAACGGCTTGATTGAAATGAGTTTTCCTCCCGCGCGTTAGATAGAGAACGCATGTTTCAGGCTATTGGCAGGCTGGCCGTATCTATTGCTATTTTGAAGGCGGGTAATACGGTGCGACTTTGAACTGACGATAGACTTCCATTTTCCATGGAGATTCAAGGGGCTTCACACCAATGTCTTGGGACCCGATCGCCCATTGAAATCTACTCGTTCCAGTAGTAGCATTGCTCCTTTTTATTATCGTGAGGGCTTTAACACTTGGGTCGACATCAGTTCTTACTGCCTGCATATTCAGTGCCTGTAGTCCATCCTGAACGTTCGTCTCCTATTTTCCCATTTCCCTGTCTTTGTTGCAAGCCTTCACGTTGTTTTCCTGCCTTCTCTTTGTTCTGTTTTCACTTTTACCGATTACAAACAAATTTCAGGCATCGCGCGTGAAACTCAGCGCCGATCATTGAGGTGACCAATGGACGCCGCTTGAAGGCGCCGGCCGTGGTTTTATGATTTTAAAAAGGGCCAAGTTTTATTTTAGCTTCATGGCTTTATTTTTCTTCAGGGAAAAAAAGCGACGTCGGGCGCCATCTCTGGGTCAGCTGATGGACGATTGTTTATTATGGGATTGCGGTTAGTGATTGAACACTGCTACTTCTCCGAAAACCTTTTTAGATCGCGCTTCCTCAACGGGCAATCGACAGATGATGGAAAGCCGGCAGTGCGAACAGAAGCTGTTCATGTGCACAGATGGTGCGCGACTACGTAATCTGGTTGCTTTTTATTTTTCGCTTTAAAAACGGAATTGCTATTTCTATCTAGAGATCTAAACTGAAAATGTAGACTGATTTCGGCCCGTATTTTTAACCTGGTAAAGAGAGAAACTGAATGAGGTTAGTTTCCTCAAATGGCCACTGCTAGCTTGCCTCGATCCATGCGAACCGTGATTGGATGGCTGTATTTCGGCAAATGATCTCTGCTCGCATTTGCTTCTGCCATCAACGTAGCTTAAAAACCATTTTAGACTTAGACTAAAGATTTCAAAAATCAGAACTTTGACATTTTATTAGACTAAATTCATTTTAGCTGAAACAACAACATCAATAACGACAAATTGAGAGCGACAAAGAGCAACAATTTAAAAATTAAAAAACTAAAATTCAGGCAACATTCGCGAAAGAGCCGAGAAAACCGGCTACAGAGACGTAAGTAAACACGAAAAATCGAGATTTCCGGGGGTGGGCATTTAATTGTTCGGGAGGGGAAATGGGTGCAGATTGTTGTTGACCGCGTCGAACTTGTCGCCGTCGTCGGCCGGTTGTTGTTCGAATCGGGCGCTCCAGCGGTGATGGCGCGGGTAGAAGTCCTAGAATTGACAAATGATAAACGTAAAAATCGGACTGGGCTGTTAGCGAGGGGGGGGGGATTAATTTTTTTCTTTTCCTAAATCTTTGAATTGTTAGGAAGTTATAAAAATATTCAAAAAATGTTACACATTAAAAAAAGGCTTTTTTGTGGTTCGTTTGAAAAACGCAAAAATTTTCCACAAAACAATTTTTTTATCCGCTTTTTATATCTAAAAACGGTGTAAAATAGACTTTATTTTTCAGTATAAAGCCGTAACCGATTACTGAGAAAAAAATCGCCTCCCCCCCGCTAACAGTCCAGTACCGCCAAAAAATCGTACCTTATATAGACCACCGGCGGCCGCGGCCTCGTAGGTACCGGCAGGGACATCGGCCTTGAACATCTCGGAGATGATCGCCAGCAGCGCCAGCGGATCGATCTAAAAAACAAGGGTTTAGGTGGAAAAGAGGGCGGCACCTCGGATGGCGGCGTCAGTCGACGATTGGCAAATGGCCTCGGAGGCGGCACCCTCGGACGGTACTTTACTGACAACGAATCGTTATTTAGTGGAAATCGAGTTTCGTATATTTTATAGCATAATTTGTGCAGAATTTTCAGCTAATTCCGAATCTGCAAAGCTTGTACGTTCGAAAAACGCCGAAAATGGCTCAGTTTATGCTATTTCGCATGGATTTTCTGCAAAACGTCGAAAATCCTGTCGTTCCTCCGATTTTGAAACCACGATTCGAAACCAGCGCAAAATTCTGCACAAACTACGAAACTGGATTGCCACTGAAAAACGTCTCCTTGTGAGGATCAATAAATTAACGGTTCTTGAATCTATTCAGGGGGAAACCGACTTTCAGAATTTACGTTCTAAAAACAGCTATAGAAAAGCGGAAAACTGTTTGTAGACTTAAAACCGTCTCAAAATCTAATTTTTGTGGAAAAAGAACAATTTTGTACGTTTAGGGGTACTAAAAAATGACGAAAAAATTCCTATAGCAAAATTAGAAAAATCTGTTCTCCCTGGAAGCGATAAAGAACCGCTACAAAACGTTAGATACCTTGATTCGATGGGGGTGTGGCGACGACAATCTGCGGGGGAGCGTGTTGAGGCGGTGGCGGAAAGGGGATGGCGTGGCCCGGGAGTCGATACCACGGTGGAAGTGGGGTCGAGTAGATGGGCGGGTGGGGCATCATACGGTATTCGGGCGGCGCATCCCACGTCACGAACCGCCGAAATGGATCATACGGGTGCCAGGGGGCCTGAAAATTAGCCAATTTTTTTGAAAATACTGAAACCTCAGCGCCAGGAAACTCGCCATTACGAATTTTGAAATTGAATTTTTGTAAATTTAATTATTTTAAGAAATTTTAAAGCAGGTCAAAAAATGAACAAAAACTGTTTTATTTAGCTGATTTTAAAAATTTTAACAATCCTCCAAAGCATACCTCGTAAACAGGCTGCTGATAAGCGGCAAATGCTGGCAGCTGGGGCTCCTCGTGCACAACCTCGCTACGGCGCTTCGACGTCGTGGCCACGTTTTTCGGTCGCCTCTGCGCCGGCCGCGGTGGCGTTTTCTTGCCAATGAACACCTCCTAAAAACCAGATTTACAATCGAGAATCTGAATTGACCTCGTAATCACTTTCAGTGCTGTCATCGTCGTCCATTTGCATGCTATCATCGAAACCGAGGCGTGGCGGAGGTTTGCGGATACGAGATGGACGACCCGTAACTTCTTCTGGTGGGCCCTGAAAAACAAGAAAATAATTTTTATTATTCCAAAATAGTAATAATAAAAAGCTTTACAAATTTGCATTACAAAATACAAAAAAATTCGATTTTTTTGACCAAAATGTGAATTTTTGAAAGTACCTAGATTGAATTCCATCTGAAAAATACGGTGAAACTGTAATAAAAAATATTTGAAATGTTGCTAAAACGTTAGGCATTATTAGACCGCATGCTATTACCTTTTTAAACATTTTTCAACTTTACAGAAATTCGATCCCCCCGATAACGCAAAAGCACCCAACGGAGTTTTGATCATAATGCCGAAATTTCGAAAATAAGTTAAACCCGTTCTAAAAACGAACCTGATCATCACAAGTCGTTTCCAGAAACGTCTTGGTGGTGGAAGTGGAGGCCGAAGTAGCGGAAGTGAAACGAGGTGGCGGGATGCGAGTGCGACGCGGCCGTCCTGCCGCCAAACCGGGAACATCCTGAAAATAATTAATTGTCTGTTTTCCTCCAAGAACACAATATTGGTACCCAAAAATCCCTAGTCTAGTTCGGGCCGATGCGTACGTAGCGTCCGTAATTCCGTCTGACCGTAAACAGGTGTGTTTCGTTTTGTCGGTTCCTTGCAAAAAACTCCATTAGCGAAAGGTAATTTTGGAAATTAGACTGCAGATTTACCCACATTTTGAGTGGTTTAACGAGAGAAATTGATCCAGGAATTCCTGAGAACCGCTTCTTTTGTCATACATAGATTTTCGGCGAGCGGACGGGGACGCACGTTATTAAAAAAAAACATTAGATCATATACCATTCCTTTTCAACTTTTTTTGAACTTTACAAAAATTCAATCCCCCCGATAACGCGAAAGCACCCAACGGGGTTTCGAACAGAATGCCGAAACGTCGATATTTTGACGTTTCCCGTGAAAAATTCGGACCATATAAATTTCGAAACTGGAAAATAAGTTAAACCAGCTCTCAAAACGAACCTGATCATCACTCATCGTTTCCAGAAACGTCTTGCTGGTGGAGCTGGTGGCGGAAGTAGCGGAAGTGAAGCGAGGTGGCAGGACGCGAGTGCGACGCGGCCGTCCTGCCGCCAAACCGGGAACATCCTGAAAAAAAAATTCACATTGCCTGTTTTCTTCCAAGAACACCATATCCGTAATTTCCGCGAAAACATACCATTTCGTGGGAGCTGGTTGGTGTGCAGGTTCCGGAGTCCAATTCTGGAAGTTTGGCCCGCGTGCGCGTTATCCTGAGCAGCTGCGGCGTGCCGTCGGCCTCATCGCCGAGTGGGAGGTTGTTGTTGTCGGACACATTCGGGATACGACGCCGACGCTTCATCGAGAGACGAGTATCCTGAAAAAGCAGTATACTGATCGTATTGTCAGATAGATTTGTTAATGGAATTGAACGAAATATCAAGGCAAAAACCACCTGGGAAAAATGTTGAAAAATATCGATTTTTCGAGAAAGATTTCGAAAACTTAAATATTTTCTAAGCCTGTTTAGAAAGTTTTCCATTTTAGATCAAGTTAATTCTGCTATAAACACTATTAAAAATGCTCATTAATCGATTACTAATCGATTCTGGTTTTTAGGACCCCCGATAATGCCAAAGCACCATGCTTTCTTTACCTTATTGCTGGCGACGGTGAGCAGCAACTTGTTGTCGTCGTGCTCGAGCGCGCCGTTGCTGACCAACTCCTCCTTGTCGGCGGCAATCCGGCCCATCAGCTCGTCGGCTTGAAGCGGGAAATTGGCCATGACGGTGGCGGTCAGATCCGCGAAGTAGGTCTCCGTCCTGAAAATGGGTTATAAATAGAAAATAAAAAAATAGCAGCTTACCGAAAATCCAGAACAACAGCATCGCGTCCTTGAAAGTGACGAGCAAGCATATGCCTGGTGACTTCCTCTTTCATACGGTTTAACCATGGGCAATCTAAAAAAAGGACTAGAATATCGCTGCTTTTGCGTTATCGAGGGGGGGGTTTCCTATAAGTCCAGAAGTGCCTAATCTCAATAGATAAGTATTTTCATATTGTTTTAGTAAAAGTTCTAGTTTAAAATAGAAAAACTATCCAAAAAATCGAAATTTTGTCGAAAAATAGACATTTTGTATTTTTTTATTAAAATTTGTAAAGTTTTTACGTTTAGTAGTAGTGAAAACAGCTTAGAAATTGATTTCTTTTCCAAAACAAACTAAGCTTCCGCAATTTATGGCAAAAAAATTCGACACTAAAGGAAAAGACTCCCCCCCCCCCCCCCCGATAATGCAAAAGAACTAAAATCAACCATGCTAAAAACGTACGAGGGCATCTGAATGGGCGATACTCGAGATGGGCTATCGAGTGTTTGATCAAGTTGATCGTGTTGAGGCTGGCTTGAGGTTGCACCGCCAATTTCTTCATGCACGTCTAAAAACGGGCACTCTGGCAATTCTAGAAGAGCTGGAATTTACCTGGCATTCATTCTTCACGACGGCCCTCATTTCTTGGTCATTCTCGTGGGGCGGTTTGTCTTGATTCTCCTTGCCGGCCTCATGCTCCTCGATTTGCTGTTTCCGCTTCTCGTTGACGTAGTCGGCACAATCCTCCTTGTAAGCCGGGAACGACGCGGCCGCCACGCGCTTCACCTCCCTCGAGAACATCGGGTCGCTAAAATAGTTATAATTTTTCAAATTTTAGTGTTTTATTTATTTTATAACAATCAGAATATTATGTTATTTTAGATGCCGATTACTCTGCTACAAATCTGGGAAAAAGAACTATTCTTAGACGTAAAGAAGTTTACAATGTTTCAAAAATCGAAGAATTTCGTATTTTTAACAAAATTTAACATATTTTGTCATGTTTCTATCTTTATAAAAACTTTGCGACCTGAAAAATAGCCCAATTTTTCAGGAAAGACCAATAAAAGACCTGCTATTATCCGCTCAAAATACTAAAGATGCAAAATCGACTACAAAGAACGAATTTTTAGATTTTTAAACGTTTCCCGGGCTGGCTACATAATTTTCCCACTTTTTACAAAAATGCGGTTCAAAAAAATACCGCATCGTCACCAGCCTGCCGTGGAATTCGTACTGCTCGCCGTCGTGGTGGTCGCCGTCGATGTGGGTGATGGCGTGGTTGACGAGGCCCTGGCCCGTTTCAGAAGCGCGCACCTTCAGATCGACGCCGCACGTCTGAAAATGCATTCTTTGCCAATATTCCCCACAAAATTCACCTCGCAATGGTGGTCCCGGGTGAACAGCTCGAGCATGTCGTGCTGCTCATCCTGGCAATGTGAGACCGGCTCGTCGACTTGCCAGATTGGCAACTAAAAACGGAATTTGTGGTACGGACTGTTAGCGAGGGGGGGAACGTTAATAAGAAAATACCCACCTAACTTTTTTACTGTTTTTCGACAAAAATTCAAATTTTAAAAGTTTTTGTGCCGTTGCTATGACTTTTTCGCTATTAAAAACCATTAATAAATACGAGAAAACCCTACATAAATTTTATTACCAAATCAAAATAAATTTTTTTCTAGGTAGGCATCTGACTAAATCCCCCCCGCCCCCGCGAACAGTTCAGTACCAAATTTTCCAGGAAAAAAGGCGACAAACCTTCTCCCCTTGCAGCTTCTTTCTCCGTGGCCGTCCACGGGACTTTGGCTCGCCCTAAAATACAGAAATTAAAAGCAGCGAAGATCCCAACCTCGGAGCCATTGGAGCTTCTCGCCTTATTCGACTTCGTCGGCATCTCCTAAAAATCATTAGAATGCCAAGCAAAAATCCAAACCCAATCAGGCGTCTCGGCTCGCTTCCTCGATCTCCTCGGTGGCGTCTCCTAAAGAAAGTTTGATTTTAAAAAGTCTAGGCAAACCACATCGGAGCCGTCAGATTCTGGCGCGGGCTTGCGCTTCCTGGCCCTGCCGTTCGTTTCGCTGGACTTTGACGTTGATGGCTGAATTAGAAAGATCAAGAAAAATCCAGGGTATCCCGAAAATCGCTTTCGCATAATCGAGGAGGACCAAATTTTCCAATAAGAATAGTGGCAGTGCTTCTAAACTGTTTTTTACTACTCATAACCGTTAAAAAAAGCATGCAATTTTTTTAAAAACGAGAAAATATAGCTATTTTCAACAAAAATCGTTGTTTTTAACGAAATTTCGATTTTCAGAATGTTTAAAACGTTTTTAGCTCGTTTTTCTAGTTGGAATATAGTTATACACTACTAAAAACACTGACAAAATACTTTCGATTAATTTCCCAGACATTTCTAGACTTATAAAAAAGATCGGATCTTAGGTCAGCCAATTCAGGCGCGCTCGAGCGTTTTTTGGGAACCCCCGTAAAGTAAAACGAACCTTTGGATCGCTAGCGCCCGCCGCCTTCCGCTTTTTCTTGGCCTAAACGAAAATCAAGGTAGAAAAGGGTCTGAAATACCGGCTTGCGCTGCGCCTCCTCGTCGTCGGAGTCGACGGGCTCTTCCCCTTTGTATTTCCAGTAGCGGATCCAGGGGAAGATGTTGGCCATGTCGTAGAACCACTCCAGGTCGACATCCTCTTCTTCGGCCGTTTGTACGGGGCCTACCTAGAATTAATCCATTTGAGAAAGAAAGGATCCGATACCTTGGGCGTATCCTCCTTGATTTCTGCCGTTTGATGGGATGGGTCATCGTTTGGCTCCATGCTAAACAAACGATTTGGAAAGTATAGTAAAGTAAAAAAGATAACAAAAATTGAAAATCGAAATCGAAAAGAAAAAAAGTGCGGAAAATGACGTGAGAGTGTCCAGTACGGCACAGTACTCTAGTTACTCAAATGTCATCTGGAGTCCATCGGAAAACGTAAAAATCCAAAATTTTGAACCTTTCTCGACTAAAAAAAAACAAATTTTTTAGGTTTATTTTTCCGAAGTGTACCGCATCGATCCGAATATAATCTTTGTTTTTCCTTTTCATTCCTTGCTCAGTTTTGGAATAAAAAGGAAAAACCACCGCCAAATCAACTTTCTTTTTCAGGCCAGAAGATAACTCATCGCTTCGATGGATCGTGATCAATTCGAGGAGGAGCTGAGCGTACTAAAGGACGGCCATCTGACGGAGATCGATATCGTCGAGGAGGGCAACGGAAACAAGGGAGATGATGGAGACGTTGAACGAGTTCCAGATGGCGGGAAGGACGTCTACAAATCCACGACTAAAATCTTCGACCTTCCGGTGGAGATGTTGTGGGGAATTATGAAACCCCTTGATGGAGGTGACCTATGCTCTGTTGCTGGCACTCATCAGAAGCGGCTCCATGCATCGAAATATCTAATGAGCAAGGACTTTACGTACGTGAGATGCGTCCCGACAGTTCGGCCAGATTCTCCTCGTTATGCTCAAACGCCGGAAGTGTTGGAGATTCTTCTGCAGGGAGCGTCTGTCACGGCCTTGAACTACAATTCGGATGCCCGTCCTATCGATGTGGAGGGTCTCCGCTTGGAACATCTTGAATTGACCGGCAATGAGCGATCACCTGATTTTGCTGCTATAGTGATCGAGAAGTTGAAGCCGAAGTATGTCTTCTTGGAAGACTATCTGAACTATACGATCACTCCGCGGCTAGGCCAAGCTCTTTCCACGATTGGCACGCTCTTCCTCGGCCCAGTTGGAATGGAGCTGCTGGGCTTTATTACCGAGTGTAAATTCGAGTATTTGCGTTGCCAATTGAAAAACGAGAATGGAGAGATGCCAGCTGGCTTCTTCGATGTCATCAGACAACTACTCGATCAATATAAGAACGGAGAGCGATCCGACTTCCTACTAGAAATGGAGTTTCATTCCGTGCTGCAACATGACCAGCTTCATTCAAATGTTTTTGGGCCAGATTACCCGCTTGAGTTCCGGGGCGGGCTAGTGGTTGCCCCCTACTATTACTCTTCCAGCCCCAGCTTCACGCTTATCATCGACCAAAGCAGCCTTACTATGAATTCGGACAGCTAGTCATCGCATTCCTTCTTTTGAGCGAGGCTCTTCTAATAATGTTGGATTCCCTCTCATTCTCGGCGTCTTGTCTTCATTTATTGGCTTCTTCGCATTATCTGACTGAACTCACCAAAGTTTTTTGTATGCGTCTTGAAATATCTAGTAAATTAATAGCAAGTGCTTTAATGGCTTTAATTATATATTTGAACTAGAAAACTAGAAATCTAAAAACGTTTGAAAAGGTCGACATTTTCAACCAAATCGGCCTTTTTGGTGGAGGAATCTTTATTTTTTTTTGTATTTTTGAAAATGTGTAAGGGTTTTACCTTTAGGAATCGTAAAAAAAAACTTAACAGTACTTCCGCTTCTTAAAATTTGATAGTTGAAAATTAGATGCTAAGAAAAATTTGGTCCCCCGATAATGCGAAAAAGTCAAGCCGCTGTTCTTTCTTTTTCGCAGCTCTACTAGTAATGTTGTTTTTGTTTCGTTTTGTTCCTTGTCTCCAAAGTTTCCGAAGATACGCTATTTTACAAAAAAATTCCAGGTAGCCTCAACCGTTCAACCAAGAAACAAGCAGCGTTCCATTACAACCTCGCTGAAGGTAAATAACTTTTCATTATTTTTTTTTCTTTACAGTTCTTCAACCTCCCTTTAATAATTCTCTGGCAAGCATTACGCCGCCTTCTTGCCGTAGTTTATAGCCGGCTACTGCCTCTTCTTTCACCCACACTCTCCACGCCCTCTCGCCGCCACCCTTTGGAAATCCTTACGACATAAACATTCCATATTCTACGCCTCCAAACCTTTTGGCTATAAAATCTACAGTATAACTTTTCTTTCAGGATGAGCCGACGAGCCGTCCAATTCGCCAAGAAATTCGTCAACCGGAACCCGTTGAATGCCCACCTCAGCGGGCTGCAGCCCATTCCCAGCGGCTTCGAGCTGGACGCCGACGCGAAGAGGCGCCATTTCTTGTACCGGGCCGAGCTGTCGCAATCTGGGGCTCATCAGGAGGCCACCGTCACCCATTTTACGTGAGTTTACGCGCAGCTGTTGAAGTTGGGTGGCCCTGTGGGCGCAAAAACGGCCTTGCCACCTCCGTTTGCTTCGAAAAGCAAGTTTTCGGAGCTAGTTTTTTGTACTGAGTTGGAATTTGGCATTTTTAGCCTAGAAGGCTTTAACTTTAGACCACAAATTACAAAATGGCGATGCCGGAAACGTTTTTTCGCGTATTTTGGCGGTCCGTGATGTGACTTTTTGTAGTTTTTGCTCTAAAATTATTTTTTGTCGCTCAATATCCAATTTTTTACAGGCGAAAATGTGCAATTCAAGCTAGGCGCAAAAAATAGCTTCAAAACTTGTTTTTTTAAGCTGACGGAGTGTAAAATAGCATAAGTGGCTCTCAAATTCGAGACGATAATTTAATTTTTTGGAATGTAAAATCAATTCCCGAATTTCAGTGACGGTGTGGTGCTGCGCGTCTCAACCCGTGAGCCCTCGATCTCCTCCCAACTCCACAGCACTGCCGACACGGCCGCTGCCCTCAACCTGGGACGTGTACTCGCGACGAAGGCGCTGAAGGCCGGCATTCTCCGAGTGGCCGCTGTTGATGAGGCGACAAAAGCGCAAAGTCTCCATCAGAAGCATTTCTACAAAGCGCTGGAAGAGACGGGGCTGACACTCGGGGAAATGCAGGCGCCGGAAGTGGATTATGCCCTCGACAAGCGGATCACTTGGAAGCGATTCCCCATTCATCACAATCGATCCGACAAGATTGACGATGATGATGCGGCCAGAGAACGCAATTGATTCTAGCTGCTCATTTTTGCGTGTTCATGACATTCACGTTTTGCTAGTGTTTGTGATATCATTTAGTCGATTTACTGTAATTTACAGAATATGGCTTTTTACTATATAAATAGCGTGAAAAGTTCTTTAGTTAGTTGTTATTTATCATTGTTGCCTTTACCTGATCGTTCTTATGAATATAAAATGCTGTTGTCATTTGCCTTTTTCTCTTCTGCCTTCCACATTTCCGAATGCCTTTCTGACGATTGATTATAAAGAAAATTTCAGGCATGTCGAGCCTTGTGCGTTGGCTGAAGCGACAGGCCGACCACAACGCCGTCTCCTATTCCAGATTCGGGTTGCCAGGTGGACTTTTTTCTTGGAAATATAATTTCTTCTTGTAGGCGATGAGACAGACGATCGTCCCCCGCCCACCGAGATTCACATTGCCAAGTTTGACGAGCTCGACAAGCAGTTTATGCTTTTCGGTTTCCACTCGCAGCGGCTGGCATTGGTGCGTTTGTTTTTGGCCAGAATTACACCAAATTCTCCTCCTCAGTTTATTTTAAAATCTGCAAAATGTCGAAAACCTGAAAAAACCGTATCGATGGCTGAATCGAATCGAAAAATCGCCATTTCTGTATTTTTTAGTATAAATTTTTGCGCTTTGGAGAAATCAAAAGCGATGGAATTTCTTTTTTATGATAATAATAATAACCAGGGTTGAAAAGCGGCTTCGCGACTTTTCAACCCTGGCCCCGTCTTACCCTAATTATTTTTTATATATAGTAGGATAATGGTTCTAAGCAAAAATGGAAAAATGCTATATTATCCCCCTTTTTGCAGTTATCAGCCGGCTTCGGGATGTCGATGGGTCTGTTCTTCTTCCTCATCTTTTTCTTCGAATTCGACTGGTACCACCACGCCAAGGGATTCGACATTGCCGCATTTAGTAAGAGATCTCTGTTTTCTTGGTTTTATTTCCGTCTTTTAGTGATGCTGATGTTTTTCGTGGCCGGCTGTATCCTCATCCACTACCAGGTATCACAACCGGTTTTTTTAAACATGTTTTTCAGGTCGTTGCTGGGATCAAGAAGGGCAGTCCACGTCTTCTCATCCCATTCATCGTCGTCTACATCTTCCTCTTCACTTCCTGCTTCACCAGCACGCTCTACGTGTTGTGAGTGGATTTTTTGGTGCTTTTGCATCAACGGGGTGGAAGCAGGGCGAACCGTTTTTCTGTAGCTCCAGATATGCCTAGAATCGTCATAGAAAGTATTTTAATAGTGTTTTAGTCATATTTTTATACATTTAATGTAAAAAACTATTTTTAAAAGTTTGAAAATTTAAAAATAAAGAATTTCGATTTTTTGGGATAAAAATTTGTAGTTTTTACTTTGTTTATCGTAAAAACAGTCCCTATATTCGTATTAGAAAAATGCCCACTAATGAATCCTCCCCCCGTTAATGCAAAAGCACCTATTTTTCCGCTTCCAGGGCACAGCTGATCACCGGCGCTCACGACCCCCGATTCACGGCCAGCTTCGAGACGACGAGAAGTGTACGTTTCTGGTTTCCAAGTTTTTACTGTTTTTAGGCGCAAGCGGTGACCCTATTCTTCCAATGCATCGTCTTCACATGCCAGGGGGTCATGCTCGAGTCTGTGGCTCGATGTAGAACATATTTGGCGCGTCGTCAGATCCACGAGGCCGAGCTGCAGATTGCCAATCTTAGCGTGAGTTCTCCTTTCTCGAAAATGACTCTTCTATCATTTCAGAAATCTCGCAACCCGAACCTGAACATTGTCATGGGTGAGAGGCCGAATGGACCGACGGTACGGGTTATTTCTTGCCGGTTCTTTTGCATTTTCGGGGGGGGGGGGCAGTGTTCGGTAACCTGATGTCGCGGGCTGGGGTCCGGAGGTCCTAAAGGGGAAAAGGGTCCGGAGGTCCTAGAAAAAGGGAAAATCGGCGGAAATGAGGGCGAAAATTTGAATTTGGCTCCAGGGGTACGGGTAAAAACGAGGTCTGAGGGAAAAGCAAGTAAAAGGCTAAAAATGAGAAAGTGCCGGATGGAAAGCGCTAGAAAAGAGAGAAGTGACTGGTAGATGGAAGGGGAGAAGGTATAGGCCCATTTGGAAGGAAGGAAGTGGAAAGAGGGCCATGATTGATGTGTAGCGATCGGCGACATCACCTAAACGGGACCGGATTTAGGCATGAAGCGGAGCATGGGACGATTTCATATTTGGTGAGCAGAAAGAGAAAGGGTTTTGCTATGAAATGAGGGGTCGATCATCCTGGTAGCTCTTGGGAGGGCAGAGCAATGGGGGAAAAGGTGCGGAAAAACAGGCCAAATTTGGGGTGAAAAAGGGGCCCAAAACATAACCTCGGCGCGGTTTTTCGATTTTGACCTGAAGAAGAGGTGATGGATGGATGCAATGTATAGAAGCGTTGTAGACTAGACTACGGGCTACAGACTGGTGGAAAAATTTTGAGAAACGGTAGATTGACGGCTGAGATATGCGGTGTTGAAAAACGAAGGCAGAGCTTGCGTCGGGGAGCGATTTTCAGACGTCGCCACTTGGGAGGTCCTGGAACCACTTTAAATTTGGGTTTAATTTTAACGACCAGGATATCATTCGACGCAGAATTTTCTGCTCTACATTTCGGTAATAGATATTAAAAGCTAATAGTAGCAGTAAAAAAAGTTAGAGGGGAAAAACTGCAAAATTGACCGTTTCTGAAAACGGAGGTCCTAGGATCTCGAAAACGAGTCCGATGACCCACCTCCTTTTTTACGGATTATAATGTAGAAGGGTTTGGCACACATTTTTGTAATAGATTGCCTTTGAAGCGGGCGAAGGGATTTAGGAGAAAAAGGCGAAAACTGGGAAAAAGTAAATTTTTGGAAAATGCTCGTAGCTCGAAATCGAGTCGGATGACCCACCTCCATTTTTTCGGATTTTGATGCAATCGTGTTAGGCGCACATTTCTGTGATACATTGCTTTTTAAACCGGCAACGGGATTTAGGAGTAAGACGCGAAAAACTGCGCAAAACCGTCTTTCTCGCTCCCTATCTGTCTCTCTCTCTCTCTCTCTCTCTCTCTCTCTCTCTTTCTCTGTCTCGCTCATCTCTCTCCGCCTTTCTCTCTCGCTCTCTATCTCTCTCTCTCGCTTTCTCTTCCTCTGGTTTGTTGATTTATCATGCTGACACTGCTTGCTTTACTCACTGCTTTCTTTGGTCGTATAGTAGGTGTAGTACATATTTATTCAAATAAATGCGAATCTCCATATATTTATTGGTTTATCCAAGCCGGGGGGTTTGTCAGCTTCACATGGTAGATTCCTTCTTGCCGATGACACTGGCTTCATCCTGCAAAAAATTTTTTTAGACCATATATATCAGGCAAAAATTTTTCGGCCCTCCGGGCCGGACGGAGGTCCATTTTTTGGTACAGGGACCCCGGAGGTCCTAGTGACGTCTCAGCGACCACTTTCCGAACACTGGGGGGGGGAGTTTTTTGTAGTGAAAAAGTACCTAAAAAACGTGAAAAATGCTTTAAAATTTAAAATTCGCGTCGAAAAACGATATTTCGAATTTTCTATAAGCTATTAGCTCTAGAAATAGTAGAGTAATATACTAGAATGTTTTTCTATATAAAGAAATTGGTTTCTAGAAAAATTGGACCCCCTGATAATGCAAAAGTACCTGTAAAATTTCCATTTTTTTAGGTGGCCATCGCGGCGGAAACGATCGGCCAGCCCCCAACGTACGATGAGGCGCGCCAGCAGCCGCCCAATGCACAACGTACCCTCTTCACCACCGTATCCGAGAATTAGCCCCGTTTTGCTATATACATATTTTCGCGTTAGTTTTTTTCGAACCCATTAATTTTTACATTTACTTATCTCATCTTGCCATCCCAGAGTCCTTTTTTGGTCGTCGATATCTCCCCCTTCTCACGTTGCAGCTATTATTTTGGTACATATTTACTGTAGTCGATTCGGGTTCTCCTCCTCGTTGCAAAATATACTTATCCACCCCCTCCTGTCGCATAATGTGTGCTGTACTAGGCGATTTCTGTAGTTCTATTTGACTGTGGTCCGCATAAACGGTTCAAGGATTGTTGTTTTGTTTTTGGAAAATGCACGGCTTTTTGACCTGGCTTACTTTCTAGGAATGTTGCCTAATTCAGATGAAGTTATTTTTGAAGGGTTCGAAGTTATCTTTCGCATTGTCGTGGGGAACTAAATTTTTTTCTTAGGGTCTAATTTTTTTAAATTTGGGAGCTGAGGTGTTTCTAAAATATTTTTTCTACCATTCCTCACTTAATAAATTAAAAAATGTCTTAAAGAATTCAAAAACGATTTTTCGACCAAAAATGGCCGATTTTTGGCCAAAATGTCGGCCTTTTTGAGAAATGTTTGAAATTTGGAGATATTTTTTCTAGTTGAAATATCGTTATATCTTACTAAAAACCTTGTTAAAATAGTTCCTATTAAGGTACTAGGCATTTCTAGCCTAACACAATCATTTTTCATTACCAAGTTTTCGTTGTATTAATTTAAAAAATGGTAGCAAATTGGTGCTTTTAGGTTCAGGCTTTGTAGAGTTTTCTGCCCGCTTTGGTTTCACTAACTTGAAGCGGATCGGTTTCTTATTGCTAGCGGCTTTTCAATATCTTCTTCTTGGCCTCATTGCCAGCTCGTGCTCAATAAGTTTTTTTGGTTGTTTTTGGCTGAGCTTCAACCCTCGATCTCTTCAGCTTTTCGCGTGGAGCGACAGTCAGCTGAGACGTCACCGTTTTGGCAGCCATCTCCACTCGAATCGATTTTTGGCTCTCTGGGGCTTCTCTTCTCCCTCCCCTCCCTCTCGTCGTCTGTTGTCTCTCTATCTTGGCCTTCTCTCGCCCTTCCGCTCTCCCCTTCCAACTTCATCCCCCATCCATCGTTGCACCCTGTGTACCCTCCACTTGCAGGCAGATGTGTTATTCAATCCCCCGTTTTGTACTTGTTCACGCGCGCTTTTGGTTAATTAACGTTTTAAAACTTTAGATATTAACAAAAAAAGAAAAATCTGCTGTCTTTTAGGCTTTTGTTACGCTTTAAAAACCGCTATCTCTCATCGTTTTCAGCTATTTTGGGCTTTTCCCCGCGTCCTTTTTTAGAAAATAACGATCTAAAAACTTGGAGAGATTACACAAAAAGCTGCATTTCTGCTCCGTCAATTTGCCCTTTAAAAACACCTTCTGTGTCTCTTCCTTATTCAAGCTAACCCGCACAATTATTAGGCATAAAGGAAAGCGCATTTTTCCGACTTCAAGCTACGTTTTTGCAACTTTCATTTGTCCTCCTACGCTTCGAATTTGCTCTCCAAAACTTCAATACCTATCATTTATCTCCAATTTTCAGGGGCGATGCACCAGGACACCTCAGAAGCCAAGAAGACCACCCAAAATAACCCCGAGCCCGCCCCCGTTGACAAATCCGAGACACCGTCCACCAGTGAAGGTACGATTTCTAGAAAATATTAGCCTATTTTGTTGTAGCAATCGATGACGCAATGTTTGTGCTGAAGCGACTACAAATTACAAGGGAAGACGAAGCCGGGAAGGAGGGCACGCTGCCCGAGAGGAAACAACCCGAGGAATCGGCGTTGCACGAGAAGAGCAGCGGATTTGAGGTGAGTTTTGTAATTTTGTGGGCTGATCTGGGTGCAAGTATAATTTTTCCAGGCCTCTAATTGGCTTTCTCCCCCGCAAACACGAAAGCACTGTGATTTAATTTGAATCTAGCCTAAAAAATTAGAGGTTTTTAGCTGTTGGAAATGCCATTTCTTTCTATCACGAATTTCCAGGCGCCATCCCCGATGACGCGCTGCCGTTCGAAGTGGCGCTGGCGGCCCTACGACCCGCCGAGGCCCGGAAAATCCGATCGCAGCGAGGCCGAGACGATCGCCCAATTGGAGAAGATCAAGTGGCAGGAGGAGGTGCGGTTTTCGTTTGGCACTTTCAAATTATCAAGGGTTGAATATACGTCCAAATATTCCAAAAATAAGACGGTTTCTTGGTAACGTTTTTAGTCAGTTTTAGCTATTTTTAAAGCGAGGACACCTGAAAAACAAAAACCCTTGGAAATCAAGTTAGATTTTTGGAAATTTTTGTCCAAATTGATCATTTTTATGATAAAAATTGTGGGTTTTTTTCTCCAGGTTTATTAAGAATTTGAGCAATGTTTAAAACGTTGAAGCTTTAAAGTCGAAAATACGGAAAACACAGTAAAACCCTTGTTTTCAGTTGAACGTTGATGGGCTGCGGAATCGGCTTCTTCTGCCGTTGCCCTGTTCCGTCGAGGCGGCCCGCAGCGGAAATCAGCCCGATCTGGAGGTAATCTCTGTCTTTTGACCGGCTAAAAATGTTGATTTTAGGTAGAAGAATTGGCGGAATATTTTGGATGTTTCGTCTGTGTCGAATCAAAGATGTCCGCGCTCGCCGAGTCGATGTATTGCTGAAGAGCCAGCGCGTCATTTTATACCCAACATATTCCCCTTTAATATTCTCATCAAAACACGTTCTTTCTGGGTTTCTCCTGTTCCCCCTGCTCTCTCTCTCTCTCTCTCTCTCTCTCTCTCTCTCTCTCTCTCTCTCCGAAAGCAAGCTCATCTACTAGTTCTTCATCATATTTGTGATTCACTCTTCTTTTCTTTCCACCTGATTTTTTGTAGTCATTACTGAAATAGTGATCGTGTTACGAGTGCCCCATTCTTCTTCTTTTATATACAAGCTTTCCGAATCAAAACTCCCCGTCCCCATCCAGGCACTTTCCCCTCCAAGCCAAATCTTTTTATAATACCCTATTCGATTGATAAAGTTTTCCATGGAATTGCTGGCGGATTTGCACTGAAGCGATGGCGTGAATTGACGGAGAATATTTTGGAGTTTTGAACTTTAAAAAGTGGAACTGTTTTTGTTTTAGTTGGGTGGCCCCAAGGTCTGTGTACAAAGCAAGTTTTCCGTGCTAGTTTTTCTGATGCTGACTTCGAATTTCGCATTTTTAGACTACAAGAACTAAACTTTAGACTGCAAGCTACAGAAAATCGCAGCCGGAAACATGTTTTCGCGTTTTTTGCCGACCTGTGTGAATTTTTGTTCCTTGTACTCTAAACTTAAGTTCGGACGGCTAAGATCAAGGTTTCAAGGTCTAAAAGTGCGAAATTCGAATTCAGCGTACAAAACTAGCTTAGAAAAATTGCTTCTAGGCTTCGGCAAGATTTATAGCGCCCTTGGAGCCACCCACAAAGTCTAAAAACAGGTTAAAACTAAAGAAATATCTTTTTTAAGGATGCTGCGCGTCATCTCCACTGCCCGCCATTGCACGCGATTCCTCGCGAGCTCGAGCTCGACCTCCCGCCTCACGCCCGAGCTGAAATCGAAGATCGAGTCGATTGTGAAGGCGGATCCGGTGGTCGTCTTCATGAAGGGCACCCAAAAAGAGCCCATGTGCGGCTTCAGCAAAAACGTGAAGCTCGTGCTCGACTTCCACGACGTCAAATTCAAGGACTACAACGTGCTAGAGGATCAAGAACTTCGTGAAGGGATCAAGGAGTACTCGGAATGGCCGACGATTCCTCAAGTCTACGTGCGGGCCGAATTCGTTGGAGGGTGCGACATTCTCGTGCAAATGCATAAAGATGGGGAGATCAGCGCGTTTTTGGACGAGAAGCAGATTGCGAACAAGCACGGCGACGTCAAGGAGACGAAATAAGCTTTTCTCCTTCGAGTTGTAGATTTGTTGATTTTTGTGCTTCTTACTCCTTTTCATTTGAGATTTTCTGGTTGTTTTTGCCTTTCCAATGATTGTCGCCAATTTAGATTATTGTACTTGATTTCTGCTAGTATATTTCGTTGTTTTCCATCATTTTTCGTGTTGCCCTTGTCGAGAAATAATAATATATTAAATTTAGGCCCGTCTACACGATGGCCCTCGTCGTTCCATCCCTCACACTGGCCGGCACCCGTGTCCGTGCCTTCAACCAAGATGACCCGCGCAGTATCTGGATGTACGTTGAGGAATACTACAACACGGAGATGCTGCAAAAAGTGTTCAACTACTACGACCTGAAGCCGCTGAATATCCGCTTCATCACCGACAAGCGATCCGGCAAGCCGGCCGGATATTGTTTCGTCGATTTCGCGACGCCGGCTGATTGTATTCAAGCGATGCTGAGGGTTTATGGAAGAGATGTGCCCTATACGAACCCCACGAAGAAATTCTCAGTGGCTTTTGCCAAGAATCCCCAAATACCGGAAGTGGATTTCGTGATCTATGTGAACAATTTGGCACGAGATACGAATGATGGGGAATTATTCAAGCTGTTCCTGTCCCGATATCCCTCATGTCGATCTGTACATGTGAGAATGGCACCCGGACATCGAAGGGCCAGCGCCACTGTGCTATTCGCCGATTATTATGAGCAACAACAGGCCAAGGAGGAATTCGATGGGACGTCGTTTGGCGGATATGAGATGCTGATCACCACCACTGAGCCCCGCATCAAGCTGCCGAGGAGTTTGGAGGGCAAGAAGGAGGCTGATGATTACGTCGAATTCGTCCACAATCAGGTACATTTTGTCGGCTTTTTTCCATTGTTAAAGTAGTGATAATAAGACCGAGGTTTTAATGTGTAAATTTTAGTAAATTAGGAAATTAAATTATTTGAAAAATTTTTAAGAAATTGAATTTTATTTAATCTGTTTCAGACTATATTTTAAGTGTAAAAACTAGCGGAATTTGACAATATTAAGTAGAAAATGAGAATGTAGAACTGATATTTTTTCCGTTGAAATTTTGCTCGAAAATAGGCCATTCTTATCGGAAAAGATATTATCTGTGTTTTTTAATCAAAATGTTCAAGTTTTTGACGTTCGGAATAGAAAAACCTGTTTAGAAACGCCTCGTCGATTTATTTTGGAAAAACAACATTAACAAGAAGCTTGAGAGATCTAAAACGAGATTTTACACCTAGAAAAACCTGATTAATCTCGTAAATCACAAAATCTCCCCTTTTCCAGGTACAACAATTCAAAGCCATTCGCCGCAACGCCGACCTGGAGCGAAAACTGCAAGCCCGAATGGCGAAACAAGCAGAAGCCGAGGCATCTCAACGGGCAAAGATTGCTTTCTACGGCAAGCCGCTGCCCACCGTCGAGGAGAAGCCAATGTTCGACAATGTTCTCATGAATCCCCTTCATACAACTGAGGAGTTGAACAACTTCTTCGTTAGGTGCGACAATCGACTTTTCGAAGAGATTGGAAAGAGTCGATATCTGGCTGGAGGGATATTGATGGATGAATTAATGCTGAAGGACGAGTTGCGAGATGTTTATAAAGTGGAGGAGAGCAGTGATAGCGATCAGACGTGGAGTAATGCCAGTGATGATGGGGGAGAAGATGAACAGCAAGATCGACGCAAATCCACGAGCAGAAGGGCCAAGCGGGCACGACGCCATTCTTGAGGCATCCGCTTGAAACTTATCGTTTGAGGTACTTTCGCGTTATCGGGGGGGTCGATTTTTTCGTAAGATCCAAATTTTGGGAATAAAAACCTAAAAATCGATTTTTTTTTGACGAAAAATGGCCGATTTGCGTTGGATAACTTTTGCTTATGATTTAATTTTTATAATGTAAATTCTAGAAGCGTGTCCAGCTGATTGTTGACTATCCATAAGCGTAAATTTTTAAAAACTTGAATAAAGACTCGATTTTTGCCCAAATTTCATTTTTAGTACATTCAAAATTGGCCAAAAAACACCGTTAAAATATTTTCCATTTCGCTACTAGGTATATCTTATTTTTTTAGGATGCGATGATGACCCCCGGATGATGCACAAGCGCGCCTTATGTGATGATTATGCCGATCACCCCTTCGTTGTTTTTGTTATCGCAAATGTTATCATCTATATTATTATGATCTCTCTTGGATAATTGGTCGTTTTCTGGCAAATAAATACGGTTAATTCTTACAAAACTGTTTTGATACATTACAAGTTTGAAACAATACAAGAAACAACAATTAAAGTCGATATGTACAAATAGATAGAGCAGGGACGCGGTCATTACTCAGAAGTACAATATTACAAAATTTTCAGGCGAAATTGGCCTTTTTGACGCTGGTTTTTGATTGTTTCGGAATAATGACTTTTTGAGGGTTAGGTTAAGTTAAATTAGGGGTACTTTTTGAGAAGTTATTGAATGGAGATAGAAGCGGTGTGTCTCCTCTCTCGTACCAACATTTCCTGTTCCCATTCTCGCTCTTCTTTGTCTTCTTCATTTGATGGTTCAGCTTCTTTCGCCCAGGGTTGGACATCGGCTGAAATCGAGGCGTAAATCGTAGAAATTGGGCTTTCAGAAGTTTTTTTTTTTGGCTTCAAGGCCTTGTTTCGACGTAATTAATCCTAGTTTCGGGCCGGAAACGACATTTCAGAAGTGTTTTGGCGGCTTCACGATCGGCTTCATCGTTTTTTGCAAGGAATTAATGGTACTCTTACGCATCTGGCGGCGCGAAGAGGGGCTTTAGAATCTAGGTATTAGCGCTTTTTTCACTTATGGATTTACGTTTTTTGGACGTAACTAACGTAGATTTTAACGTTTTTAAAAGCTGATGGGAAACTGCGTAGCGTTGAAATTTAGTTTTTTCTAAAGTTTGGAATGAAATTCTAGGCAAAACATCGGCTTCTAGGTAAAAAATTCGGCTCACCCGAGCCGAAAATCAAGAACAAGACGCCGGAGAAGACGATGCAGCATCCGCCAATCAGGAATATCGTCTGCCATTCAGCGCGTGAGCCCTGCAATGCTTTTTCGGGATTTTTCAAGATTTTTAATATTTAGTTGATCCGATATTTAGATTTTAGATTACAAAATTTCGATTTTATTTTGATTTTAAGATTATAAAAAGATTTATGTCTATTTTAGAGCGCGTTACCGTCTTTTTGATGAATCCGACGCCAAGTGGAGCGCAAAGACGACCGAGAAGGGCTGTGAATGTGGAGATTGCCGTGATGGTGGCCGTGTAACGGGGGCCAATTGATAGCATTGATGTTACAAAACTGGAATTTGGGAATATTTATAAGATCAAGAGATACCCGCTGACAGAGAATCCCATGGAGCACCAGGTGAGGGTGACAAGGGTGAGTACGAGAAGTGGAGATGAACAATCCGCAAAATAGGCGATGCAGATCATCGTCGCGCCGATACCCGCGCAACCTGAAAAGCAGCAATTTCTAGGGAAAGACGTTCAATGAATTAGACTGAAATATATCGCGGTTCTTTTACATTATCGGTGGGGGGGGTCCCGTAGGAGCTATTTTTTTTCTAATATCAAGCGGCAAATCCGCGTCCGCTTCTTTTTCCTAAACGTCAGAAATCTCCAAATTTTCATCAAAATATCGATTGTGCGACCAAATTGGCACATTTTTGACTATTTTCTATGTTTGCTAGGTAATTTTTCCCTTGAAATAATTAGGCATTACTGGATCTATCGAAAAATGGGTTTCCTGTCTTTTTCAAACTAGTTTCATTCTTTTAATTCCGCTCAATCCATTGAAAACTCTAAATAAGCGGTTTTTCACTTACCCAAAGCCTGCGACAGTTTGACGGCCTGCGTCGGCGTCAGGATGTGCCGGGCTTTGCACCTGAAATTCGATGGCAATACGTTGCATTTTTTCTAGATTTTCCAACCAGTCCATGGCCATCGACCACAACAGTTTCCACGCAAACATTGCCACGTTGGGGATGGCCGTGTAGATGCCGTTCTGAAATCGGGAGAAAATGTAGGCTACAAAGTAAAAATCTACAGAAAAATGGCATAGAAAAGTGCGAAACTAAAGGCTACAAGGTAGGACATTCCCGGCTACAAACTACAATTCAAATCCAAACCTTCATAATGCCCAATTGGAGGACTTCCTTGAAGAATGAGGGCAAATAGAGCTGCAACATTGAGGCGACCATCGAGACGAAGAAATGGGCCTGCAGCTGGGCGAGGAATGGACCCGATTTCAGGATGGCCATGTACGGAGGGGCATCCCCTGTCTAAAATCACGATTTTTAGGATTTTTTCTGGATTTTCGAAGTTAAAATTTTTTCTTTAAGCTTATCCGTAATTTTTTTATTTCAAAAAGTTTTAGTCATCCAAAAAAGCTTAAAACTCGCCAAAAATGCCGGATTTTCAAATGCCGTTGAAAAAGTAAAAATTACAATTCTGTAGGCTAGAAAACACGTTAAATTAAGGTACAAAACGTTGTAAAGATTCTAAAAACAAATGATTAAAATTCGAAAAATGTAAAAAAATTTAAACGGCCTTGTGCGGCCCTGTAAAACGTCTAAAACGCATAATTGCATACCTTACTATGGGCCCGGGTAATACAATGGTAAGCGAGATATTTTCTTTCCCTTTCCGTCATCACTCGACATTTTGAGGGTTGATTCGCGGAGAAAGCCATCCAGATTCCACACCACAATAGACCAACAATACCTGAAATATGCGAATAAATTCAATTTTATCATTTCTAGGCTCACCAGAAAGATAGAATACGCCCTGCCATCCAAATGGGCTGCTGCAAAACCACGCGCAAAGCGGATTCCCGCCAGCCGTTGCAAGTTGATTGCCTAAAAATTGCTATATAATTTTTAAAGGAACCGGAAAGGCATGGTTATAGATTTTCCCGCGATCTCGCGAAATTTAACGCCCGGCTTTCCATACAGAATGAAACTAAAAAACACAAAAAAAAACTAAAAAATGGCAAAATTTCCGAAATTCCCTAAAAGCAATTTCTCGTAAATTTATGGCCATAAAACTGCCGTAATCGATTAGGCCACGAAAATAGCGCGGGTGTTGCGGGTCGCGGCTAAATAGGAATCCATAACCAAAAAAGCTGTAGAACCATGCGCCTTGCGAGTCCCTTTAAAGGGTTCCTAAGGAGGTGTAAATTGTAGCGCAGCGTACCTGTAGTATAAAGGGCGATAGCCGTGCTCCTCTCGGTGATTGGGAACCAGTTTGAGATCAATGTATTGAACGAGGGATGGGCGAAACTCTGAATTAAAATTTATCTAAAATCGATGCAAACAAGATTGTCGACGTAAGTCCCCGATTTTTGTAGCTCAAACTCCCAAGATCCACGCCTTTTAAAGGGAGCGCGTCAGCTAGCCGTTCACCCACCTCAGCCAGTCCCATGGCCAATCGACTGGCAAAGACAGCATAAACACCATGATTCTCTGCCAGATATGGAACAACAACAGCACACAGAGAATAAAGCGCGATTGAGAGGACGACGATTAGACTGAAAAAAACGTTTGAGGATAGAGAACGAGACTGAACTGCTCGAAGTTGTGCAGCGCGATAGGTCGCAGATCGAGAGAGAGAGAGAGAGAGAGAGAGAGAGGGAGAGAGAGCGAGAGAGAGAGAGAGAGAGCGAAATCCTCAAAACGACCAACCGTATCGACACCCTCTGGAGAACAATAATAGCGGGTAGAGCCGTGAGAAGCGCCCCCAAAAATGTGCCCTTGAAGAGCAAATGCTGCGTTTTGTGATCCCAGATCAGGGATCCCTGAAAAATCAACGATTAAGCGGGAACGGAAAGGCCGAAAATTTCCGATTTCCGACTTTAAAATAGCTCAAAATAAGCTTAGAAATTTAACTTTATTAAATTCGCTTTAAAAGGAGACAATTTTTTATGCGAATTTCGCCATAGAAAGCACAAAAAATTTCAATTTTTAAGCTAAAACGTACGCCGTAATCGTTAATGACGGGTTGTCCACTGTCCTCGGCCGCACATTTCTGCTCCGGGTTCGCCGCCGACGACGACGACACGTTCAGCGTGGTCAGGATAGGACCTGCAAAGTCTTGTTTTGGAAAATCATGATATTTCAGATAGCTTTCGAATTTCTGGAGGTTTTTATGAAGTTTTTATGAAGTTAGCAAAATTAGCATTTCTCCAAGTTAAAACCTGTAATTCTGTCATTTTTAAAAGCTTAAAAAGCATAAAGGACCTGGTGTTTTTATTTTTCGAAAATTCTCGGCTACAAAATTTCTAAAAGTGTATTTTTCAGGTTTTCGCACCTAAAAGGCCTTACTTTACCTTCGAAAGTTCAAGGTACCAATTCCAAATTCCACCCCCTCTCCCCTCCCTGATTCATCCATGTTATTAAGTGTTTTCTGAAGGAATTTCCTTGTTGCCCGCCAATTTTATGGGCGCTAGTCTCGATAAAATCTGGCGGTCCCTTTTCGGGTCTTCAATTTTGATCGCCCATCAATTGGCCCCGTTTTTGGCGGGCTGTGTGGACTTTGCAGCGGAAATTAGGGAATTTTTTCGCCAAAATACGACCAAAAATTAATTAAAAAAATATAGCGGGAAATCTTAAGAGGATGCAGGTACATAATAACCATAGAAATAAACTAAAAAAAATTACAATTTTGGAAAGCTAAAAATTATTAATTTTAATTTTTTCAAATTTCAAGCCGCTAAAAATTCAAATAATGGCTGGTTTAAAGCCCAATGTAAAATTAGAACTATTAAAAATGTTAAAATTTGGAAAATTTAGCTAAAAAAAAACAAAAAAACCCTAAATTGAATTTCCAGAAAACATAACATGCAAAAAATAAAAATCTCTGCTGGCTTGCCCTTTCTAAAGATTTCTGTAGCCAAAAAACCCTTAAAATCCTCCAAAAATCACGTACCCTGAAATCTATCGGGTTGTTGCAGCTGGGCAATAGCCGTCGAATTGACCATACACGTGATCGTCAGCGCGAGCGAAATCTACCGAGGAAAATTAAGAATTAAACATAGTTCAAAAATTACGGTAATAAACTGGACACAGCAGAATCCGCCCATCATCATGATCACAATGTGGAGACGACGGGAAGTGAGGGAGAACAGGGCTGAAATAAGGGGGAATTCGCGTCGAAATGGACTCTGCTCGTTTTCCGGGGGTCAGCTATGGCTCCTAAAGAATACCTGCTCGTTTGCCCTAGCTATGAATATCCGAAAATGGTGACTGCTAGCTCGCCTATGGATTTAATTCATCCCAAAGAATCTTCACTAGCTTGCCCTAGCTAATTTTTTCCTAAAAGAAATCTGCTAGCTTGCCCTAGCTATGAATTTCCGCCAATGGCGATTGCTAGCTCGCCCATGAATTTCATTAATTCCAAAGAATCTTTGACAGCCTGCCCCACCCAAAGTTGATCCTAAAGAATCTCTGCTAGCTTGCCCATCCCTGAATCTCCGCAAATGGTGCCTGCTAAACTGCCTATCCGTCAATTTGCGTTCAAAGAATCTCTGCTAACATCCCCTCAACTTTTCCTATCGTAACCAGTTACGTGAATGTGGCGGCTCGTCCTCCTTCTCCTTTCCATTCTCCTTCAGCAATATCTCTCCCCCGCCTCCATCATAATCCTCGACTTCTAATCGTGGCACTTTTAGCGTCGACATTTGAGGCATAGTTTCTGCAAACATGATTAGTAGAAAAAGAATTTGAAACCCTAAAAAATCAAAATTTGAAAATTTATTTGAAAATTCATTTTTAAAGCTTAGAATCTTTAGTAAATCGCTTTAAAAGTTAAAAATAAATATAATAAAACTATTTGTAAAAGTAGCGATTTAGCAGGACGTTGTAGCTCGGGGAATTATGCCCTAAAAGGGGAAAAATAAATTAGAAAACCCGAAAACTTCGAGAAATTGTATTTTCAAAGCAAAAAAAATCTGAAAAATGGCTAGATTCAATTTTTTTTTGAAAATCCCAAATTTTAACGCTCGTTGAAGTGATGTACCCTGAGGGATTATGCCCAAAAAGTGCAATTGGACGGGGGGAAGTGAGAAGCCGGAGGGCGAGAGGTGTGTGGGGAATGTCAATTTTGACGGCTTTTCAAAGTGATAAGGAATTGTATGGGACAGAAAAGAGAAAGAAGAAGAGAATAAGAGGAAGAAGACATAATACCATAAGCCTCTGAATTGTACGGCACAGGAAATAGACATAGAAAAGAAAGGGGGGTAATGATGCCAACTGGCAGAGATTATTTGGGGGAAGAGGGGGAGCAGGTTCAATCAGATCAAACGAACCGTTGAAACACCAGAAACATGCATGTCGCTGGAGTTTGAGGAGCTTCCAGGCAGTGGCAAGCTTGCAGAGACCATTTGCCACTTTCACGATGCAGGGGGATTGCCTAAAAAAATGTCGGAGAAGCAGAAAGGTCCGATCACGAACCGCAATCCCAAAATGTAGATGTTTTGCGTTTTGGTGATTTGGCCGGTTGCAGCTTCATCACTAAATCAAATCAGGCGCAAAAAATTAGAATTAAAATGACCTGTTAGGAATTCGGATGGCGTATTTAAGGCGAGGGGCGTCCAATCCTGCTTCTCCATCTTCCGGGCTGGAACCTGAAATTTATTTGTAATGCGCGTTCAAATCGGAAAGTCAGCGAAAACAAAGCAAAGAAAACACGCGCAGATCGAAGGCACAAAAGATAAAGCAGAAAATTCACGAAAACGCGCTATAAACACGTAATATTAATGCCGGATACACATGCTTTGATAATGACAGAAGCAGCAATATTCGAATAAACTTGGCGCCGAGCGTCGAATTGCAATGGATAGTCGGGGCCGAAAACATTCGGATGAAGCTGATCATGTTGCAGCACGGAGTGAAAGTCGATGGTTAGATGAAACCGAGACCGTTCTCCCTTTGTGCATTGATCGAGTAGTTGTCTGATGAGATCGAAGAAGCCAGATGGCATCTCTCCATTCTCGTTTTGCAATTTGCAACTCAAATACTCGACGAATTTCCACCCGGCAATAAAGCCCAGAATCTCCATTCCAATCGAGCCGAGGATGAGCGTGCCAATCGTGGAAAGCGCTTGGCCTAGCCTCGGAGTGATCGTATAGTTCAGATAGTCCAACATTCCGACCCACTTCGGCTTCAACTTCTCGATAACGATCGCAGCAAAATCGGGTGAGCGCTCGTCGCCAATCAATGCAAGATATCTCAAGCGGAGACCCTCCACTTCGATGGGACGGGTATCCGAATTGTAGAACAAGGTCGTGACAGATGCTCCGTGCAGAAGAATCTCCAGCACTTCCGCTATCTGAGCATAACGAGGAGAAGCTGGTCCAACGGTGATCACACATTCCGCCCAGTCAAACTGCTTGTCCTTTAGATGTTTTGTTGCGTGGAGGAGCTTCTGATGAGCACCGGCAACTGAGAAGAGATCATCCTCATCAAGCGATTCCATGATTTCCCATAAGAGAACGATGGGAAGATCGTAGAGCCTCGGAGTCAATTTGTAGACATCCTTCTCATCATCTTGACCACGTTCAACGTCTCCATCATCTCCCTTGTTCCCGATGCCCTTCTCGACGATGAACAGGTCAGCCATATTGCCCTGAAGAGCGCGAAGCTCCTTCTCGAATTCCGCTTGATCCATCGAAGCGACGAGTTATCTTCTTACCTGAAAAAAAGACGAATATTTGGAAGAATTTGTTCAAATAGCGCGAAAAATGGGAAAATAGCCACAGAAATTTTTGAAGCGACTAAAATAAATTCCCTGAAAGTAATTAAATGCATTTTTCGAGCAAGTTTCAAAGTTTTCAAATAAAGCGCAAGAATTAGAACTAAACTTTTTACTAACTAACTAAACTTGACCTTTTCAGCAGTCGGTTGGCATATTTGTGGCAAGCGGCGTCCAATTCTCCGTCGTACGGCCAGAGCTCGCGTCTTGCGGGCTGGAACGCTGAAATTTATTTGTAAAGCGCGTTCAAATCATAAAATAAGCCAAAACAAAGCAAAGAAAACGCGCTATAAACACGTAATATCAATGCCGGATACACTTGCTGTGATAGTGATGGATGGATCATTATTCAAAAACGTTTCACTCCTAGCGTCGAATTGCAATGGATAGTCGTGGCCAAAAACATTCGGATGAAGCTGATAATTTTTGAGCAGGGATGGAAACCTCAGAGCTAGTCGGAGGTCGGATCGTTCTCCATTCGTGTATTGGTCGAGTAGTTGTCTGATGACATCCAACACGCCAGATGGCATCTCCCCATTCTCGTTTTGCAATCGGCAACTCAAATACTCGAATTTCCACTCGGTAATGAAGCCTAGAATCTCCATTCCAACTGAGCCGAGGGCGAGCACCCCAATCGTAGAAAGGGCTTTGGCCAGCCTCGGAGTGATCGTATAGTTCAAACAGTGATTCAAGATGACACACTTCGGCTTCAACTTCTCGATAACGATCGCAGCAAAATCAGGTGATCGCTCAACGCCGATCAATGCAAGCTGGTCCAAGCAGAGACCATCGACATCGATAGGACGGGCATCCGAATTGTAGAACAAGGCCGTCACAGATGCTCCGTGCAGAAGAATCTCCAACGCTTCCGGCGTTTGAACATAACGAGGAGAAAATCGTGTAACCAAGGCCAAACAATGCACCCAGTCAAACTGCTTGTCCTTTAGATGTTTTGTTGCGTGGAGGAGCTTCTGATGAGTGCCAGCAACAGAGCATAGGTCATCGCCATCAAGAGGTTCCATCACTTCCCACAACAGCTCCACCGGAAGATCGTAGATTTTAGCCGTGTATTTGTAGACGTCCTTCTCGCCACCTTGAACACATCCAACATCTCCATCATCTCCCTTGTTTCCGTTGCTCTCCTCGACGATGTCCAGCTCAGCCATATTGCCCTGTAGCGAGCGCAGCTCCCTCTCGAATTGCGCTTGATCCATCGAAACGACGGGTCGTTTTCTTACCTGAAAAAACGAAGATTATTTGGAAGATTTTGTTCAAATAGCGCGAAAAAAGAAAAAAGAAGAAGAGAAACTTTTGAAGTGACTAAAACAAATTCCTGAAAGCAATGAAATGCATTTTCCGGGCAATTCTTTGCATAAATAAATATTTATCGCCTCAAAATCGATATATTTCCGGTATGGACGGTTTGTGGCCCATCGCCCGCGCGTTCATCATTTCCCTAAAAATACACCGGTCATGCGCGTGCAAAAAAAATGGATTTATTCCCGTAGAACCGAAAAGAAACAAGTAGAATTAGCCGCGGAAAACAGACGGTACTGGACTGTTAGCGGGGGGAGTAATTTATATTTTTCGCCTGTATTTTAGTGTTTTTAGTAGTTTTTGACCGCTAAAAGTTATCAAAAAATGCAAAAACTTGCAATTTTGAAATGTTGACCTTTTTGGTCATTTTTCATTGATTTTTGACAAAATCTTGAAATAATCTAAATTTTTAAAACTGATTTTTTTTCAGCTAACCCCCCCGCTAACAGTCCAGTACCCGCCCAAAAAACGGCAACGTTATTAAAGGCTATAGAAAGGCACAACCATCAGGACACGGACGATAGATCAAAAACAAAGTAGAAATGGCACGAGACACGGGGGGTTAAGGCCGAGCAAAATGATAATAATAAATGAAGGGCTAGAGGCTAGAAAAAACAGCAAACAAAGTGATTGGTGAGAGGAGAGAAAAGCATAGTATTATTCTTATTATTCGCGTCACTCATTCAACAATTGGCACATTGCTTGGCGGGTTCCCTTCAACGCTTTCAGCTCCATCGTCAGCCCCAGGAAACCGTACCTGAAACAGCTAGTTTTAATGGTACTTGTGCGTTATCGGGGGGGGGGGACTTTTCCTATTACTAAACGCTAAAAACTTACAAAAGTGTATTGAAACAGAAAAAAGTACCGGTTACACGACCAAAATTGCGAATTTTAATTTTATTTAAATTTTTTAAATAATTATTCCACTTGAAATATAGTTAAATTTTGCTAAAAGGACTGTTAAAATACATACTAACAACGTACTACCTTACAAAATTTGTATTAAAAAATAGGAAAAAGTACCGGTTATACGTCCAAAATTGCGAATTTTAATTTTAATTAAATTTTATAAATATGTTTTCCACTTGAAAATAGTTAAAACGTACTAAAAACGTTTTTAAAATACTTACTGTTACGTTATAGGCATTTGTGAACTTTTCTAATCCGAGCCCCCGATAATGCACAAGCCTCACGAAAATTTCTAAACTATAAAAAATGGCACTCACCAAAATGTGAATGCGATCAAAACTGTCAAAATGAAGCGTAGAATGGATAGGGGGACGGAGAGCCATGGCACAAATTGGTCGACGATTAGCGAGCCGAGTAGAAGCACCACGAATCCGATGAATAGACCTCAAAAAATCGATAGAAAAACAGAAAATTAATGGAAACATTTAAGTCCAAAATTTCGACATTTTATAATGGCAAAATTGCACAGTTTCGGCATTTTACGTCCGCAATTTGTGGAAATTTTAAATGTTAAAAAATCCTCACCTATATACAGCGATCGATCCCGGTGGGCTCGTTTTTGGCCCTCCCTGACCGTTTCTATCACTTCCTTCAGCAGCGGCAGCTCGTGCTCCCAGATCATCGAAGCCTAAAATTTTGTTTCCACCGGTCATTTTAGAAAATTAGGTACTGGGCTCTTAGCGGGGGGGTTATAGTGTTCTTAGGAGTTTTTGGGCGCTAGAAAATTCTAAAAAATTCTTAAAATTCAAAATTTACATTTTTTACTTCTGGACAGAAATTTCAAAAATTTTCCAATTTTATTGTTGGTTTTTATAGCTAAAAATTGTGTAAAATGCTATAAAATGGTTTCCATCGCGTTATAGGCCGTAGGAGTTACTGGGAAACATTTACTTTCTGCCCCCGCTAAGAGACCAGTCCCAGAAAATGACCTGTCGATCCTCGGTGTGAATGTGAAAAATGGAGTAGACGCCGACGTGATCCGAGAAATTCAGCTCGTCCTCCGGGATCTAGGGGTTAAAATGTAATCCAAATTTTCGGGAAAATCGCACCTTATTGAAGCAAACGCCGCAATCCTCCAAATGACCGTGCATTCGGCCGCTTTTGAAGAACATGTAGTCGATGCGCTTGCCGTCGGGGCACTGAAAGAAAGAAGAATACATCAGAAATTCGACAATTACCGTTTCTTTCATAAAAGCACTGGTGTAGCAATTGTCGGGCCGGTCGCACGTCATCCCCGATCGGCGGACGAGCGATGTTCTTTCGTTGCCGGGTTGGCCTAAAAAAAAGAGAATATTTTACTCTATAATTCTTGATTCTTTTGCATTATCAGGGGGATCCAAAAATCCAGAAAGGTCTAAAAACCTCATAGTAATTTTTAACATTGTTTTCAGCAAAATTTAACCCGATTTTAAGTAAAAAACCAATAAATAAAAACCCATAAAAATTTTTAGCCGAAATTTTGATCGAAAATCGGCCAATTTGGTGGAGAATTTTATATTTTTTTTTGTATGTTCAACCAAAATTTCCAATATTTTTTTTACGTTTAGGAATAGTTATAAACAGTTTAGAAATCCTAACGGTTTATATTAGAAAAATTTGTCCCCCCCCCGATAATGCGAAAGCACCCCACTTTTTAAGCCATTAAAACCGTACCAGCGAGTGTGTGTCCCTCGTTGAACATGCGCCACGCGTCGATGAGTTTTGTGTTGGACATGAGCAGTCTTATGCCGAGATCATCGGGTTCCATGTTCAGATCGCCGCAAAGGAGCACGAAATCGGCGCCGCGGGATGTGTGGCGCACGAATTGGGACAGCTCGAACGATTGGGCCAGTCTGAAAAGAAGGGGTATTATGCATTTTTTTTAGCCTTTATTAAGCTTTATAACTTTTTATCGATTTATTTTTATCTATTATTAGGCACTTTTTAAAGGGTTCAAAAATTTTTCAATAGTTCTTCATCTTTTTTTCAGAAAACAATTACATTTTCGTTTTCTGAGCGCTTTCGATTTTTACGGTTTACGATTTTACGCTTTTTGCAGTGTACAAACGATTGAGAGACGCCGAAAAAGTATATAAGTATAAGTTTCTATGCGCTTTTCCATAGTTTTGACCACTTAAAAAGCCTTTTTATATTAATTCTATAATTTTTACGTCCTTTTTTTCTTATTAATTCCCGCATTCTGCTAAATTTTCCATCAGCACGTCTGTTTTATGCTCGTCCAGAAAAAAAGGCGCATCCGGCTCCGTCCACTCGCGACGATATTGACCGAAGAGGAGCGGGGGATTGTTCTCGTCGTCGAAAGCACCGTCTAGAATTACGTACCCGGCCCCGATACAGGCGTCCGTGTAAAAGACAGACCCCAAGGAAGGTCACATTATTCCTGCAAAACGATGTTCAAACTACAATTCTTTTTATGCCAATTTGTATCGCTAATCCAGGCAAGCTTTTCTCAATCTAGAATGCTCTTTTGCACTACCGGGGGGGAGGGGGCAACTTTTTTCTATGAAGGCAGAAATGGCTAGAAATTTAATATTCAGTATTTTATAGTTTTTAGCAAAATTTAACTGTATTTCAGCTGAAAACCCCCAAAAAAAGTAAACAATTAAAAAATTTGGTCGAAAATGGCCACCTTTGTCGAAAAATCTATATCATTGTCTTTTTATGAACCAAACTTGGAAGTTTTTACGTTTAAAATAATGCTTAGAAAAACTTCCTTCGTTTCTATCATAAAAAAGCGATCTTTAAAAAGTTGCCCTCCCCCCCTGATAATGGCAAAGGACCTAGAATCTAGTAAAAAAAATTTAGATTGCTAACGCGATCGATCTCGACATCGTGATCCCATCATTTGAACCCTCTCAACACGTCGATTATGAAGAGAATTACGACGAACAAGCCGGATGCCCGCAGAAGGATTGCTCCGTGTATTCCTGTTTCAACAGACTGTCTAACTGCAACTCAAGCCATTATCTCGTCACTGCGGGGAGACCGGCCTGTGAGAGGATGAGCAATTTAGGTATTTGAAAAAGCTAAAAATGACTAATCAACGAGATTTTTAACAACTTCTAACGCTTAGAAAACGTGCGGCGCTTCAACCGTGAGGGGCAACAATGGGCCGAATGCTGGAATGAGTGTCAGATGGAATATTTGAGGGATTACGTCCAGGTTAGGGCCTTGAATTTTGTTCAAAAGCTCGTTATTACAGCGATATGCGCCAGTGAGTTGTGACTATCTTGGAACTGCTCTTGCCGAATCGGCAATTGATTGCCACGTGGAGTGTGGCTTCTGCAGGATATGCAAAGATTCGAGGATCGCGATGCTCAAAATGTTGAAGCACAGATCGCTGTCGTTGTTGAAGCGGGTGAGTTAAAAAACGCTTTTCTTGTGATTTGCCACCCAAAAACGATCAGAAAAGCAAAGACGAGGAATTTCGGTACTTTGGCACTATCGGGGGGGGGAAGCGATTTTTTCCTATTCGTCCAGAAATGTCCTGTAACGCATCATTAAACATCATAAATATTTATTTAGTAAAATTTAACGAGATTTCAAGTGGAAAAACTTTCAAAAATTCGCAAATTTCGTTCCAAAAGCAAATTCCAATTGGAAAAGGCAAAAAAGGTAAATTTTCCATTTTTTTTATAAAAATTTGTGACTTTTTTAGCCTCCCCCCTCGCCCGATAATGCCAAAGCTCCGGAACTGTATTTTTTCAGGAGTCCGACTTCCGCGGAGCAATCAAACGATGTGGTGGCCCGTCGGCTTGCGCCCTCCCCCTCACCTAGCCTTAAAAAAATAAAAATAAAAAATCCTTACCGATGTGGCAGATAAAGGTCATTCTCGCGGTCGTACTCGGCGTGCAAATGTGTTGTGTAGAAGTTGACCCTCAGCTCGCCAATCTCCAGCTCCACCATCCCAACAACCTAAATCATTTTAATTCTTTGAATCCTTAAAAACTCTACCTTTCCACCGAACCAATCGCCGCGATGGATATGATGCGCGAAGCCATTTAGGGAGTATCTAAAGGCGGAATTTAGGTTTTAAATTTGAAAAATACCGATACATCAGGGTGGAAACAATCGGGTGTTTAGAAATGACGGCAACACCGCTGCCCGTGAATCTAAAAAGATAAAGGATTCAAAAACAACAAAAAATCCAACCCAGAATGAAAATAGTGGGAGTAGGGGAAGACGGTCTGTGTGCGCTCGGCCAAGTCCAGGTAGTCGTACTCGGACCAGAGTTCCTAGACAGAAAATTTGACGGTTCTGGTACATTAGCAGGGGGAGCTTTCTAGGCAGTTTTTAAGCTTAGAAAGTTCACAAAACCCCTAAAATGAGCGAAAAATTTCGAGTTCTCCCTAAAAATGTCAGAAAAAGATCAAAAATCTCAAATTTTCTAAAAATCGTTAAAACTTTTATTCTTTTTAGTTATCAAAAACCATCAATACACCGATTGATCTAGTTTTTCAGCCGTTTTTCAGTATAGAAAGTTCATAATAACCTCAAAATAAGCAGAATTGCTTTACTTTGGCTCACAGGTATCGGTAAATCAGTTAAAAACTCTGAAAATTTCTAAAAACTACCTGAAGCCCGACAATATCATACTCATCCTTGAGCAGCTCATCGGCCAGCCGTTGTAGTCGATGCTTCCGGTCAGAGCTGCCGATGGGCCATGGTTGGGGCAGGGCCCAGCAGTTGAATGTGGCCACGCGAAGCTGCAATCCACCACTGGGGCCCATCCCTGAAACTAAAGCGGGCATAAATCGGGCTCTTTTGTATGCAAAAAAAGCGCATCAAACGCTATATTCTGAATTTTTAAAGTATTTAAGCTTTCGGTGCAGAGTTTTCGCCTAAAACTAGCTTTTCAAGGTAAAAAACAAGGCTCCAGATGAGTTTTTTTTGGGCCAAAATGCATCAAACGCTCTGTGATATTCTCCATTAAACTATTTTCAAGTTCGGAACATTTTTTGTCTATAATTATCCTTTCCGAGCCAAGATAATCACCTATTTAGCCGTAATAACTATGACAAGGATTTGATGGAACTTCTGCCCGTTTCAAAAGATAAAAAATCTATTAGAATCTTCTATTAAACCCGTTTATCGCAAGAGAACATGAGCAAACAAACAAAAAAAAAACGACCAACACAGCAAGATTACAATCCTAACAAATCAACAGTCAACCTTCTAAGGCTATAAACCTAGGTAAAAACTATCAACAACAAAAAGCTATAAAAATCGATGAGAATCCAACAGTTGAAAGATTTCATTGGTTGTGGCAGCCTTGGTCAGACACGTCAATTCGCTCTTCATCGGCTCCCCGACGAATAGTTCCATTGTAGGCTAAAAAACAGAGGTGAATTCGATGGTAGGATCCACAAACCTGAGAATCAATCGACTTGACGGTTTTCCCACCGAGCACGATATATCTGGGGATACCACTGTGCGCTAGTGACTAAAAGCAAAGTTTCGAATTCGAAAAACACTAAAACCACTGACACGTATTCTATTTCCCAGCGTTTCGTTCCGATCGTCGAGTAGAATGTATTTGTGCTTCTTCTGCAGATCCGACAATAGCGAGGCGGTGAACGGGTGATCGAGCAATTTCTAGAGAAAATGATATTATTGGCGATAAAAATGAACAAACCCCATGTACAACAACAGCAACATCAAACGGGGCGATGGCGGCCGGAAGACGGAGCGCCGATTCATCTGTCGGTGACATGGCTTCAATGGCTGCGTGGATGAGTCGTGTGACACCGATCCCGAAACAGCACATATCCAATGGGGCGGACTAGAAAAAAAATGTTTATAAAAATATAGGTTCTTTCTCATTATCGGGGGGGGACAACTTTTTCCTACAAATCCAGAAATGCCTAGTAACGTAATATAAGTTTTTTTAAGTGTTTTGGCAAAATTCAAGGATATTAGAAGCGAAAAACAATTTTCAAAAATCCTAAAAAATTTTTAGGCATAATTTTGGTTGAAAATTGGACATTTTTGGTGGAAAAATCGATATTTTGGTATTTTTTAACCAAAATTTGGAAATTATTTACGTTCAGGAATAGTAAAAACAGCTTCGAAACACTTCTTTTATTGATCCTAGCTAAATCGGATCTTTGACAAAAGTTGCCCCCCCGATAATGCAAAAGAACCAAAATTCATTCCCCCATCTTTTACCTCTATTGACAGCCCAAAAACTTCTGAGTACTTTGTGCCGAGTTGGAAGGTGTGTGCTATCTGAAAATCGTGATCCTAGAACGCAAATGATTGATACCTCAACGGACGACATCTTTTCACTGCCATGTTGCTGACATTCCCCTTCTGTTTTAGCGTTTCCACCGGTTTTACATCTAAATAAAATCCTTATGAAAATAAGAAAGTAGCTCTTACTGATGGCAGTAGATGATCTCGTCCTGGTTGAGCGGGTTTCGAAGATGATATTCGTGGGAGAGACGGCCGCCGTGGACCCCGGAATCAGCGCGTACCTGAAAAAAATGGCTGTTCTTACGTATTAAGGTATTTTAAAATCAAGGTTCTAAAGTTTACAAGATTCAAAAACATAAATATAAACAAAAACTCAAAAAAACCTACTTTAAAAACATCCAGGTTCAATCGTTTTCTTAATATCCGATCATAGGCGTCAGATACTTTCTGGTAAGTTTCCACGGCTTTTTCTTGGGTCAAATCGAACGAGTAGAGGTCGTTCATCAAGAATTGGCGCCCACGCAGAAGCCCATATCTAAAAAACTGTTATCTTTTTTTACTTCACTATTTTTTATCAGCGTCAACGATTTTTTAAAATTTACCTCGGATGCGCCTCGTCTCGAAATTTTTCCGTCGTTTGATACAGCAGAATTGGCATGGACTCCTTGCGCACGTTGGCCATCTCCAGCACGGATTGTGTGCACATTTCCTCGGCCGTCGGCTAAACGGCCTCAATATTTTGATGTTTTCGGCGATTTTCAAGGGCTCACCTGTAAGCAATACTCCTCATCGTGTCGATCTCGCAACTTGACAAGCTCGGTGCCCATTTTGTCCCATCTATCTGTTCGATCCCAAAGCGTCTTGGGTCCAAGGATTGGATACGACACTTTCTGGGCTCCAATATCGTCCAATTCATCCTCGATTATTCGCTGTAATCGGTCGACAGAGCGCTGACCGTTTGGGAGAAGCCTGAAAAGTTGGATATCGACGTTTTTTAAAAACCTAAAACGATTTGACATTGCCAAAGCATAGGAAACGAGCTGAGCACTAGCATAACACGGTTATTTGCCAAAAACCCACGAAAAGAGGCCGTTATCAATACGGGCGATGAAGCCGCCCTGCCGCATCAGACGATAGGCCACGCTTTTTGAGGGGCCCGGGCTGGCGGCCGCTCGGATGAGCCATTGGCTGGCCCGGGTGATGCCCATCTGAAAGGAAAATATTATAAAAAAGAGGATTATCCCAAAAGATCCATAAAGAAGGTCAAAAAGATCGATTGAGAGACGCCGAAATTTTTCTGAGCCGTTTTTAAAATTAATAAAAAGTTAGGCGAGCCGATTAGCGGGGGGAAATGCGGTAAAAATATATAGCTAAAAGCAAGAAAATAAAGCTATCTGGACTACTAAAACCGAAAAGATATATAAAATCTAGCCGCAATTTTTGTTCGAGGTTTTTTAAAATTCTTAAAAAGTAGGGGAACCGATTATGCGGGGGAAATCCGGTGGATTCGCAAAGGATGTGCGAGAGCAGCTGGGGGGAGATAGATGCTCGAACAACGAGCCCTTTTCCTCTCCGTGGTGATGGCGAGAGATGAAAGTAGACCGGAGGGCGCAGAGACAAAGAACATACTGCTTGGTTGGCCCTCTTTCAGCCCCGCGTATTGCACCCCGAAATATTGAGCCCCAGGGCCTTAACTTCCTTTGTTGAGTCGGAAACTTTTACGTTTAGCTTTATTTATTTTTAGTTTTAATTTTTAATAGTTTTCACGCAAAAGTGTAAAAATAATGAAAAGCTACGTAAACACGTCACTAGTTTGTAAATAGTAGCGAGCCGGAAATTTGAGAACCGGGTTAGCTTGAATTCCAATTCCATACTATCGACGTAATCCGTTTGTTGCTGTTGAGCGTACTATAATTTTTATTTTTTGCTCAATTGACCTTTTTCAAACTTGTTACAAGTTTTTCCAGTCAAATGCGGTTAGAGAAGATAGCGCAGGCGGCAGCGCTCGTGAAAGAGGGTGCCCGAATCGTGGTGAGTGCTTTGTAAAGTGTCACCATGGGGTTTAAAACGTTTTAAATTAGAAACTTTCAATTTTTCAGGTCCTCGCCGACTTCGACCACACATTATCAAGGCCGGGCTGCCCGATCACGCATCGTGTCTTCCCCACAAATGCCCATTCGATGGGGCTGACCCTGGGTGAACAGGTAAGAGCTGAAATTTTTCAAAACGATAGTTTTTAGTTCGATCGTATGGACAAGCGCAACACCTTCCCCCTCCAAGCAACCCATTCGCTCGACGAGAAGAAGCGAATCTGCACCGATTGGTTAGACAATCGAAAATTCAGTAGATTTGGCTTTTTTTAGGTGGAACGAATCGCACAAACACATCGTCAACGCCGGGTTCTCCATGCATAATTTGCCCACCTACATCGACCATGCCAACATTACGTTGCGGTACGGTTCTCAACGTCTTGACGAGAAAATATTTATGCTAGGAAAAATTTCGGCTATCTCTCGGATTTGATCAACGAGAAGCGGCTGCCGTTTGTCGTCGTTTCAGCGGGGATTGAAGAGGTAGAAATTATTAAATCCGTTTTAGATAAAAAAATTTCTCCCAGGTGATTCGCGAGATTCTGCACGACTTCAAAATAGCTACTCTACAAATCGCGGCCAATAAATTTGTCACGGACAATGCGGTAATCCCATTTTTTTTTGCGATAAACTCTCAATCAGGGCAAAATCGTCGATTTTGGGCCGACGCTGATCCACTCGTACAACAAGGACGGGCCGAGATTTCGGTAGTTTTGCAGCGGATATTGAAGTCTGTTTTTTAGGTCTCTTCTAAACGATCCGACAATTCTGGATGGGGAATATGTCGTCGTTTTACTTGGCGATTCGCTTGGAGACCTGATAATGCTGGAGGGGATCAAGCCGAGGCTCGCCTACACCATCGGCTTTTGCAATAAGCCGGTAATTTTTAGAAATTTGGCGGGCTTCAAAAATCTGGCTAAACGCCTCGATGCACTATACGAAATTGACCGCCAATTCGGGGGATCGGGCTGTAAAACTTCGGTTTTTGGTGGAGGGGGATGGCATTGAAATGGCGGGTGGCTGTCAAAGCAGACGGTCAGACTGATTAATTTCACGATAAAATTTACAACCAGCGCCCTACACGACAGGCTAAGGGAACGGGGGTTGTCGCAGGGGGGTACCCCGTGCGAAAAAAAGGGCAGAAGCTATTTTGGGAAGGGAGTACTATTAGGTTGCGTTTAGTTTTAAGTAAAATCAGGGATGTTTGATGCTGATAAAAGTGCCGAGGAGGAAAAACAACTAAATTCCTCAAAATTCCATAGGCTCTTGCTTAAAATCCTCCCGTTAAAAACCTTATTCAAGTCCTAATAGCCCTAAAAACCCATTCTTTTTCAGAGCCAACGGAAAGAATTCGAAGCAGCCTTCGACCTGGTGCTCGATCGTGATGCTGGCATGGAGACGGCCGCCGAAGTACTCCTGGAAATGCTTGGAAAACGGCCAGGTATCAACGACTGCTTCGTCAGGATTCCCTCCCCCATCATCGTACTACTCTTGAATCGGTAGAAATTTGCTCCTTATCTTCCCATTCGTTTCATGGTCTTCTTGGTTGTAATTTACAACCGGGTGTGGATGCCGTATAAATAGACGGGGTGGTCAGCTCTGATTAGCGCTTCCACTTTCAGGGATTTTCGTCTGACCGTTTAGGCTAGACATTTTGGCGGCAATTTCGGCTTCTTCACTGTCAAAATCGTGGGGATTACGGTGGTTTTATGGAATTTACTGGATTTTCATACTTTTATGAAAAATCAGAATTTCAAAAACCTTTTGAAAAAATTACCTTTACGTCGAAAAACCGCGTAGAATACCGTAGTTTTAGCGAATTTGCAGGATTTTCGTCGACTTTTGCGTAAATCAGAATTTAAAAAAAAATCATTTTTCCCACCGGGCGCTACTAAGAACGGGCTAGAAGGGGTAAAACACGTCAAAATTTTTTTAGGGGGCGCTTTTGGAAAATGGATGGCTCGCTCCCAAAAAACCGTTGGAGGTTATTGTAGTTTTAGCGGATTTTAGACCCCAACCCCCCTTGCAAATAGATCTTTTCCAGCCGATATTTACCTTTCAACCCGGGCAAATGTCGTCTGGAACAATTGTTTGATCTTTGGGCGGGCCGACACGGCTTCTCCCACGGCTTCACTCACAAACCCTCGCGTTTTTGCCGACTCGACAAATTTGTCCATATAGCATTGATCACAGGCTGGCTGCTGTAGAGACAAGAAAACCTTTTCTTTCTCTCGGGAATTGGAACCAACCAGGGTTTCTTTTTGAGCTGGCAGACACCTCTTGCTCCACCTCTTGCTCCTGCTCTTGAGAACGGCCTTGTCTGTGTGGAGCACCTGTCTTTTTTTCGTGGCTGGTCTCTTTGGCTACATTTCCCCCAATGAGAGGTCTATCAAGTGATGTCCCGCCTCGCGTGAATTTCTCACTTTTTTTGCTTGGGATTGACTATGGGGATATATTTCAGTCGGAAAGCCGGAAAAGCTCTCGCTGGAAGTCGGCTTTATCGCGATTTTGAACCTGAAATTTCATGTACGCTTTGTCAAGAAAAATGCGCAAAAATACCTGTTAATTTCGGCAAGTTTTCCTTGAAAAATAGTTTTGGATTTTTTTGCTAGTTTGCGTGGAAAATAGATTTGAATTTCGAGAAATTTGCGTAGAAAGGTAGTTTTGAATCCCTAGAAAATTTGACTCGAAAATAGTTTTCAATTTCTACAAAATTTGCGTAGAAAAATAGCTTTGAATTTCAGCAAAATTTACATAGGAAGTAGCTTTAAATCTTTGCGAAATTTGTTGTAGCAATTAGCTTTGAATTTCTACAAAATGTGCATAGAAAATTACGTATTTTTAACGTCTACGCAATCTACCACAAACTTTTTATTCTCTTCCCACTGACTTTTGACTCGGTTGGTTTTCTGAATTTTCGATTTTCAGCACTTTCTTACGCCTTTTTGACCTTTTTCGACTTCAATCCTGCCCTCTAATACCCCGAAAAACGAATAGGACCCGAGTCTACAGCCTTCAGCACCCGGAAATGGCCACCGTTTCAGTCTCCGAGCATCTACCAATTGAACCGCGTGAAGCCGAACTGCTTATAACTACATTGCAAGTAAGGAAATTTGCCCTTTTGACCCCAAATTCGATTTTAGAAAGAAATGACGATCCTCTCCCCACTGGACACCCTGCTCTCGTTGTCCTATGTCAAATGCCGGGATCGAGCCCTCGTGGAGCGGAAGTTGCGCGACATTGTCGCCGACGGCATCGACAAGTTGATGGTTAGGTTTTGTTAAGAAAGTGTAATTTTTAAATTAGGTGATCACCGATTTCGACTACACACTCTCGCGGGCCATAGACGAGGAAGGCGAGCGCTGCTCTACCACGCACGGCGTCTTCGACGCGTTCGCCGACGAGATACAGCCCGGTCTCAGCCGAAAGGTATTTGACAGCTCTATATTTATTCTCATTTTTTGATTCTTTGGGAAAATTGCGTTATATGGTCACTAACCGGATTTTGGATTTTTATATACCAAAATGTTCAGCAGTTCGAGCTGGTTCAGGATCAGTTAAAAAAACTATTGGGAAACACTTCTGGAGCGAGTTATAACATTTCAAAGTTGGCGAGTGTCGTATATGGTAACTAAACGGATTTTCGATTTTTATATGTCAAAACGCTCAGCAGGTCGAGCGGATTCTAGATCAGTTGAAAAAACTTTTGGGAAAAATCTCTGTCGCGAGATATCTAGCTTACAAACCGTCCATTCAGCCCCTGAAGTAGTACGTAGTACATCAACATACGCCAACTGTACATCGGAAAGAAACGGAATGGTAGAGAATTGCCGTTTCAAGGGTAAAAAAATGCATTGGCAGGCAAGGTGGGCCGTCGCTTCGGATGGGCTGCCGCTCCACTCTTTCGAAATGGGGCGCCCCCGGCCGCTTCGCCGGCCTTGGCGCCCCCATTTCGAAACCCTGTACGAGCTCGCACCCATCCGAAGCGACTAGGCCCCCGGTGGCACGAAGCCTTATTTTTAGGCTCAGATCGGGTGTGTAGTTTCATGCCAAACCCATTTCGAACCCAACCATTTTTCGCAACCCCGAAAACTGACTCGCCGGGGCGACAACGTTATGTAGTGGGCCGGGGAGACGCCAAACTTTGTAGTGGTATATCTCGCTCCAGAAGTATTTCCCAAAGGTTTTTTCAACTGTTCTAGAATCAGCACGAACTGCTGAGCATTTCGACATATGAAAATCGAAAATCCGTTTAGTGACCAAGTACGACACTCGCCAACTTTGAAATGTTATAACTCGCTCCAGAAGTGTTTCCCAATAGTTTTTTCAACTGATCCTGAACCAGCTCGAACCGCTGAACATTTTGGTATATAAAAATCCAAAATCCGTTTAGTGACCATATAACGCAATTTAGCCGATTCTTTTTGCAGTTCACCGACCTGAAGAACATCTACTACCCGATCGAGTTCGACCCGCACATGACCATCGAGGAAAAGACGCCGCATATGGAGGATTGGTACGGCGGAGAGGGGATGAAGCCATAGACAGCCCCCAATTACAGGTGGAACACGTCGCACGGCTACATCGTCTCGGCCGGCTTCACCCGCCACGACATTGAGGGCTTCGTGCGCAAGTCCCGGGTATTGCTCAGGTATGGCTTCTGCTGGGCTACGGATTATGCGCTCCGGAAGTGGCTAAATTAGGCGGATTTTGGATAAAAAGTTCATAAAAATGTGGTATTTTCGAAACTTTTAATTTTTCTTGCCAGAAATTGCATGAAACATGACAAAAATTCCAATTTAGATAACTTTAAATTTTTTTGGTGACTTTTTGTAGCTAGAAACTACAAAAATCATAGAGACGAAATTCTAAGAATCCCCCCCCCCCGCTAACGACACAGAACCGAAACAACCTGTCGACTTCAACGTGTTCAGATCTGGTGCCGAATCGTGGTTGCGCGGCTTGCAGTCGTCGAAAGTGCCGGTGGTGATCTTCTCGGCCGGTGTCGGTGATGTGATCGAGATAAAGCTGCAACAACAATTCGGACAGGTACCCCCTCGTCCTTTTCCCCCTGAATTCCCCTCCTTCAGGTCCCTCCGAACGTGCACATCCTCGGCAACCTGATGAGCTACGATGCAAAGGGGAAAGTGTGCGCCTTCTCCGAGCCCCTCATCCACACATTCTGCAAGAATTCCTCCGTCATCGACAAGGTCAGTGGCAGGAGGGGAATCTTTTACTAGCCGTCCCTTTGCAGGCAGCCCCATTCCACCGTGCCGTCGAGGCCCGCCCGAACGTGTTGCTGATGGGCGACAGTCTGGGTGATGTCCATATGGATGTCGGCATCGATCATCAGGGCCACACCCTTCGTGTCGGATATCTCAATTTCCCGGTTCGTCTGGTCATCTACTGGCTTTTGAAATGATTCTCTCTTTTCCAGTCGGACCATCTGCTCGAGAAGTTCCTCCACGGCTACGATATTGTGATCATCAACGACCAGACGATCAACATCCCCGAGACCATTACAAAGGTATCGCGAATTTCATGGCGCAATTTATTAATCGTATCATTTTCAGTTGGCCACTGTTGCTCAGAAGACACGCGTTTGAGCGTCATCTCGTGCTCCATTTACTCGCCTTCACTTCGGAAAACCCCTGCTCAATTACTCGTTTTTAGGCCATTATATTCTATTGACTGCTCGTACTCTCTCATGCTCCATCTCCCTCTCTCGTTCTCCCTGTACATATGCACGTTGTCCATGTCCGCTCCCCCGTCTCCCTTGTCGTCTACTGCTTTCCGATGATGCCCGGTGCGTACGCGTGTGATATGTATTTGTGGAATGCTTTTTTTCGTGTTTTTCTTGCCCTCTTTTCTTCTCTCTTTTTGTGTGTACAAACACCTTTTAGAATATCCTCTTTTTCTTCTGCATGCTCAGTTTTTGTCGCTCTCTCTCGCGCTCTCTCGTTCTCGTGCTCTCTCGCTCACTCACTCCCATTCGATCATTTGTATTGGATTTTGACTGCATGCATGTGTGTGCCTTTGATGGAAGGAATAAATATATTTTTTTCGAACACGAATAAATTGACTATAAACGCTTTACAAGACAGAAAAATGAATAAATATATATTTTTGGTTATTACGCACTATAATGACATTTACAAACGTGAAAGTAGAATAAATATAGATTTTTTGAACACTGTAAATTGACTATGAAAGGATTTAGAACCGGAAAATAGATTTGATATACTCTGGGATGGCCCTGACACGACTAATCGAATCTAGTCGAATACACTGTACCAATAAATTATTGCAATTAGTAGGGAGAATGAGGCGTTGAGCACGAGCTATCGAATCGCTATCGAAAAACATTGACTACACGATCTCCCCGAGTGCACTTGTCACCGACTGTCCCGGTTTTCGAATCGTTCTGAAATTCGGTGGAATTAGCTTGTGTTTTACTAGTTAAATTTAAATAGATTACTTAGTTTTAAGAGGCCTATTTTTGTGTCTCTATAACTTACATTTTTCCCGTCTGATACTCGATGTCATCTTTAGTCGACGAGACACGCGCCATCAGTTGCCACTCGACGTCCTGAACCGGGGGTTTTGGTCTTATTATGGTTCAAAAATTGCTATTTTTTGCCCAGTAGATCTTTAGGCGCTTAGAAACTGACCGTTTCTGCTTCATACGACAATTCAATTGCTTCGAGTTGTCCCAGATCGACGGCCTCGATTTCGTAGTCTTCTGTCTGAAATTTGACGTCGGTAAGAGTCTATTTTGTATCTAGATTCTAGGTATTGTAGGTATGTCGATTCCACTTTGTGCTACCAGTCTGAAAAATACATAAAAATGCTCGCCTTGTTCTGTAGAGTAAGAATCTTTCAAAATTTTAAGCTAAAAAAATCACAAAAGCTAGGCGATTTGAGGCGCTAAAGTCAGAATCTCGGCTGGGATTGGTTTGAGATTCCTATTTTACTAAATTTTTCAGTATACTTGCCATCTCGCTCTGCGTCAACCTCTCAGCCCTCAATATTCGTGTGCCACTCCCTCCATCTCTTCCAATTAGGATAGCACATGGCTGGATGACACCGTTAATCGAGGATGTTTCGAGTTGTAGCGTGTACACGATATCTGAAGAGATATATTATGCTTAGGATTTACAGTAAATTCGCCTCGACTGTGGTCGAATAGCGTCGAAAAATTCCGAAAAAACGAAAAGATTGAAAATTAGCTTTTCAACCCTATTTTGAATGGCTTTTTGTGCAATTTTGATTTTTTTTCTCGTATTTTTCCAGCTATTTTTCTCGTGTTTTTCCAGCTTCCAGTTCTTGTTCAATGCACGGTTTTGTCCAATATTCTAGTTAAAACCGAAACTCCAGCTTACTCTGCTTGGGCGGCACATCGGGATAAACGGTGGGATACTCGTAAACGGCATTATCGTGGAATTCGGTGTCGACCGATGGGAAACGCATCTCCTCTCCAGTCATAGCGTTCGATAGACGCATCTAAAGACCATTTTCAAGGTATAGATTCCAATGGCTTACCCGTCTGACATGTAATCTTCGTCCTCTCATCTCACCCCTCACTCCCAGTCTCACTTTATCCACCGTCCCCACAGCTTTTCCCCTCATTTGATAGCTCATCTCTTGTGCTTCAAATTCTTCCGTTTGTGCGTTCATTGGGATAGTGGATGGGCCAGCGCATAATTCGGCGTATGGGATCATATCCGAATCGTCCTAAAATTACCTCCATTTTTTTAGGGATTATCTCCATACCTTGACGCTCATGCTCAACGTCCAGCTGTCCTGCTCGCTTTCGCGTTTGTCCTTTTTGTAGCGCGTAGGAAGGCCTTCCATTTCTAAAAAAACTGTTTTTGATGCCTTTTAATAGTTTAAAAAACTTTTAATAACGTTTCATAGCTTTCTAAATCCATTTTTAAGAAGACCAACTCTTTACTTAATTTTACTCTGCCGAATTAGCTTTTTTACCCATTTTTAGGATGCTTTACCGGTGAGCGTCAACTGTTTATGATAGAGCCCATCTTCTTCCGGCAAATCCTGCACTCGTCCCATCGACAGCACGTAGCGATACGGGCAATGCGTCGATTCACGCACGTAGGCTGATGTGGCCACGAACTACAAAGGAAATAACTAAGTTTTCCGGTAATTTTCGATACCTCAGCGGCCATATCCAGCCCGGGCACGCCGCGGCGGTCCCAGATTTCTTGTAGTGTCGCGAATCCCTCGAGGGCGGCTTCTCCTGGAAGTTTTTATGTTCTAAGGGACTGGATTTTATCGTTTTATAGTTTTAACCAATTTTCAAACGGCTTTTTAAGGCCTATAGCGTTAAAAAAATGATTTGAACGCCCTACCTTTCTCGGTAAATTCGCCAATAATTCGAATCCCGTGGATACGGCCAAGATATACGCATTCGGCTTTGAACGAATATTCCTAAAATTTAGTCGTTGCTTTAATGATTAAAAAGGTTAAAAACTTACATTTTTATCGCCTTTTATTAATGGGAAAATGCCGCTGTCGCTGTATTCTCCAATTAGCTGCCCGCGCAACTTTTCGGTCTTTAGCATTCTCACGTCACCCGCGACGACTTTTCCCTCGTAGTTGTTGACTAAATAAACGATTTAATAAGCTATTTTCTTAATTTTAAAGACGAAAATAGGTATTTTTATATGAATTAGAAGAAAACTTACTAGCCAACGGCGTCTGGCCGGCCCGGAAAACGGATATTTCCCGGTAGGGCTGCGGCTTTTTATGGGCCCCGGTCACGTCCAACCATTTTCCGACCCTATTAAGCAAGTATTAAGGATTATTAACAATTTTTTAGATACCTAACAGCCAGCCTCTCCTCGGTATCGAGATCTCTCAACTCGACATACTCCAGGAAATAATCAGGATGCTCGCCGGAGCCGTCGATTTCGAAGCGAACCTTTAGCAGGTCGCCGATTTCGCCGAAATCCACCTGAAAAGGTTGGGTTTTGAAAAGATAGATGGTTTGGAAGCTTTAGAGCGGTGTTTATCACTAAACAAGTTTTTTTCAGTTTGAAATGACATTTTATGCGTATGCTTCACTTTGCATACTTGTCCTAAATTCAGATGGAAAAAATGAAAAACCACTTCTTCTGCGGCTTTATATCGTCGCGTCCCCACTCCGGCCTATGCTAATTGTTTTTAACAAAGAAGCTTTCACAAAAACTTAAATTTAATGTCGAAAATCGATAATTTTGTAAAATCTGTTAGGTGTGCAGTAATCCCAAGACCATTGCGCACCTAATGACGTATCATACGTACTTTAAAATCCATCCTCTATCAAGATATCCTCCGGACAGACAGACGGAAGTGGATGCAAAGTGGCACACACACACACACACACAAAACACAAACACTATTTTTTTATATATAGTAGGATCCTACTTGAATTAATGAAGTAGACGGCACTTCATTCAAGCTTTTATCGGTGGATATTGTGGTCATCGAGCTGCCCTGCGTGCCGTACCCGACAATATTCAGATTTGACGTCGTTCCGCCCTCTCCATCTGGGGTGCCGTTGTGGAGGATGAACTCCCAGCGGCCTTCTAAAATAGATAAAGTATGTTTTATATTTATTAAATCGAATTCTAGATTCGCAAAAGCTTACGCGATGAAACTCCGTCTTCCGGGATTGAGCTGATGTAGTAGAAGGCCGATACAGGGAGGCTGCGCTCGATTTTGCCGTCGACCTGGAGGAGATGTTTCGTTTCTCTCTTTCTCTCTCTCTCTCTCTCTCTCTCTCTCTCTCTCTCTCTCTATCTCTCTCTCTCTCTCTCACCTGTCCACTATCCAGCCATTTCGAGCAAAAGAATACAAATTGCCGTCCATCCACCACATTCTCCGTCACGAGAAGGTGCTCGATAAATATCCCAGCACCTATATGAATGCGTTGTCCTCTATTCGACACCCTCTCTCCCTACCGTATCCCCTCCTCTCGTGCCCGATCACCACTTTATTCAGTGTCCCCAGTGGCTGGGAAGTGACATGGAACGAGTCGAGCTGGTTGCTCTTGAATTTCCCCTCGCCACTCTGCAACCAGGAAACCTGAACCGGGACCTAGTAATATTTAAATGTTAGCAAATATAATTCAGGAGAAAAAGCCCTAAACCTACATCAGGTTTCAACCAGAATTGTGTGCTCGTAGCGTCATCTCCATAGAGGGTCACGTAGAGATCTGCCTCCGAATCTGCTCCCCAGCGATTGCCCGTCAGCACGGCGATTGTGTACGCCATTCCTATAGACGGAAAATTGGCAAAAACAGTATGCACGTTTATTACCAATTTTTAGTGAATTTTCGGTCAGTATTTGTAATTTTTTAAGCTTAAAAACAGTAAGTATGATGTTTTTACAAAAAGCCAAGCAAATTAGCGCTTTCGAAGCAAAACCAAAAGCTTCTACAAACGCTACAGTAAGCAACGAATTATCTCTCTCTCTCTCTCTCTCTCTCACCTCCCGCTTGTTCCACTCCCTCAGCAGTTTCCACGGCATCGTGTACGCGATGCTCCACCTCTTCCTCAACCCCTCCCATCTCTTCCTCAGCTTCAATGACAGTTGGCTGTTCTCCAGTGAAGTCGACTGAAATTTCGGCCTACGGTAGCTGCAACCAAAAATGACAAAAAGCCACTCAAAGCGCTCAACAGAAAATGCAAAAAAGACAATAGCACGCGTTCTACCGTGTTTGAGCCTTTTTCGGGTACGGTATCCCCTATATGTTGCCTGGATGAGGGTGGCCGCTTCTTCTTTCGCTTCATAGCTGTCTGAATGGGACGGTAGGGGACGTTTAAAGGGACTCGGACACTCGAATTCGGACTCGATTCCATTGCGTAATCGATTACGACATTTTTGTGCCTACTTTCGAACAAAAAGTGCATTACAATCCTACACAAAAAAATCTATAAAATACCTTGACTCCTCTTGAGCTGTTTCCTCGTCCTATACCCTCGATATTGGGCCTGGATCTTGGTGGCAGCTTGGTGTCTCCTCCTCTCCTCCTCCTCATCCATTTCCGTCTCCTCTCCGGGTCCCGCCGCGAGCCCCTTCCTCGTCCGATATCCTCTATATTGTGCTTGTATCTTCGTGGCGGCTAGATGCTCCTGGTCGAGTTCCTCTTCCTCTTTCCCATTTCTCATTGTATTCAGCTCTTTCCGGGTCCTATACCCTCTATATTGGGCTTGGATTCGCGTGGCGGCCGCGTGGCGTGCGGCTTCCTCTTCTTCGTCATATTGTTGAACATCCACCGCTCGTCCTGCTTTTAGCTGTTTTCTGGTACGATATCCCCTATAGTGGGCCTGGATTCGCGTGGCGGCCGCGTGGCGTGCCTCCTCGTCCTCTTCCGCTCCTACCGCTTCGTAGTTTGTAGCCGCGGCTAAAGTGCGAGTGGTGTTTTATGCGTTTTAAAGGACTTGTGACGTCAGAAAAATTGGGCTTAATTTTGGCGAATTTTAAAAGGCTTGTGAAATCGAGGAAAAATTATTGTGCCTTTACATGCCGTAACTGAATGTCTGCGTGGCTTTTTCGGTGAATTTCATGCCGTAACCGAATGTGCGAAAATCGCATGCTTTGTCAGGGCGTGCTATAGGATTTTTACCATATTTTTTCGAGATTACCGTACCCCCTAAAGTACCACCATAGTACGCCAAAATCCAACTTACGCTGCTCCTCGCCAATTCCTCGGCCTCCCTTCCGCACTCGATATCCGCGATAGTTGGCCTGGATTTTTGTGGCCGCCTCGTGACGACGGGCGCGTTCTTCTAAAAAATATAGTCAGAATAAATTATGACTTAACTTTGATTTTGTTATTTTTAGGAATTTTAAGAGTAAAAAAATTTAATTTTTCCTAAATGAACCCTTGAAAACGATTTTGTAAAATTTAGATACTGTAAATTGCAAAAATTAAATTTAAATAGGTACCTGGGTGATACTGCTCCTCCCTGGCCATCATCTCCTTTCTGACTTTATGCCCTCGGAATGCTGCCTGGATGGTCGTTGCCGCTTTTTCTTGCTTCTCCATTTCCTCGTCTTAAATTTGGGGGTTTTCGCCTTTTAAAGGGATGGTGACAGGCAATTTTTAGCCTCAAGTATTGAACACGTACCTTCATCGGAGCTGAGATATGTTTCTGCATTGTCTGGGGTATCCGGTTTGGCCGATCTCGGTTTCTAAAGGGCCATTGAAGGCAGTTAAAGGGGGTGTGACAGCTGGCTTACCTCTTCTTCAGATCGTGCACTCGCTCGTTCGGACAGCGGGGAACCGGCTGTAATTTTTTGGTTATTAAATTTATTTTATTGTATTCTATTGAACACGGGCTATATCATAAAATTACGTCATGAAATTCATTGGCTATCAGTGCGCAAACTCGCCTAGAAAATCGATTACGACAGGAAATTTGCTGGGGAGAACCGATTACGGCATATAATTCAGGGTGGTCTTTTTAAAGACTTACGATAATCACTAGCGCTCGTTTCAATAGATCGTCCACTCGGCATATCCTCTCCATTCATCGTCCGAACGCTGCTCTCCACTAAGAAAATCGAGTTTTACAATCCTCAGGAATCCCAAAAACCTGACGGAGCCTTTCCGGAATCGTCACTTTTCGTCGTCGCCGAATTCGGGGGATCCAGGGACGCTAAAAATCAACAAAATAAGCTCTTAATGTAAAAATTACAAAAATGCGCTTAGAAAACTTACGAATCCGGCGTTGTATTTTCCGTTTCGGGGCCCCAGTCATTTTCCTCGTATTCTTTCGGGCGTTCTGAAGCGGAATATTACATTCAAGTCGAGCAATTTTGTCTTTTAACACCTAAACAAACGTTCCTGAATTACTACTGCTATTTGATGTCATAATTGAATCGGAAACATCGATTGCTGCCAGACTTTGCCAGATATCCAGAAACTAGATCCAAAAGCCCCGTTTTAACTTTCTAATCTCTTTAAAAGCAGCGCGAATAAATCGCATTATCGCAAATAATTTTTGCTAGTTTTCCTAGCGTAAAACGCCATAAATCCAGCTTTTAAAGGCCCATTGAAGTCACAAATCCGTCGGCAAAACTCACATTAATAGTAGCTTTGTTGGGTTTTTCGATACCGTTCGATTCTTGGTATGAATTAGTTGTAGATGAGGATTGGAGACTGGCCGTTGGGAGACCGGCTCGACCATTCGATTGACGGGCTGTGTCTAGAAAGATCGCGTTTGAACTTTCTAAAGGGATGTCGACACCTGGTTTCCGCCAAAATCCACAAAAAAAAAATCAATAAATTACCACTTTTCCGGGCCGTCGATCGATCGGATCGATTTGTGAAAAGTGGAGGGAGAGCAAATTTTTCTCGCAACTGCAGTCGCTCGTGTCTTGGGACGGCGATTATCTAAAAAAATCGAATAACTTTTGAAATGGATTTTTGGATGATCAATATTTTTGTGATTTTTAAAATGAAAGGAGGCCCAGCTACCATCAAAATCTTTAATTTAGCTTTTTAATTTTTTTTTGTATCAAAGCTTAGGTTACCGTATACCTTTAGTAGATGCGTAATAGGGAGGGCGACTAGTCGTTCTTGTCTTTCACCCATTTCATTTGCATCAATTTGAAGCTGCAGAAAATCACATGATTTTTGAAAGGGTTTTTAGCAATGAAATTCAGCTTTTAATGGTCAAAGATTATAGGGCGATTTTGAGAATGTACCAATTAGGCGGAATTTCAAGGAGGGAAGAAGGACTGAGAAATTGATTGGAAGCGGGAGAGAGAGAGAGAGAGAGAGAGAGAGAGAGAGAGATGAGAGATGAGAGATGAGAGAGACAAAGCTCACGGCCACAAAAAATATTTTTCGAAGCCGGCCTCCGATTTGTGGGAAGAAGAAGAGGAGGCGAGGGTGGGAACGAGTGACTACGAATTTCAGAAAAAAGAAAAATACTAGAAAAATACAAAACTCCGGGGCTCCATTCCTCAGAAATCTCTGCTAGCTAGCCTAGGCTTATTCTCCAAATGGCCTCTGCTAGATTGCCAGGCGTCAAAAGTAGTGAATCCACCAAAAAATCCAAAAAACTAGAAAAGAAAATGATTAGCGGGGAATTTCCTCAAAAATCTCTGCTAGCCTACGTTGCCTGGACCTCATAATAGCGAAAATCAGCTGAAAATATTGTGTACATAAAATGCTAGCTTTAAAGGGACCGGGAAAACGACAAGAGGCGAAGACATTTCCTAAAGAATCTCTGCCAGTCTACCCGTTTCAAAATGTCTAACAACTGCGGTTTTTAGGATTTATTTAAAGGCCCATTGAAGCGAGTGACCTATGGATTTGAGGTTGATTTACGGTAATTAAAAATAAGAAAAGACTATGAATTGAAAAATTAGATATTTGGCAAAAAATAAAACTAATACGGGCAGAAATTTTGGATGCCATTGATTGGCCATTTGGCAGGTGCAAAAATTGCTCTAATAGCATCAGGGCATTACATATTTTCTACCGCATATAGCGCAAAAAATAGCGCATTAAATTAATCAATTTTAAAAATTAAGCTTGGGGTTAAAATTGGGTATTAAAAAACTACAGGAAAACCTCCTAAATTCAGAGTAATTAGCATGAATTTCTCTAGGGAATTGAGGCCTCAAAACTCGCCGGAAAGAATTCCCACGGCCCAAAAATGCCCCCCCAAAAAACCCGAATCGATATTCTGTCGGTATTTTGGCCGGGTTATAGCCGTCCGGCCGCTCCGTTCCGCAGTGATACTACTGACTAGGTGGCTGGGTACCGCCGTTTTTTCACCTCTTCACTTTCCCACCAGCGCGTTAATCGAATTTCTCAAGGGGCCCGCTATTTCTTGGTTACCTCCAGTGCAATGGAATCGGGATGATGTCGGCATTTCTTTCTCTCTCTCTATCTCTCCCTCGCTCTCTCTCTCTCTCTCTCTCTCTCTCTCTCTAGCTCTCTCTCGCTCTCTGTCTCCCTCTCTCTGTCACTCTCTCCCTCGCTTTCTCTCGTTTAAAAGCCTATTGAAGTCAGAAAACTCGAGATTATTCGATTATGTCATGAAATCCGAGCTTAACCTTGGCTTCCCGGTTCCTTTAAACACGATTTTCATTGATTTAGGGCCAAATAAACGCGAGAAACGTCAATTTTCGCAAAAAATCGGGCTTGGAATCGGTGACACGATTAAATAAACTATAAGCATTGCGGTCCCGGACCCTTTAAAATCTCTAGCAAATGACTCAATTTCTATAGATCATCCCCGTTCCCTCATTTACACCTATTCCGGTGGGTGCCGTTTCTCTGAATTCTGCGGAATCGACTCCTAATCCCTCTCGCCCCATTTCCAATTCCACACCCATTTTAAAGGGATTAGCAAGCAGCGGTCCCTATCGTGATTCGTCGCTTCGATTTGGCAACCCAATTTTGAATATCTGCTACCTTAGGTGGTGTGACGTCCATCATCTCCTCCACTCTCTCAATCTTTCGCCCCTCAAATGTGTACAGACGATCGACGGCCGCCTGGAAAATTGTAGGCTACAAACTACAGCCTGTAGATGAGAAGGCCCAGGCTATAGACATCAAAATTGCCGTTTATACTTCTATTTTCAGGTTTAAAAAAATCGAAAGGATCCTGTAACCTCTTCTGCTAGCTACAAGCTACAAAGTACAAACTTTTTAGTCCCCAGGCTACAAACTACAAACTCCAAACGACATACCCCCAATCCGAGGCTGATCTGTTCGAGGAGGGTATCCAGATGGGGCATTCGAATCGGGTTGAGGACGAGGCGGAAGATTTGCGTTTTCCCGTTCAGCACGAAGAAGATCTGAAACAAAATCTGAACTTGTGCCCAAAAAAAGCTTTTTATGAAGTTTTTGATGACTCAAGGGCCGCGCCGCGGCACGCAATGCCCACGCGAGACGTCGCGCGGGGTATGGCGCCGAAAAATTCATAGAGAATTTATGGAAAAACCTCAATAATAGGGCCTTTTTGGCTTCTTTATAGGGACCGGCAAGCCATTAAATCAACGAGTCTTTCGACTAGGTGTCGACAAGTACTGTACCTGTTTGCATGGCTGTACATTCAACCCAAGCGTCCTCGACATTCTCAACTTCTGGCGGTACGATGGGGAGGCCGGGATCTAGAATTTGCATTTTTTTGTTTTATTATCAAAGGGACTGGAAAGTCAAAGCCAAATTCCCTTCTAGGTGCTGCCTACGCATTAATCGGAATAGTGAGGGTGGTGTTTTTGGGCGTTCGATAGGTGTTATCGTGGATTTTTGAGGGTTTGTCTCTACACACTTTTTCACTATTTCTAGCGGATCTCTACAATGCACTACTCTACAATACTATTAACGGGTTCCCCTCTTTTCATCCCCAGGATCCGTGGGGAAAATTAATCTCATAGTTTTTTGGAGAGTTAATCCCCCCTCTTGGATGGATTGGCGTTCGGAGGTGAGAGAGAGAGAAAGAGAGAGAGAGAGTGAGAGAGAGAGAGCGAGAATGAGAGAGAAAAACGCTTATCTGTACTTAAAGGCCGTCTAAGCCAAGATGGCAAGCTAGCTAGCAAGGATTCTTTAGGAAAATCTTTCTCTAGGTGTACACCGTATCCGTATACCGTATCTAGGACAGATTCTAGCGTGTGTATTGTAGTGTCTCGTAGCGCCCCCGTGCCTCTCCTTAGCGTGTGTGTCTACCCAATATGACTGTCCATTTGGCCCCTCTCGTCGTAGAGCTTTCTCGGCAGCATCTCTTGCCTTTTGAAGTCTTTCCACTCCGGAGAGATTGAGACCTCGAGACTTCCCGGAGGTCGCTACGTATCTGAAAATGGAGGGATGGATAAATGGTCTCTGCTAGATTGCCTTGCCGTTTCAGAGACGTTTTTAAAGGGATCGTAACAGCAAAATTTGCCATTTTCCAAATGATCCCTGCTAACTGCGGTCAGCCTCCCTTTAATGGGCCTATTCCCTTGAATACTACTCACTTTCCAAGGTGTTGCAATTCATCAATCGTCTGCACTTCATTCCTCCCCATTGGTGTCATCAAGCGCCGCACACCGTACGCCATCTAAATTACGAAATAATGGACAAAGCACCGTAATTAAAGGAGTCATCAATCATTTCTCTCTCTCTCTCTCTCTCTCTCTCTCCCTCCCGATCGCGGAAATGGTCGAATTGTACATCATCGATCAAGCCTATTATTTTGCGCGCGAGGACACTAGGCTACCATGGACGACAGGATTTCGTAGCGTAATCTATATTTAATCCTGGTTTTACTCGGCACCTCGAGCCCCTTATTGAGACGATTTTCATAGCGTGAACGATTAGACCCGCCAATTCCCTCGTTTTCTTACCGGTATATTCGTATTCAAATCATCCAGCAGACTGTCGATGGTACGGTAGCGGGCCTTCGAAACCGGAATGCGAACTCCCTAAAAACCATTTTTAGTGTTTAACTTTTGACAAAAAATAGTTACAGCAACCTTCTCTTACCGTAAAATACTCGTCGCCCTCCTTGTAGAAAAAGACGGTTTTTGCCGAGTAGGGGCGTGTGAATGTCCGTGAAGAGTTCTCGTACGTACTGTAACGTGGAAAGCGTTGAAATTGAAGCCAAAAAAATAGGAATTACCGTATCATTCCGTTCTTCGGCTGCGGCACGTTGGGCAGCATAATTTTCTGAAAATAAAAATTTTAGAAATGTTCAAATTTTTATTTTTTTTTGGGTTTTAATGGTTTTAATCTAATTTGAAACAAATCCACAGAAATTTGCCTTCAATGGCCCTTTAAAATGGCCATTAAATTATCGAGAAACATATTAAATCCAATACTAAGGAAGGAAAATCGGGATGAGAATGGGATTTGGCTGGGCGCCAAAAAAGAGAGATTTAATCCACCTCGTGGGAGATGGGAAATCCCATGACGCAAATCAGCAGGGGAGGGGCAATGTTTAGGGGCTTCAACGATTTGGGATAGAGAGAGAGGCAGAGAGAGAGAGAGCGACAGAGAGTGTGAGAGATAGGCATACAGTATCCTGAACTAGCGGAAGTTCCGCTTCACTCCGACACCCGCTTGGATGTAATTATTTTTGGCGAAAATCGGGGGTTGCGTCTATTTCCGGAAGTCAATTTCGGGTAGAGCTCAAAAGCCAGAAAAACGATATAGAAACGGAGACTGAGAGACAAAAAGAGCGAGAGAGGCAGAGAAATAGGCAGAGAGAGAGAGAAAGAGAGAGAGAGAGAGAGAGAGAGAGAGAGAGAGAGAGAGAGAGACAGAGAGAGAGAGTGGCCGAGAGGGAACGAGGGCAAGAGAGGCAGCGTGAGAGAGACAGTGCGGGAGTGAGAGAGCAACAGAAAGCGAGAGAGATGAACAGAGTATAGCTATAAAGGCTATATGAAGTTTTGCAGGCTAGCAGGGATTTTTGTAGAAAAATAGAAAAAGCGAAGAGAGGAACAGAGAAAGTAATTTTTCGACTTTAAAAGGCCCTCTGGAGTCCAGATACTGGGCAAGCTAGCAGGGGTTCTTGAGGAAAGTCCGGCTAGGCGATAGAGAGACCGAAGTATCTATCTTTACTTACCTTATACATTTCGCCCGCTAAACCCGGAACTGAGGCTTAACCCCCAGAATTCCGAATCAATACCAGCTTCCGCTAGGTGTAGATAGGAATGTAGTGGAACGGAATGGAATGGAAAGTATTAGGGGCCAGATGAGGGAGGCCAGTCGGACTAATATTCCTTCATCTTTCCGGGGGGTTAATCCTCCTCCGTCTCTAGTATGGCTTCGGAATGTTGGGTTGTAGGGTTTCTTTTGGTCCCGCGAAAGGGGGTTACGGTAGGTGAATCATCAGATAGGGCGCGTTTCCGAGCGCAAATTCTTTAGAATATTTTAGATGCTGAAGGGATCAGAATTTCGAATATATAAGGGCGTTGAGAAAATGGGGGACCACCCGAACAAATTCAATTCTAACACACAGCGGCAGCAGCCTCGATTTCTCTCTCTCTCTCTCTCTCTCTCTCTCTCTCTCTCTCCCTCACTCACTCTCTCTACTCCCCCATATCGACATTTTAATTTCCGGCTTTTCCAAGGCGTGCGAACGCGCGGGAAATTGAGGGGGAAGGAAAATTAGAGGAAAAACCTGTGCCTAGAAAAATTCCTGAATGGTCTTTGCCGACTTGCCTAGCTGTTCGGGGGTTCCCAAATAATCTCTGCTACCCTGCCCATCCATTCTATTCCGCAAATGGTCTCTACCACCTTGCCCTCAAATTTGAAGTGTTCAGTCAGTTCAAAATGTCCCAAAGCATCCCTGCTAGCTTCCCCGAGGTTTCTAAAGATTTCCTAAATGGTCGCCGCTAGCTTGCTTTGGCTATTATGGCGGGTTCCGGGCTTTTAAAGGTGTTGGCAACACACCAGAAATTCCTCAATTTGTCTAAAAACTCGAAAAATTAATTTTTGTGAGATTTCAGCGCAAATATTTGCCTTGATAATCCCTTTAAAATCAAATAAAATGCTTTCAAAAATATGCAAAACTCAAAAAATCGATTGAAACTAGAGCAAATTCCAAACTCCTTCCTTGCTGCAAATCTCCAAATTTTTATACTTTTCGGTTCCTTCCTAACGCTAAATAAATGGTAATTACCGGCTGGCAACTGGCTTTTCGAGCCGTTTTTGTAAGGAGAACTGTTAAAAATTGGTGCCCATAAAATCGGGATAATTAGGGGTGGTCATATGGGTTTGTGGAGCCATAAAAAAGACCAAAATTACACGGTGGATTTTGGTCTTTTCTTGCACGAAACAGGGCAAACTAGCTGGGATTCTTTGGGAAAGTGGGAGAAGATGTAGGGAAGCTAGCAGAGGTGGTTGGTTAAGGAACGGGCTAGGCATGCTAGCAAAGATTATTGAGGAAACCCGACAGCGGTAGGCTTGCGGGGAATCTTTGGGGAAATGGGCCAGTTTGAGGTGGGGCAGGCTAGCAGGAACTATTGAGGAAAACTCCATCGGAATACCGGGGCCGGCTAGCAGAGATTCTTTGTGAATCCAAAGGGATAAGCAAAAAAGAGGCATGCTATCCGAGAACGTTGGGGAAATTCGACAGCAATGTGGCGGCAGGCAGGCGAGCAGAAATTCTTTGTAGAACTCGGAGGAGTTGAAAAGGGCAGCCAAGCAAAGATGCTTTGGGAAACGGGAAGGAGAAGATAATAGGTATACTAGCGCAGAGACAATTGAGCACTTTCTTCTATTTCCCTTTAAGGCAAACTAGCAGGGAGGCTTGAAGAAAAGGCGAAAGCCTTGAAAACACACGTTCTTTGAGTGGTAAAAGAATGACATCAAAGCCGCGATTTGGGATATTTAGCGGCCCACGCAGCGAGAGAGAGTGAAAAAGAGAGTGAGAGAGCGAGAGAGAGAGAGAGAGAACACAGCCCTAAAAATGAAATCAAGGCCGCAGCGGGACCTGTAATCAGGGGTCCATGGGTGAAGCCTGCCCCTTGTGCCCTGGGGCATTTTTGAAGACCCACTAATTAACAGGTAACGGGAGAGAGAGAGAGAGAGAGAGAGAGGGAGAAAGAGAGAGAGAGAGAGAAATAGAGAACACCGGAAGTGAGAGAATTACAGAAAAATAGCCAGGGAAATTGGGGAGTGTGAGAAAAGCCGTAGAAAAAATGGGGGTGAAACCCTGTAGGTGAGAGCGGGGGGATTTCAGCCCAAATTCTGGCGATAACAATCGGGTTATTAAAAGATCCAGCAGTGGATAAAGCGACTTTCAGGCCTTTTAAGGGGACTGGGAAGCCAAAAATGGGCCCTGAACGTGAGGTATTCATGGCAGCAATGAAAAGCTATAATTTTGGCCTTAATTGGAGAGAGCTGAATCGCGGATTTCATTGCGTAATCGATTAATCCTCGCGTCTTCTCGTAGCTAAACGCCACGCTCCTATCAACAGCCAGATTTTCAATGCGTAATCGATTAGGAAGGGTTTTTCATAGCGTAATCTATTTTTCTTTTGAGCTCGGAAGGGATTTTTAGCGGAAAAAATAATTAAAACGATGTAACTTTATCGCAATTAAAATGTTAAACCTAGTAAATTGGTAAATTAATTTTTAATACCAAAAAACGCTGGATTCGTGCCCTTCCGGATTCCTTTATAAATGACTGACCTCCGGGTCCCTGTCCGAGTCGGCGGATCTATTGGTGTAGATATCCGTCCCACCTCCTCCTCGCCACGATGAATTGCTGTTCCAGTTGCTGCCCGATCGCTGGAAAAATGGTGAAAATAGGTTTAAAAGAACTGGCAAGTTTTGAATACGAATGGATTTGGAGGAGAGCTATGGATTTGGCCGACGTCGTGACACGCAGCGCACATCCCACTTCCATCAAATGGCAGTAATTCAACACACAATGAAAATCGCCGCCGGATCTTTTGCCATGAACATCGCGACACGCAACGCAACGCAACGCACGCGGCGCCTTTCCCGTTATGCGAATTAATCGATTACGCTATGAAATACGGGGGCGGTCCCACGGGAACCGCGACACGCAACGCGCATGCCGCTCGGCCGTCGAAAGGGGTCGTATTCGGTTACGCAATTAAATGCGAAAAGTTGCGTGTTGCGTACCGCGGGCACAATAAAAGTAAAAAAAAGCCGTGCCCAAAAAGCTAAATGCCTCCAAAATTTAAAAATAACAAAAAATCCGGAATTTTTGGAGTTTCTACCCTCCCACGTATTTTTGTGGTTTCTATATTTCAATTTCAATTTTTCAAAACAGAAAATTCGCACGCCAGCCCGTTCTTTCGATTCCCATGAGAATTTCAATTCTCTGCGTTGCTACGACTCCCAAAATTTTCGAGGTGTTTTTTTGCAGATTCCAACTTCTCACCCATTCAGCGGTGGCCTTGATCCGGGGCAGGTGGGCCGTCATTTCGGAGTAGCGCGTAGCTGCGCTGAAAAGCGGTGGGAATTCTTTAAAAGTATGGTTATTAGACAGAGCATTAAATTCTCAACAAGATCAAATCATCAAAAATGACGAATTAATTACGGTAGTTATAAAAAATGCAAAAAACCAAAAAAAAACACAAAAAGTCGGATTTTTCTTTAAAATCGATTTTTCTGATTTAACGTAGTTATTTTGACATTTTTAAGGGTAGTATTTAGTTGGGAATTTAATACTTTATCGAATAAGCTACTGTAGAAGTGACTAAAAACCACAATAACGCTGAAAAATGATACTTTTCAATGAGGAAAAAAGCAAGTCGCCATAAACTTCGATTTTTCCGGGCAATAAACAATTAGTGAGTCAGGAATAAGAAAAAAAGAGCCAAAATCCGGGTGGGAAAACAATCCGGAAACGGGAAAATGCTGGAAAAATGCAACTACATCGTTAAGCACGCCTGCAAGACGTCCAAAAATTTTTTTTGAAGGAGTTTTTGGAATTTCGAAAATGTCTCTGATAGACTGTGTTCAAATTCGAAAACACTAAAAAGCACATAAAAAACTCCATTATGAGTGAGAAATGAGGTAGAAAATGGGGGAAATTCGCTTCCGGGGGCATCAATTTACGGGTTTTTTTGGGGGTTTTGGAGTGTTGCGTAGTGGTGGCTCAAAAATAAGTAAAGGTTGCTTAACGGGGGGGTGGGGAGAAATTAACGAGGTGGAGACCACATTTATATTATAGGGAACCTTAGCTTTTGCCTTTTTAGCTCTAAAAACTGATTAAGAAATTTCTGAACTTTCAGCAAATTGGGGTTGCTTGTCAAAAATCGATGAAAAATGGCGAAAAAGTCCAAATTTAACTTTTTTTTTGTGAGTTTCGTACAATTTCTGGGATTTCTAGTTGTGAGTTCACGGAAAGACAAAAATTATTTTTTCTTTCCAAAGTCCCCCCGCTAACATTCCAGCACCGAGCTATCGCTTGTTTTCCACGCCCGGATGTCGATATCTCATTTCGTATACGTACTGTTTTTCAATAGCCGTTCGCATAAACTGCCGATGGTTTATATTTTTCTCGACTCGGCTCGTAGCGACAATAGTCTTCAGAAGCCATGCTCTACCGCCTTGCCACGACCGCCATATTTTATGTGCTGATATCGGCGGATATTTATGAATATCCTTCTTGTCCGCCGCATACTACTCATGATCGGTGGCTGTGCTTTTGGTTTGAAATAACGAAGATGGTTGTGCCCGAAGATTTTGTGTGGAAACCGGTAAGGGAGGGAGGGAGAGAGAGAGAGAGAGAGAGAGAGAGAGAGAGAGAGAGGGAGAGAGAAAGAGGGAGAGAGAAAGAGGGAGAGAGAGAGCGAGAGAGAGCGAGAAAGCGAGAGAGAGTGCGCGGGTGAGAGATAGGGAGAGAGAGAGTGAGAGAGCGAGAGAGAGCGAAAAAGCGAGAGAGAGAGGGCGAGAGAGAGGGAGAGAGAGAAAGCGAGAGAGAGAGTGCGCGGGAGAGAGAGGGCGAGAGAGTGTGAGATAATTATAAATCTCGACATTCTGTAGCAAAAAAAACCCAAATCTTTTTTTGGAACTACGACGGATGGAAGATAGCGGTGTGGGACGAGAAGACATGGGCCAAAGACGATCTCTACTCCACATGCACTCTTCGCTTCACAAGTTGTACATTTGGACATCCCCCCGTTATGCTATAAGCACCGCTTTTTTGCGGTTCTGCCTGGGTGGTGAATTTTATTGGAATTTTCAAGAGGACTGGCACCAACGGGGATGTGCTCAGGCGGTGAACTATACCACGCGGAATCATCTCGACAAAATATTTGTGAAAGTAGGGCTGACGCTGGAGGATGGGACGGTTTGTTAGAGATCTACATCCCAGAAATTGGCCCACGCGTTTTCAGTTCAAATCGATGTGTCTGCGCCCGTTCGTCAATCATATCAAGTTCTATCAGAAAGGTTGGTCGAGGAGAGAGAGAGACAGAATGAGAGAGAGGGAGAGAGAGAGAAGAGAGATAGAGACAGAGGAGGGGGCGCGGAGGTGAGGCGAGAGAGGAGGGCAGGGTCTGAACAGCTCGAAGTTGTGCAGCGAGGTATCGGGCGGCTCGACGCGAGAAAAGAGCGAGCGTGAGAGAGAGTGAGAGAGAAAGCGAATCGTAACTGCTCGAAATTGTGCAGATCGGGAGAGTGAGAGAAAGAACGTGTTCAAACTCGAGCTCCTAGAAAATATGCAGCCGGCCAGCGGGCAGATAAAAAGCCAAAAAGCGCGAGAGAGTGAGAGAATGAGCGAGAGAGATGGAGGGATAGATAGTATTGCTCTTTTTTTGCAGTAGTCGGCGAGCTGTATGTGGTTCCCGGGCTGGCGTTCCCCTACTGCCGCTTCAAATACACGCAAAAGGAGAATGAGGGACCGTGGGTGGACAAGTGGTTGGATTGCGAAGAAAATGACTGTAAATGGGAGGCTGACTAGAGATCGGAAATGAATTTCGCACCAAATAAAATGTGATGCCTTTAAAAAGAATGATGTTGACAAAAAAAATCGTTATTTTCTAGGGGTGGGAGACAGCGAGAGATTAGGACTAGAAGGAGGTTGAGATGGGGTGAGAGAGAGTGATAGAGAGGGCGAGGGAGAGACAGATAGAGCGTGAGAGCGAGCGAGAGAGTGAGGGAGAGAGAGACAGAGAAGAAGGCGAGAGGGTAAAAGAGAGACAGAGATGAGGCGTGAGAGTGAGAGAGACAGAGAGGGCGAGAGAGAGGGCGAGAGAGTGGGCGAGAGTGTGAGAGAGGCCGACAGAGCGAGAGAGAGCAAGAGAGAGGTGCTAAATTGTTAAAAACATACGCAAAAGAATGAGGTACCAAACTTAGGAAACCAGCTTCCGGCGCAGCGATTTCCGGGTGTTTTTTTGGAGGCGAAGGAGAGCGTAACAACAGTGAACTTTTGGCATTGTGCCAAATGAAGCTGAATTGGTGCTATTTTTGCGTAGGCCGGCAAGAGAGAGAGAAAGAGAGAGAGCACGAGTCTAAAAAATGGCTACACGTCTATTTCCGTGCTCGTTCTCTTTTGCTGGCTATTTGCCTGTATGGCTTCGTTGCCCTGGGTACTCCCCTTCTCCTCTGAAAATGCCCATTTTCAGCTCGCCGCGTTCTCCATCTCCCCTAGGGCCGTTGTGGGACCCAGTTTGGGTGTTGATTGAAAAGCGGAGTTCGGCATCACCTGGTTGCCCCCCCCACTCATTCTCATTCTCGGGTCCCACAGCGAACAAATCGAATTAACCGAACCCCATCTGAAACCATGGGAACCAGCATTGAAAAAGGATTGGCTGGGTGCCAACTCCAAGACCCACCTGAAAATAATGAAACTAGAGAAAATTATAAATACGAAATTTCGGCCCCTCAGACGATCAGACAGCTAGCAGAGATCCTTTGAGGAAATTTCCTGAATTTGCGGGTTCGGTATCTTTTGAGCTGGGCATACTAGCAGAGTTTTTTGGGGATTTCAAAACCGCCGATGGCAAGCTGGCAAAGATTTCTGGAAAAAACTGCGCTGCGTCGCATCAGCGAATTTGCACAAGCTGGCAGAGACCGTTGAGGAAACCCAGGAAAATAACCAAATTTGCGTTTTTCAGCCGGGGCCTCCTAGCAGAGAAACCTTGCGGAATTCCAGAAATATGTCACGGCAAGCTGGCAGAGATTCTTTAGGATATTCACTCCACCCCGAGGAGCTGGGCTGGGCAAACTAGCAGAAACCACTGTGGAAAATCGGCAAAACAAACCGTCTGTGTTTTTCAGGCCGGGCATTCTAGTAGAGTTCACTTAGGGGTTTCCAAAATTACGGTACGGCAAGCTAGCAGAGATTCTTTGAGGAAACCAGGGCAGCTAAAAAGACTACGCCAGCAGCGTTTATTTAGGAATTCTGCAAGACCGCAGTTTGTTGTGGTTTGTAGTTTGTATCCGTTCCTGCACGTTTTCTCAAGATTTATACGTTCCAAAAATCAATAAAATACGAAAACCCAAGAATCATTCGTCAATTTATGCAAATATCAGCAGGCGAGGGAGAGAGCACCAGAATCGAGAGGGGGCAGAGAAAATGGGGCACTTTTTATTGATAGAATGCGCGTTTTTTTTCAGGTTAAAATAGGCTAAATATTGCATATTGAAATTATATTTGATTATTCCCCGCTAATACCCAAAAAATAGAACAAAAAATCGCTAAAATTGTGCTAAAATCGATTTTTTGTAGGAAAGAAAAATTAGCAGAACAATGTGGACATTTTAAAGGGGGCATGACAGGAATATAGAGAGGGGAGTTTGGGGATATTTCGGATGGAAATGCGAGGCGAATAAATTAGTGGATGTTGAGCCGTTTTTTCGAGCCGAAAAGCGAGTTTTTGAGGCGGTGGCCGAGGCCGTGGTGTTTTGAGGAGTCGGCGCCTGAAATTAGCATCAATTAAGGTATGATTTAAATATTAACGACTATTAATGCGCGGTTAAAAATCCATGGTCTAAAACGCTGATAATTATGCCTTGTGCGCTCCTTTAAATTGGTTGGAAATCGATTTTAGCGAAAAGGAATTTTGTGGCATACTGTAGACTTGCCAGTCCCTTTAAAAGCCCCAACATTCGTTTTAAAGGAGCACTCAAGCCAAAGACAAGCTACATCCTCCTACCTGACGGCATCGATGGTCCTCTCCCTCCTCCTACAGCTCCTCCTCCCCCAAGAACATGCTGATGCCACGGATCCTGGCTGAGACTGGCCGATTTGAGCAGAAGAGACGATCCCCCAGAATGAATCTGCGGTTCGATGCCGGCTTTATTGAGAGAGACAAGACTCGCTGCTGCACCCGGAGGACGACCACCACCCATTTTACGGAAGAATGACCTGGAAGAGGTGGTTTTAAAGGGGGAGTGACAGGGGGTACATACCCAATCTTGTTGTGAGTGTGGCTTTTGGTGGATGCCGTCCTGTTGAGAGAACCCGTCTCGAATACCTCACTCCCACGAGAGAAACGACGATCATCAAACTGAAAATGGGGGAGGGGTTGAACTGCTCGAAGTTGGCCGGGAGGCAAATCCAAGGGGAGCACGAGTCTAAACTACTCGGACTTGTGCAGATCGAGAGCGAGAGAGAAATGGCCTGAACTGCTCGGACTTGTGTGAAATGCGAGAAAACGGGCCTGAACGGCTTGAACTTGAGCAAATTGAGAGAGAATGAGTCTGAACTGCTCGAACTTGAGCAAAATGAGAGAAAATGAGGTTGAACTGCTCGAACCTGCGCAGAACGAGGGAGAGAGAGAGAGAGAGAGAGAGAGAGAGAGAGAGAAGAGAGAGAGAGAGAAGAGAGAGTGAGCGAGAAAGCAACCTCACCTGTGCAATATTATCATAAAATCCATCATCATCATCATTAGTATCATTGGATGGATGCCGGGATGATAGACGCCTTGATGATGATGATGCCCCACCAGGCAGTGATCCTCTTCGAATCAGCCCTCCATTATGATGTGCCTGTTGGCCAACATGATGATCCGAGCTGTTCGACGAGTAGTAGCCACCATTTTGGGATGAGCCGGCCGAGCCTGGAAATCAAGATTTGCCTTCAATGGTCCTTTAAAATGGAAATTGCCACCCTAGAGATCGTGAAATTCGAGAACAAAGACCATTTGAGATATATTTACCATCCCGAGGTAAGCTAGCAGAGACCATTCGACATTTTTCTGAGTCTTCAATGGCCCTTTAAAATGGCAATTGGGGTACCAGAAATCTCGAAATTTGCGATTTAGCGCTTGGCAAGCTAGCAGAGACCATTTGCCTACTTTTTTGCCTTCAATGGTCCTTTAAAATCGAAATTGAGGCCCTAGAAACCGTGAAATTCATAATTTAATCGTTTAGCAAGTTAGCAGAGCCGATTGGCGATATGTTTCCATCGTCATGGCAAGCTAGCATAGACCGTTTGCCCCCTCCATCTACCGTACCATTCCTCTGCATCGGCGGTCCATTCGGTGGTTGACTGTGTGGTTGCTGAGGTTGTGGGGGGTAGTCAAAATTCTAAAACCAACGAGAAAGTAAAAAAAAATCGAATTGGGGCCAACTTTTCGCGGTGAAGTAAAAGCGGTGGGTTGTTGATTGTCGGGGAATTCATAAAAATTCTCGTCTTCTCGGCTGCTTTTGAAGGGCTGAGGGCCGCGGCGCCATTCCGCGTCTAAAAATTGAACATAATTATCTGTGATAACCTTGAAAAAGTGGCCGATTAATGACGAGTACGCGACAATACGGCATTGTACGGTGGATTACGGTGAATTTTGGAAACCAGGAGACAATGCTGAGCAATCTTTTGTTTTGCGCGAACCGAATGGACAAAAAGCGGGGTGAGAGAGTGAGCGAGAGAGAGAGAGACTGTGCAACCACCAACTTCAATATTTACAATTTTTGCAATTTATGGCGGGACGGGGCTAGTTTTGTGAGGAGCGCCCTGTAAATACAAAGTAGGATTTAAAGGATAACCTACAAAAGTATTCTTGCACTTTTTAAACTCACTTTTGGTCTCAAATACATTTTGCATGGCTTCGACACGTGAGGGGTTGATTCGCTCCTGAAAAATGAATCGGGTTCTAGAATGCTAAAAAACCGCGCGCACGACACGCAATGCAGCCGCGCCGCGGGCTCGGAAAAAATTAAGCAATGGAATGACAACGGGGTTTTCGCTGCGAAAACGAGCCCGCGAAATCTAACGCTTCAGCGGCACTCTAAGCGCCCACGGCCGCGACGCGTCCGGCACACGCGACGCGCCACGCCTTGCCGGCTCCCTTTAAAGGGACTCCTCAACAGCGCCATTTTTACACGGATCATGGGGATAGTTCCATGCGCATCCGGTTAGAGAACGCGCCAGTTGAGAGACCCAGGCAGATCCACATCCAAATTGTTCCACGCATCTTACACATTTAGAGGAAAACCCCGTTGCGGGGAGTGTCAATGATGCCACTCACCTTATTAATCGTCTCAAATGGTGGGGCATGCATGTGGGGGATGGAATAGATGGAGGATTGGTTCGAGTTGCCTGAAATGTCCATTTAAATTAGCATAAAAATAAAACAAAATACAGTAGGATTCTAGCTAGAGAAAACTCCTAAAAATATCTGGCCTTACCTCCCGGCTTTGGCTAAAAGTCGTATTCTAAAAAATGGATAGTTAGGGTGACGGTATTTTAAGTTTTCGACTACAACTACAGACTACAAAAATACCCACCGCTATTCTGGCGCTGTGGAGGGGCTTTTCCTCTTTGTTGTCGGTCAAGGGAGAATTCATCGGCGACACTGGTTAGCATTGACGCCATATCGTCCAGATTGGCACGGTTTGGTTGATTACTGTATCTAAACTAGGCAATTTTTAGGAGTTTTCTCGCGTTTCTCTCGCTCTCTCTCTCTCTCTCTCTCTCTTTCTCTCGCTCTCTCTCTCTGTCCTCTCTCGAGTTGTGGCCGAGTTCGGCGCTCGCACAAGTTCAAGCAGTTCAGACGCTCTCTCTCTCTCTCTCTCTCTCTCTCGCTCTCGCTCTCTCTCGGTCTCTCTCTCTCCCTCTCTTACCCGACAGGTTGTGTGCCTCTCCTCTGTTGTTGTCCTCCTCCCATCTGTCGTCTCGTTTCATAATACCCATTATCCCCATTATTCCGCATCACTCCACCTGTCGGGAATGATCTCCGCTTCTCCGCTATTGCTGACTAAAAGTTACAGATTAAAATAAGTCATCTAAAGCATCGAAAACAGAGTACAAATTGACAATGAGCAAAACTAAAAATAACAAAAACTGGGAATTGTGTTATTTGGAAAGGGACCGACCCGTGCGTGTTGCCGTCTGACCTCCTCGGTGTTGAGCTCGAGCTCGGCGACGAGGGCATCGATGGCTAGCCCGGGATCTCGAGGTGGGGGAGGGAGGGGAGGAGCATGAGATGAGGGAGGATCAGGGGTACGGTGGAGGGCGGACGAGCCGGCATCGGGGAGAGATCTGGAATACGGTGGTTTTTTACTTACAAGTTCTGTTGAGTGCAGTTTTTTTCCTAAATTGCCACCGCTAGATGCCCTTTTCCGCAAAAATCTCTGCTAGCCTGCCCCATCTCAAAAACCTTTAAAAACCGACTTGATGCTCCCTCGCAACGAATTTCTCTGCACCGACGGGGAGACGTTGTGGAATGCCGATGGACTGGGCCGAGGGTCACTCGGATGTAGGGTCAGGGAATTGTTGTACGGCTCCTAAAAGTAAAAACTAAGTTTAAAGGGAATGAACAGGTCTCTCGCAATTATTCTGCCTCTCCTCTCTGCAACTGCACAAGTTCGAGCAGTTCGGACTCGCTATACCTTTACTCTCGCACCAACTCTCTCCCTGTATGTCCCCGTCGCGATCGATCTCACGGCACAAGTTCTAGCAGTTCAGACATGTGTTCGCTCTCTCTCTCTCTCTCTCTCTCTCTCTCTCTCTCTCTCTTTCTCTTCCTACCTGACTTCCACTCCGCCACGCTCCTCCTTGCACCTCCCGTGGGTCGGCCATATGATCGTACGAGGCCACTCGAAGCAGAGGAGCTGCATTTCCCTCTATCTCAACCGGAAATTGCCGCAATCTGGAATTTCAGGCATTTTCAAAAGACAGTGTCAGCTTTAGAGACTAAGAAATTCAAAACGCACCCATTGCCATTCTGTGGTTGTGGTCTCAGCGGCTGTGGCTTGACCGGCTTGACGTCGGCGTGCGGCTTGGGCTTGCTGTGAGAAGACGAGGAGCTCTTTTTCTCCTTCTTCTTCGTCTTTCCCTTCTCATTGATGGCTGCCACCTCAGCTGAACAGCTTCCCAGTGAGTGTTCATCTACGTCGGCGTACAGGGTCGACTAAAAATGGAGGCATTAATGAAGTTTTCATCTCTTTAAAGGGGAACGCGAAAGAAGATTGACACCGTCAGCAAGGAGTTTAGCGCGACCAGGAGGCCTGGCAGTAGATGAGCACCGTTTTCAAGCGGTTTAAAGGGGAACATCAGGCATTTAGAGCTGGTTTTTCGATGCAATACGCATAACTTGCTGTAGTTGAAAATTTTTGACATTTAAAGTGGGCGTGACAGTAGCCGAGCACGGTTTTCAAGAAGTTTAAAGGCGGTGTGACACACCATTTCGGGTCCAATCACCAGCGGTGCCGGGCTGGCCATTCCAAATGACGACAGATCGTCGTGCAGCCATCGCCGGGTGAAATCCAGTTTGTCCTGCTTCTTTGGTAACTCGATCGACTCGGATATCTAAAAATTAGATTGAGTTTTTTAACTGTCTAAAACCGTGAAAACGACATAGAAAATGCCTATACCTCAGCCTCGATACTCGGCTGCCGCTCCACTGGCTTTTGGAAGCGTCGAGTTGGCTCTGCTGGGGAGGCGATCTGAAAAACAGGCTGAATTTTGCCTACAATTCCTTAAAAAAACATTTCTGAGGGTTTGAGCAAGAGTTTTTGAGCATCAGCAACGTTCGGTTGCACAGACAAAATGAACACCTCGAACTTGTGGCCGCCAAAAATCGATTGGGGCGAACGACCTGGCACGAGCCATCCCGACCCACGAAATTCGGGATTTAAAGAGCCGGAGGGTCAGGTGGCCGGGGGCAAACAGCAGCCCCTCGTACTCACAATATTTTGAACTGCCAAAAAATGGAGCTTTCACACTACGGCACTTAACGGTTTAAGAAAACGGAATTTGGATTTTTGGCCGCAATTAAAAGCTGTGAAATCGATATCGGAATCTACTGGAATGAAAAAGGCTCAAAAAGCTAACGTAACTTTGGATTACGGTATTTAAGTCAGAATGAAAAAATTCTCAAATATTCGCATGGAATTTTCGAATTTTATGAAGTATTATACGGAACTTCTTTTTTTTGTCGTATTTAAAGTTAATGCAAATTGAGTTCTAGAATATCCTTATACCGGTGGGTTACGGTAGTCGGGGCGCAATTTAAAACTCGTCGGATTTTGCCTTTTAAGAAACTGGCCGGATCAGGGTAGATTTCCCCGCGCCGCGACACGCAACGTGCCTGCCGGGACGAGTAACCGATTAAGTGATGGAATCACGGTCACTGGGCGCAAAAAAGCCAAAAATTGATGGAATTCCCTGCCTTGCCCCTTTAAAAATTTAGTCCCTTTAAAAATGCAAAGACTCCGGTCTTGTTTTTTTAGACAATTGCAAACTACAGACTACAGGCTACAGACCCCTCCACCTACATGTTGCTGTTGTGGCCGATGGCGGGCCGTTCGATTCGGCAGTGATTGGGTGGCGTAATTGGATGGCGCCGGATCGGGCACCACGGCTGGGATTCGTCTGAAAAAATACGTATGATAATTCTAGCCTTAAATTCCGATCTTTAAGCTGTTTTCGGCTGGATTCTCGACCGAAAATCTCCCAAATTTCGCAAAAAAATCACGGCTTGCCTGCCTAGAACTTCACAAAAAAAAAATCCAACTTTGGCCTGGCCACGTTGCCAATGATTTGAATAACGACCATTCGGAGGTAGAAAAAGCTCAAGAGTCGCAGGAAGCTCAGAAAATAGCATAGACCGATTGGGGGAGATCGTTTAATCGGAATAGATCGATAATTGCCCGGGGTCCCAGCGGATTTTTGAGGGGTTGAGGGGGATAAAAAGGGCAGTAGAAAAGTCACCTGGGGTGGAGGAGACAGCCGCTCCTATCTCGACACATGCCCTCAAGGGAAAGGGGAGAGAGAGAGATAGAAAGAGAGAGAGATCCCGACGGATACCTTTTTGCTCAAGGGGCGAAATGAGCCATTTAAAGCCCGTTTAAGCGCTTCAAAGGGAGAGTGACACCTAGTTTTAGCCGTTATTCCCAAAAACTAAGACTTTCCGCCCCTTTAAACCCTTAAATCAGACCTAAATGGACTATGACACCATTTTTCAACCCTTTTCGTGCTAAAATGGGCTCGCCGGTTCCTTTAAAAGCTTTAGAACCGTTTTAAAGGGAGTGTGACAGCATTTTTTGGGCCTACTCCCAGTCGTTTCATGCCTTAGCCATATCCCTCTCCTCCTTCCCCCAGGGGCGTAGTACGCGCCGATCCAGATTACACAGCGAGCCGAGACTTGTCTAGCCGTTTTTTTGTCGGCAGTCAAGGGGGAGGGGTGATAATGGATGTCATTCGTTATGCAATAGCTCTCTTTCTCTCTCTCTCTCTCTCTCTCTCTCTCTCTCTCTCTCTCTCTTTGTCAAAAGACACCTGTTGGGGGTTGGCAGAATTCCGGGAAATGCAGCTACACAATGCTACAAAAATCATGACAGGGTGGGGGCCATTTAAAGGGACCTTAAAGGCAGAATCTCGACCAACTGGGTCTAGACAAACATTGGAAGCGTGCAAAAAGCCTTTAGAAACGTAAATCTCGGCTTAAAAGTACCTGTGGAAGCGAGAAACGTAAAGGTGTAAAAAGTACTGGAAGAGAGAGAGAGAGAGAGAGAGAGAGAGAGAGAGAGAGAAAGAGAAAACATCTGGTTCAAATCCCCCCTTCCCCCATCGTCTAGCCAGCTGGCAATCGTTTTTTAAAGCTCACCCCTCAGGGTATTTTTGCAGGGATATCGATCGAGCACTTCCTGGCCCCTTTAAGCCCGTAAACCCTACCGTATATGACTCGGCAGCGTGCCAGTATTATCGCCAATCGGAATCGGAGCCAGCGGCACGGGGTCGGCCAACGATTTGCTGTTGTTGTTCGCGTCGTCCGACTGCAAAACAAACATTAAAAGTGATCAGAAATGAAAGAAAATGCCGAAAATTAGTTGCAAATTTTTTTGTAAAAAACTAAAAAACTATTAATAATTTTAAAGTGAATTAAAAACGAACCTGTGCCTGCTGTGCGCCGGTGTCACATTCCCTCTTCAGATCCTCGAATATCTGATCCAAGTAGTCGATGGCCTCCTTGAAACGGGAGCGATGTTGGTGGTGCCGATGGCGGGCCTGGAAATATAGTTTTGGAACCAATTACGATATGAAATTCGAAGAGGCGGCTTGCCTTCAATGACCCTTTAAAATGGTGTAAAAGGTACCTGATCGATCACCTGGTCCAATTGTTTGCTGGCCGTCTCGAGGGCGCCACTAAAATTCGAGGTAATTTATGAAAAATAGCTCGATTTTTGAGCCAATTTAATCTGACAATGCTTGGGCTGCCGGTACCTTTAAAAATGTATTTTTCAATCAGCCTTGTTGTTTTGAATATTTTAGTAGCTTTAAAATACGAACAACGCCTGAATCGACCCATTAACTTCGGCTGGGTCTCGACAAGTACGTGACACAACAGACAACGCATGAATGAGAGAGATAGGGCGAGAGAAACAGCGCGGGAGCGAAAGTGAGAGAGGGAGAGAGACAGATAGAGAGCGAGAGAGAGCGAGAGAGATAGAGAGAATGAGTCTCAACTGTTCGAATTTACGACGTTCGAGAGAGGGCAGTCAGAAAGAGGTAGAATCAGAGAGACAGAGTAAGAGAGAGAGGGAGGGAGAGAGAGAGAGAGAGAGAGAGAGAGAGAGACGGAGAGAATGAGGGCTGGTTCGGCGAAGAAGTGTATTTTAGCGTGTAATATACTCGTCGATGCCCTGTCGACGCCCGGAGTCGATTCTGTCCCTTCCCGGCCCCTTTAATATACCGTGGCAAAGTGTGACACATTCTAGTGGCATAGAACATTGACTGGAGATTTGTGACGGTGATGCTGAGCCAGAGGAGGATTGCAATGGCACAGAATAGCTCTGTCCACATCAAGTGGGAAGAGAGAGTCAAGAAGGGCTAGCAGGTAGCCTCGCGGAATTCACCGCAACGAGGAGACGACGCTTCGATCCAAAATACGACCCGAGAAAGGCGTGAAAAGGTTGGTAGTGGAGGGGGATAGGGTCAGGTGGCAATACCCCGAGGGGGCACACTGCCTATACTAGCTCTCTCTCTCTCTCTCTCTCTCTCTCTCTCTCTCTCTCTCTCTCTCTCTCTCTCTTCTCTCTCTCTCTCTCTCTCTCTTCTCTCTCCTCTCTTTCTCACTCCCACTCACTCACTCACTCACTCACTCACCACCACTCTCTCTCTCTCTCTCTCTCTCTCTCTCTCTATCTCTTTCCCTCTCTATCTCGTTATCTCTCGATGTCTAGCCACCCGAGAATGTGTTTCCCATCCTATTTGTGAGGGGAGAATTGGCTTCACACAAACACACCCCGGGGGCAAGTATCGGCTGGGGGATTGGTCAAATGACAGCTGGGACGGGACGGCCTTTTAAAGGGAGTTTGACAGGATCGATTTCGGTACCTTGGAAGCGAGAGCGAGAGAGAACGATCCGGAAAAAGAGTCTGAAGCGCTCGAATGCGCAGGTGAGGAGTGAGAGACAGAGAGAGCGAAAGAGAGAGAGCCCGAGCGAGAGAACCAGTCTGAACAGCTCGAACTGGTGCAGCTAAATAGGCCGTAGATCGACAGTCCGAGATAGAGAGCATGGGCGGGAAAGGGCGCAAAAAACAGATGGCGAGAGATAGGGAGAGAGAGGCAGAGAGAGTGAGAGATAGGGAGAGAGAGACAGAGAGAGAGAGATAGGTAGAGAGAGGGAGGGAGAGAGAGAACGAGCGGGGGAGAGAGAAAGAGAGAGAGAGATAGCTGACGAAGGAGTGAGACTGTGAGAGCATTTTAAAGACACGCAGACTCATCAATTCTTCTGATTTTAAAGGCACCGGCAACCCAATGGAAATTTCTAAGCCACAAAAATTCTTAAAAACGCACCTAGCCTGGCTATCGACACTGTTGGCACTCTGTCGACCCGAGCCGTCGCCTCTGCAAAAAAAGAAAAATTAGGCGAGTTTATCAGTTTATATGTTTGGTAAATTAGCCAGTTCTTAGCTTTAAAAAGGTTTAAATTAGTAGTACTATTATTACCTATTAACCGGGATATGCGCTGCGTATCTCTCGTGTCGTGTGGGTTGATTGGCAGCAAGGGCAGCTGTGAAAGAGGAGGAAATGGATGACGAAGCCCCATCCTGGCTGCCTTGGCGGTGGAATTGGGCTGCAGCTGAGGTATTCGACGGCAGTGGGGCTGCCTCGGAGCGGCACTGAAAAGGAATTTAAATATCCAAAAAAAAAATTAAAATTTAAGACCGTTGCCTCGTTAAAATTTGCAGTTTTTAACCTGTATATTCCCGAATCGACGCGGCAAATAGTTCATGGCCATTTTGATGGAGTAATTGGGTGATAGAAAGATAATCGGAAGGAAAGAAGGGAAGAAAAAGACAGAAGAAGCCCCCGTTTTTTATTGGGGACAACCAGGGGGTGAGGAGAAGAGAGAGACTAGAGATTCGTCTCTCTCTCTCTCTCTCTCTCTCTCTCCCTAGTGAGAGCACGCGGATATATGATGATTGTCGGTGTGTTTGTCTGTGTGTACGTGCAAATACTATCTCCAGCCAGCCACCCAGGCCGGATCCGCGCATCCTCTCGAAATATGGGCAGCAAGAGAGCGAGAGAGAGAGAGCGAGAGAGCGAGCGAGAGAGCGAGAGAGTGAGAGACAGTGAAAGATACCTGGGCGGAATTTCCGCTAAAAACTCCCCAAACACCACACGCCTTTTAACGAATAACACAGTCATAAAATTTTGAGAAAAATTTGCTGCTTTTACCAGCAAATTTTTGTAGTTTGTATTTCTTAAGAAGTTATATGGCCCATTTGTTAGAGGGGAAAATTCTGCGCACGCGTAGCCTTCAAAAATGAAAACGGTTACAGTACCCTTAAAAATGAAAAAATTTCAAGAAAAGCCATGTTTTCGGAAGACAATGCGTTTTAAATGCCTCATTAATTTTTATGCGCATTTCTCCAGCTAGATTCTTTTACATTCAAGGTCCCATGACATTTAAATTTACCTCGACATCCGAATAGTTGGAAATCGACGCAATCGATGCGCGACGAGCAATTTGGTTGGCCTGATTTTGGAGGGCCGACTGAAAGTAATAATTTTTGTTGATTAATAACAGCACGGTAGATACCTCGAACGGTGTCTTGGGTACATCGAATGTTTGTGGGGCATTGAAGAGGATTGGGCGAGGGTTCGCGCGTCGGTCTTGTCTGCAGCAAGGGATCATACTCCCTTTAAAACCGTGGATACCTGAGAAAAGCCTGCGGGGTTGAGTTGAAATTGTTGATGTTGGGTGGCTGTTGGGTGTCGAGCATTGTGGTCGGGGTCTGGGGCTCACCACTGCTCATACGAGATCTGCACAAAAATAGAAATCGTCTCTCTCCCTCTCTCTCTCTCTCGATCTCTATCGATCTCTCTCTCTCTCGCTCGCTCTCTTTATCCCTCTCTCCAGCTCTCGCTCGCTCTCTCTATCCCTCTCTATCCCTCTCTCTCTCCCTCTCCCTCTCTCCCTCTCCCTCTCTCTCTCTGTCTCTCTCCTTCTCTCTCTCTCTCTCTCTCTCTCTGTCTCTCTCTCTCTTGCCATACCTCGATTTCTGTGGTGCAGTCGTGATCACCGGCACTCCACGGGACGATGGCTCGTGCACGCGTACTAAAATGCATTTTTTACTTTTACCGTAACCCTTACCTGCCGACGCGGGAATGAACTCCGAGGCGGTGGAATTGCACGGTGAGTCGCACTCCGATCTAAAAATTGGCTCAATCACGTAGGTTCTTTGAAATCATAAAGCTTTACCGTACGAAACCTTTCAAAAATTACCGATTTTCGTCGTGTTCGCGTATTGGCTCGGAGTGGAGACGCTCGAGACGGCCGCGTTTTCTAAAAAAATAGTGTATTTTCGTGATTGACGAAATTCGAAAGTTATATTTTTAGCTCAATTCCCAGATTCCTCTCAATTCCTTTTTACTGGCGATTTTCGTTTTTAAAGGCATGTTGAAGGCTTGCTCTCAGGACTATCCATAAGACTTTGCCTTCAGGGCCCCTTTAAAATATCTAGAAATTCGCTTTGAGGTCATAATTCGCATAAATATGTATTCAATGGACTTAAGGTCGCTAGAAAACCGGTTTTATAACTTTAAAAGTGTTTTAAAGGAACCTAGAAGGCTCAATGTTAAGAGAATCCAGGGTTCGTTTAAGGTCCCTTTAAACCCTGCGAAAAACCTGATAAATATCCTCTCGGCCAACCAGATCAGAGCTCGAATATAGCAGAGTAGCGCCAGATTCACTAGCATTTATTATGCTATGATTATCGCTAGAAAGGTGTAAACATCTCAAGGCGAACCGAACTTTTTTGTGTGTCATTTTTCCGGGGGCAAATCCCTAGGTAGCAGCAACTGTCGCCACTTCCTGCCAACGCCCCCATTTTGAGGGTCGAATTACGCCGATTCTTAAGGTTTCCTAAAGCTCAAAAATTTCAAAAAATGCTACAGATTTCGTAAGATCTACAGTAAGTAGGAAATTTTTGTAGTTTGTATTTAAGAAATACGCAATTTTACACGATTTTTAATTGAAAAAAAAGCAATTTTTTTTTAAAATGAACCCAAAGGAAAGGAATTAAAATGCACGAAGTTTGGATCTTTTGCATTATCGGAGGAGGGACTAACTTTTTTAGTGTCTTATTTTGAAAGTATAAATAGAAGAAGTGTTTCTAATTAATTTTGGCTACTCCTAATCGTAAAAATTTCAAAAATTATCATTAAAAAGCCAAAAAATCTCGTTTTTGCGACAAAAACTTCGAAAAATATAGATTTTTTGAAGTTTTTCGACTTGAAATATCGTTAAATATTACTAATATGTAATTTGTAAGAACACTACTAAAATCCTTAGTAACCTTGCATGACATACAAAAAGCCCCCCCGCTAATGCATAAGCACCCGATTTTGATCCGCTTTTCAATTCCGCCCAGATACTCACATCTCAAATACGGTATCCGGTTCCGGGGTCTCCGGGGCAACATTTTGCAACCGGAAACAATTCGAGAAAGGGGCTAGGCGGACCATTATTTATTGGAATAAGTAGAGAATTTCATAGCGATCCGGTGTTAAAATATATTAGATCTAACGCTGCTATAGTCAATAATCAATAGAATGGCTAGAGGGAAGGGGAGAAGGAGGCTGACCATCCCTCAAAAACACAAAAAAGAAGACAGGGCAGCAGGAGGAGGAGGAGGATCACGAAAGCTGCCTTTTTCTCCATGCCTGTCATTTTTTTCGGTTTCTGGAGGCTTATTACTCTTGTTCTCTGGGCCTCTCTCTGTCTCTCTCGCTCTCTCTCGATCGCTCTCACTCTCACTCTAGCTCTGTCTCGTTCTCTCTCTATCTCGCTCTCTTCGCTCTCAATTTTTTTCTGCTAGCCTGCCGCGAGCTTGAACATCCAGCTTCCCCAAGAAGCGTTGCTAGATTGCCAGCTTATTTTTCCGGGTTCTCTGGAAGGCCGGTTTCCCAAATAATCGCTGCTAGCCTGCCAGTGAAATTCTCGTAGACTCGCATTTCTCAATGGTCTCTGCCATCCTGCCCTAAAGTATCCTTGCTAGCTTGCCCCGAGCCGGAACACACGTTCCTAAATCGCCTCCGCTAGCTTGCCTGAACCGGATAATTTTCCTAAAGAATCTATGCTAGCCTGCCCGGCCAAAAAAAAATTTTCCTACAAAAGAACTGCCAACTCCGGCTCCTAAATGCTAATCCCTGTTAGCTCTCTCCCTCCCTCTCTCCCTCTCTATCTCTCTCTCGCTCTCTCTTTCTCTCACTCTCTCTCTCTTTCTCTCCCTCTTTCTCTCTCTCTCTCTGTCTCTCTCCCTCTCTTTCTCGCCCTCTCTCTCTCGCACCCCTCTCTTTCTTCTAAAGTGATAGTGACACCTAGGCTCTCGACCGTCTGCATCCAGTTCTGGTAATAGGACCTCTCCTCTTCATGTGCCCTCCGGCTACTCTCCCCTTCCCCCTTCCCGTCAACAGGTGTAATGTGTAGCGCTCTTGGCACCCGCCCAAATCGATGACGAACTATCTCACTTTGGAGGGCCCAAAACACTGGAGGACCTTATTACCTTATTAAAAAACGCAACACGACCGACCTATTGACGTACTCCTCGAGTATCGATCGATCCGGCAATACGAGCGGTTCTCGGCCGTCGTTGAGGAAGATCGATGGTCCGCCCTTCTAAAAGAATTGCTTAGCCAAGAAAACTTCGTAATTTTCATGGAAAGATGCTGATTAGTGTAGATCAAAAAAAATTGCAAATTTTCGCTAGAAAACGTAATTTTCATGCTTTTGAATTTTCTAAAATCAAAAGACCAACTGAAAAATTTTACTAGAAAAGAAAGATACTGTAAATCCGAATCCAGCGCGTTTTCTGTTGGATAATTACAGTTTTTCAATTTTGCTAACTAGCAGGAAATAATATTATTCATTAAATTTCGATTTTTAGGAGCAGGATAGATTTAAGGATTCATTAATTTTACGATTTTAAAGGTCTTAGCGTGGAAAAAACCGGGTTGAATTTGCGTCTAAAATCGCAAAAAATATTTGAATTTTGGATGGTTTTTGGATACCGTACCCGCTGGCAGTTTGCCAAAAGTCTAAAAGTTTACGAAAATGGCAAAACTGCTTTTTTCAGGTCAAAATCAGCAGTTTTTGGGGTTTACAAATGATTAAAAAGAGTGGAACATCAAAAGAAAGCCGAGATAAAAAGAAAAATGAACGGTTGTCGAAAATCGAGATTTTAAAGGTGCTTTGAAATATTACCGGGATTTGAAAAGTTTGGCGCAGCTTCGGGTGAAAAGGGGAAGGTAAAAGGCGCCTTAATGATAGATTCTTAATGTAAGGAATTTGGTAGATCAATTTAACAATTAAACCATAAAACGATAAACTATGTGTATGGGGGCTAGCGAGAGTGCATGGTGAAGCTCCTTCAACGGGGAAGAAGGAGCTAGAGAGAGGGGAAGATGACCCGCTCTCCAATCGTCTCGGGTTGTAAAGCTTTTGGCCCTTTCTCTCTCTCTCTCTCTCTCTCTCTCTCTCTCTCTCTCTCTCTGTCTCTATCACCCATCGGCCAGCAAAGTGTCGAGAGAGAGAGAGAGAGAGAGAGAGAGAGAGAGAGAGAGAGACAGCGAGAAAGCTAGTGTAGCCGGACCAAGTGCTGAGTGAGCTCGAACTCATTTGCATATCTCTCTTGCTCTCTATCTCTCTCTTTCTCTCGTCAATTCCCGGAAATGACCCAGGTGGTGCTCGATAGTGCCACCTTTAAACCCGTCCCACCATTGCTCAAGTTGAGGTCGGATCGAGCGAGAGAGAGAGAGAGAGCGAGAGAGAGAGAGTTAGAAAGAGAGAGATCGTACCTCACTACTCCAATCGACAGTCGAATCCTTCCCCCTCATCTCGTCCAAAATCGCAGCCGCCACGGACCCCTCACGCTCCGAGCGCAGGTCCTAAAACGTGGTGGCTAGTTTCTAAAAAATCTCAAGATTACCGTATCCGACTCGGCTCCATTGTTGGCTTGCATCGCTCGTAATTTCCGTTTTTCCGCCTCGAAACCATCGACAGAATGCTCGAGGGAGGTGTAGCAGGGCCTGGAAAACAGGAAGTAAACTACAATTTTGGTGTATAGACCGCAAACTACAAACTTTGGACTGCGTTCAACTATAGAAGTTTTCGCTAGGTTTTTGGTTGTCAAATTTTGCGGCTTGAAAATCAGCAAGCGAAGCTTCCGGCTACGAACTACAACCGCTTGCAATTTTTTGGGCAGTCTAATTTCCAGGCTACAAGCTATACATACTACACACATTGAATTGCGCTGCTTCTTCTCCTTGGTGGCCCTGCATCGATGCCTGACCCTCGACACGTTCACATCCTTGATCGGTGCACTCACGACAATCACCTGAAATCAGTACGGTCATAGAAAAATGCAAAAAGAAAGGATACGGTATAGCGTACCTTTGCCCCTCCGGACTGTTCATTTCTGCTGATCGTCTGCTGAGTGGCGGTGGTGCGGCTGGTCGGCGCTCGGCATTTGATCGAGCCGCTCTGTTGTTGACGGCTGAAAAAGGGGGATTTTAGACCATAAAAATACGGTTTATTGTTATCCCCCCCCCGTACCGTGTTAATCGGCGCATCGCCTTGAAGGCCGACACGATTTGGGCGGCCATTTTCAAGAAAAATATCGATTTTAAGTTGAATAAATTAGACTTTAGCATCGACTAGGAATCGATCCGTTCCATTAGGAACCCCGTGTTTTCCAGGGGGTGTCAATAGGAATGGAGGGTAGCGGATGGTAGGTGAGGGAATGGGGGCCGCCTGTTCCCCCTTTACCTGATGATGCTCGTTGTTGATCATCTTTTTGCGGTTTGGGCTCGCTAACACTTGGAAGAAGCCAGCCCCCTCTCAAGTTGTTTACGAGAAACTTAGGGGAAAAATAGGGCTTTGAAAGGTTTCAGGAAGTAAATTATCTGGATTTTTAGGCACTAAAAACTCTTAAAACTATTCCACAACCTTAATACGTAATCCGAGTTAACTACGTCTAAAATGTCATAAACACCGGTATTTCAAAGCCTTTTAAAGGTGCCAGGAAGTAAAAAGTATCTAGTAAGGTACCGCCACAAAAAAAAGACAAAACTATAACCTCAGCAAATGTATAATAATATCCACATGTAAGCGTTAGGAGTGGTAAACTTCATCTATTCATCGGTCAGTCGAGAGGACGGGAGCGGGGGGGCCTATATACCCCCACTCTCTGGGGTGAGCCAGGTGGCGCGCGTTTCGGGGGCGCCGGGCGAGTAAAATTCCCGGGGAGTTCCTACCGTTTTTATGGGCCATAATAACGTTATTAAAAAGCAGAGCTTTATTTTATCGCATTACGGATAACAATTCAGGTTTTCTAAACCATTTCGAAAGCCCAAGGCCAGAAAACCTTAGGAAAGCAGAATAGAGCCTAAAATACGAAACTTCTGAGCATTTTTGGCGCTAGGCCGACTGAGGGATATGTTTTAAAAACCGTATGATCACGTAAGAACTCCCGAGTACCAACCCGTAGCTCATCATCGTCTTCTGCACCCGTAGTTCGGCGGGTTTTCGCTTGAATTCACGGTCGACGGCGGCCAGGGCGAGCGGGACGGCCTTTCGGCGGGCTTTGAACGGGCGGGCGTGAGAGATGGATTGCCTGAAGGGATTTCGGACTAATAAAGATCTTAATAAAAATACATAGAGTGCTGCAAGGCATAAAAATTTGGATTCGGCGGGGTTGGACGACTCGACCGGGTCGGGGATCTTGATGTTTGTATGTGCAAATATTCAGTAAAATCGAGCGGAACTGGACTTTTATAGGGCGAGAGACCGCGAGAGAGAGAAAGCGAGAGAGTGAGACAGACAGAGAGAGAGAGAGAGAGAGAGAGAGAGCCAACGCTAGAAGCACCGTAATTTGATACGGTCTATCGAGGACCGAGAATCCGGCGTCCCAAGAAGTTTTTGGGTAGCCTGACAGTGGCAAGACTGTATTTTTCAAATTCCTCATTAAAACTGATTAAAATACATAAAAATTAAGGTACTAAATCCGAAAAAAACTTTAAAAACCAACCTTTCCGTGTACGGTAATTTCCGGACCACAGTAGCTTTCTGGAAGTGTTTATGCTGGAGTGTCGCGGTTACGGTAGTCGTCACAGGTTCCTAGAAATTTATTACATTTTTAAACGTAATTAAAAATTCAATAAAAAATCAAATTTTCGAAGAAATTGAAAAATTATTTTTAAATGAATTTTTTACAAAATTTTGTTTCACCATCTTACGGCTTTAAAAATAATTTTAATTAAATTTAAAATAAAAAACACAAAGTTAATGCCAGAATTTTTTGCAAAAAACGATACCTTTTTCGCCTTGCCTTCGGGTGATATTTCGCGCTCTTTCCTCGCTCGTTCTACATCTTTCGGGTCGATGGTGGAGAGTTTCTTCTTTCGCAGCACCTGAGGAGTACGATAGGCTACAGCCTACAGACTACAATGCCTACCATTCTCTTCTTTTCCGTTACTACCACTTTTTTCTTGTCGGGAGCTTCGAAATTTTTTGATAAAGCGGCTCTCTCGCGGCGTTTCCCCTCCCACACGGATACTGTAGTATGGGCTTGGTCTTCTCTGAAAAAAGAATTGTCGTACCCGTAGCGTACTGTAGTCGCAATGTAAGATAGTGTACTGTCGCGTACTATAATGTACTGCAGCGTACGGTGGCGTACCGGAGTGTACTGTTATAATTCCGTCCGGATACGTTAGGTACTGTAAAATATTGTAAAGTAGTGTAGCGTACTGTAGAGTACTATAACGTACTGTAGCGTGCTGTGGCGTACGGTAGTGTACTGTTGTCATTCCCCGCGATGATCCGTTGGATACTGTAGCTTTTTGTAACGTATTTTAGCGGACTGAAGCGTATTTTTACGTACTGCAACGTACTGTAGTGTATGATAGTTGAACCACTACGGTGTTATTTACACGTGTCTTTAAATTTCCCTTTAAAAGTACTGTAATACAGTACATACCTTCTGAAACTCTTGTTCTTGCTGATCAGCTCGACCCCATCTTTCACCCAGACGCCCGGCACTGGGGGACGCTTGATTTTCTGAAAACAAGAACGATCCACGGTAACCGTTTTCATGTCGTAATCGATTACTAAGAGATTCCAATGGAATAAAACCCTACTTTGGGCACGAAATGCGTAACCGCCGAGTACTGTGACTCATCATCGATGACGCTCGCGTCGGAATACGCCTAAAATTTACATAAAAATCTATGGATTTGATAAAAAACGTGCGCTGGTTAGAAAATCGTGCTTATTAAAGGGATGTTGAAGTCATGAATCCATGGGATCTGGTTATATTTTGCAATTCAAAGCTGATTTAAGGGGTTTAGTAAGCGCCAAAAATCGACGTTTTATCGACTATCGACAGCTACGCGACACTTCAAAATACAGGGTCGTGATTTGGTGTGGTTCGTAAGGATTCTTATCAGTTTTTGACTTCAACGTCCCTCTAAAGTCATCATAAAACGTAAAAATCGACGCTTTTTTGGGCTAGATGTCAATAACTACGCGACACTCCAAAAGACGGAGTCGTAATTCGGTGTAACCCGTAGCTTTCCAAATCCAGCATCGATTTTTGTGCTTTCTAGAGCCGTTAAAAAGACGTTAAAGTCACGAATACATATGATTTCGTTAGTATTTCACTTCAACGTCCCTTTAAAACTTTAAAAAGCAAAAAATCCGGAAAAAATGGTTAGCAAAAATGACAAACTTCTTCCAATTCGAAGGATGAGTCCCACGGGATGCACTGAAAGCCCAAGAAAATTAATCACAAAAATGTTTCTATATTATTCATTCGCTACAGTAGCATAATAGAAAAAGTACCGTACGCAGGCTACAGTATGCTTCCAAAGAATATAGAAAAAATTTTAGAAGTAAATTAGCTACGAAAGAAAATCGAAAAATGCAAAGACGAATTTTCCGGGCGGAACCTACCGTCGGGGAGGCCAACTTTTCGGCGCGAATGTTCTAAAAAAAATGCATAAGGAAATTGTTTGATTTAATTTAGATACCTTTAACAGCTTCTTTTCTTTGTCCTCCACATCGAGTGACATCTTTTTCGGGGTAGTTGGGGTAGGCGGGGCCACTGGAATTCATGTTTTTTAGAGGGAAGCCAAACCTAAGCCCAAGCCTAAACCCAAGCCAAGCCTCAATGCGTATGCTTTAAAGAAACTCGAAAGCGCTAGAATCGACCCCCGCTTTCAACTAGGTCTCGACAACCACATCCTCTGCAAATCTGCCAAATCGTAGTGGTCTAGATCTAGTCGGGGGAAGAGGTCGAATTTTACGCTTCCTGGTCCCTTTACAATTGGTAAATTTTAAAAGATATTCTTAAAGTGGTTCTCTGAGTAAAATTGATCACGTCCATTTTTTTTAAGACGCCGAATTACCTGTGATAATCGGTTCCGGAGGTGGTGTGTGAAAAGCCGGCTCGCCATAGGATGCTTTTCCCGATTTTTCCGCTGGCAGGCTTTTGGTCTGGAAAAATTAATTAGAACTGAAAAAAATAAAAAATTACGTAATTTTGTAGCATTTTATTCATTTACCAGGCTACCGTACCCTTAAATAAAACCTTTGGAAAAATTTTAAGCGAGGCTATGGATCCACTAGAGGTTTTATACCTAAGAATTTTCCGGTTCTAGTGCATCAGCGGGGGGTCCAATGGGCCTACTAGGCAATGTAACCTGTTGTACCCCCGTTAATGAACCAGTCCCTCCTCCTCCTTTAAAGTACCCCATATACCTCTCCAAATCTCCGAATATTCTGTAGTCTCCATAGGGGCATCGGCTTCTCCTTATTCTTCTCCTTTTCCCCCGATACCACAGGATTCAACAGATCCCTTGGATATTTGACCATCTTCCTTCCTTTCTCCATCTTCTCTATCTTCTCTGCCCCCTCCACTCTCTCCTGTACATATTGTGAGATGTCAAGAGGTGCTGGGCGTACAATCCATGGTGTTGGTTGTTCGGGAATGGGTTTTGGGGGTGGGCAAGGAGGGTTCTTTCGAACTCGATGGAGACTGTCTGAATATTTGACGAGCACTTTGCGCTCGGTGACGATGGCTGGTGGATTTTCGGGGAGTAGGGGTTTCGCGGCGAGCAGTTCGAGACGTTCACGCTGGGCTCGGAGCTCTTCTTCGAGACGGTGGAGACGTTCGAGCTGTTCGGCTTCGGTTGGAGGGCGAGGCTTTGCTACTTCGGGGTTTGGTTGAGCGATTTTGGCCGTCATGTTCGGCTTGTTCGGGTTGAACGGCTTGTCGATTTGGTGCGCCTGAGCGGCACTTTGACCGTGTGGTTGCGCAGTACCGTTTTTCCGCGTCAGGTTGGAGCTGTTCGAGTCGACATGTGGCGTCGCGCCTTGTATAAGTTGAGCAGCACCACCTTTTGGCGTCAAGTTCGAGCTGTTCGGGCTGACGGATTTTTCTGCCTGCAGCGTCGGAGCATCTACTGCCTGATGCGGTGGGGTAGGCTTCCCGAGAGGCGTCTTCAAGGAGTTTAACCTCCCGATGTCGAGGGGCTGCTCAGCCGGCTCGACATGGTGCGATCGTCCTCCTAAGTCATCCAAAATGTTCGTCCTCCCCCTCGACAGCCTTCTCGCGCTCGGTCCAACTGTTTCGACACGATTTTCCGGAGTTCCAGCAGGCATCGGTCCTATAGCCAAGTTTCGATCTGCCGGATTTCCGGTCCTAGAAAACGGACGTACCACGCCTAGGGGACGATTTTGAGCCTCATTTTTCTCCTCTTTCTTATTTTCTAGATTCCAGCCATAATGCGGCAATATTGGAGACGTGACCCTCTTCAACTCGGGTACGGTAAACCTGCCATTTTCACGTTTCTCCACTTTCACCAGGGTTTTTGGGGAGCCAGACTTTGGCTCCACAACAGGTTTCTGAAGGGCCTGACGTGGCGCAGACGTTGCAGTTGTAGATTCAACTCTCTTGGTCTGTAATTTCGAGTCCAACTCGGCGACCACCGTCGGTTTCTGAAGAGCAAACCCATGCTTCACCCTGTCATCAGCATTGCAGTGTACTGGCGGTTGTGGCTTTTCTTCCTTCGCGCCTCGGGGGGTTTTTCGGAGCATCCGGTTGAAGAAGGAGGAGATTTTAGAAGGTTTTTTCTCCTTTTCGATGGGTTTTTCAGGTTGTGTGGGTAAATTCAGTACGGTGGGTTCCTCTTTATGCTCTTCCAACTGCAGGTTCCTTCCGGAGGCCCGGAATTCGAGAGTGGACTTGATCCGCGAGATCAAGGTACCTTGGCGCCACGGTTTTTTTGGAGCGGCGGTGGTGGTGGTGGTTTTTTCAGGGTATTTTTTGGAGGTTGATTCCGAGGTGCTGGCTGCTGTTTTTTGTAGTTTATAGGTGTCATTTGGATGGTGCGTAGCCAAGGTACTTGGATACCTTTGAGGTTCCACCGGATCGGCATGGTGCGTACAGAATGGCTTCGGGTATCTGTGAGGTTCCACCACTTCCGCTTGGTGCTTACTTAATGGCTTCTGATACCTTTGGGTCGGCCTTAACTTGTAGGTGTCATTTGGATGGTGCGTAGCTGAGGTATTCGGATACCTTTGAGGTTCTACCGTATCCGCATGGTGCGTACTTAACGGCTTCGGATATCTTTGCCCTTCCACCACCTCACAACTCAATTTATACGTAGCATTCGGATGGTGCGTCTGGTACCGTGCCCGATTCACCGCCGGATCCCCCGATTTCGGCCCGAAAAACCGGACGACCGGAGCCGGAGCTGTCCACGGTGCATCGCCGTCAGAATCCGAGTTGTTGTCAGAATCTGTCTCGTAAATAGGTGTCGTTCGTTCTCCAGCCCCGAGCAGTCGGGAGATGACACCGTGGCGGAGGACGAGACGGACACGCCCTGGCTCGACCACCGACACACCCTGGCGAAGGGCTGGTGGCCCAGAAGGGCCTGGAGGAGAGGCCACTACGGTCGGAGAGAGGGCTGGAATTGGGGGTATCAAGTGGAAATTATAATATATAATATAATATAACAAATTGACGTTAAAAGTGAAGACAAAAATACAAGATACAAAAATTCTGAACCAATTTTTGGAGCTGATTCCGAATTTGGTATCCATGGCTCCATAGGTGATATGTTCTTTAAGGTATAGCGGTCTTAAAAGTGACGGGAAAAATACAAACTGCAAACATTCTAGAGCATTTTCGGCGCTGTATCGAAATCTGCTATTAATGCCTCCAAGACCGCTACTGTTTTTGAGAGCTAGTAAATTTTTCAAAGGTCACGGAGTATAGAAAATTACGGCAAGCTAGCAGCGACTCTTAAAAGCGAGAAAATCGATCGGCGCACTGGGGCAAGCTAGCAAAGATCGCCATTTGCCATTTCAGGTCACTTTAGAGGGATTGACAAGGACTTTTAGGACCTGCAAGTGGCCCAGGTTCCAAGGGCAAGCCAGCAGCAATCCTTAGAGATTTTTAGGAAGTCTAAATTTGATAGATAAACTTCAAAAACCAATGATTCAAGCTCTCGATTTCCAGTAAGTAAAGAAAACAGCTCTGCATAGAGGGCAAGAGAGAGAGAGAGAGAGAGAGAGAGAGAGAGAGAGAGAGAGAGATCATGGAGAGAAAAGGGCTTTACACATCCCCCCATCCACCCAATGAGAAGGAGTGGGACCCAGTAGGACCCATGATCCATTCTCTCTCTCTCTCTCTCTCTCTCTCTCTCTCTCTTCCTTTTTGCTGATTTTTTCGAGAGCAGGTGCTGATCTGGGGGGATCGTTGGCCCCTCGGGGGTGGCAGGTAAAAGTATTGTCGAAAACAAAGGGCCACCAACGGGGTTTAGGTAGATAGATGCTAGTGAAATATAGCGAGAAATATATTTGCATACCATACTAAAATCGGGTAAAAAACAATTGAATATAATTTCAAATTTAAAAACGCCAAGAAATCCAAATATCCGGGATTTTTTCAGTTTTTTCGACGCCATTTTTTCGTTTCACTAGATTTTTTTATCAAAATTTGAGGGCAGCTAGGTATTGAGCATCGGAATATGTGCTAAAAATTTTAGATAAATCGGACTACAGACTACAAAGTTACGCGAAAATTTGCAATGCAAATCGTCATGATTTACCCAAAAATTCAACCAGGCAAGCTAGCAGAGAGCATTGACGGGATGGACAAATCAAATAAGCGAGCGATGAGGCTATATCAAGCAAATTCGGACGTGAAAAGTGTGTAAGGACGGATTGGTGTGGAGTGTATGTGTTGGTTGGAGGGATATCACACTACGTGAAAAACGAGTGGAAATGGCGGGGTCTCGGAGGGCATTTATGTCTGTCTGTCTCGCTCTCTCTCTCTCTCTCTCACTCTCTCTCTCGCTTTCTCTCTCTCACTCTCTCAATGTCTCTCTCCCTTTAGTCAGCTGTTTCCGCCGGGATTTTCGACTTTTCACTTGTCGCCTGATTCCGCTTTTCCAAGGCATGGCCCCAGGGCATTTGACGCCTCAAAACTCTTGGCCCATCACATAGGAAAATACAGAAAAAATACAAAAAATATCGGGAAAATGCGAGTTATTTTTGGGGGTACGGCATCCTGATATTAAAAACATATACAAATCAATGTACTAGGTCATAAAAGATAGATTTCGGTATTTTTTGATTTAAATGATTAAAATATGCTTAAAAGCGTAATCGATTACCCGTTAAATATAAAACGGTTAGGAATGACTAGCCAGTAACCAATTATTTCAATAAATAACGTATTAAAAATCAATACCTTACGTAACTGATTAACCGCTATTTAATTCAATTCGACTATTTAATGAACAATCGTTTACGTATACAATTTCCAACCGATTACGCTATGTATAACCCAACAAATTACGCTACTTAACCCCTGCCATTACACCATTTAATAACTAATCGATTACGTTCGGTAAATACCCACCATTTCGGTTTCCGCGGTGCCATCGTGGGGCGGTGGACGAGCGGGTAGGGCTGAAAAAAAGCGAGATTTCAGGGCATACTAGCAGAGATCATTTTCAGAGCTAAAAAATTAACGCCGGACTCCAGACTACAAAAATCGATAGCCGAAGTCTTGGAGTACGCGGGACAACATCTGGACGACCCGCTGAAGGAGGGGCGGATGGGGTGGTAATTGGGTGGAAAAATGGGGGGTTGGCGGCTATAGAAATACCCAAAATTACGGTAGTTAAAGTAACGCAGTTAGGTATAGTCTATTAAGGCATGAAAAACGCATCGATTACGCTTTTTATTTTTGGGAGGATTACTGTAATTTCGGCATTCTAAATTCATTTTTACCCAATCGATTACGCCATTTAATGTTGTTTTATATCTATAGAAATCGAGCGGCGGAAGCAGATTACGCCATCAAAATCTAGCCGATTACGCCATGTATAAAAATACGGATTGAAATCATTCTAATCAATTACGCCATGTAATAGCTATTCGATTATGCTATTTAATAAATTTAATAGCGTTACTATCAATCTATTACGTTATATAATTATTATCTACAGTACTCGCGGTAAAATACAGTGGAAAAATGTTGTATATAGTATCAAAATGGAATGTGGCGAAAGGCGGGGCAGACTAGGGCTCCGCGAGGGGGGAAGGGACCAAGTTTATGGCAGCATTTGATGACGGAGAAGCGGAAGGGGGGAGGGAAAGGGAATACAGCTGCGATTTATTGTCCACAACGGCTAGTGTGGAAAGGGAGGGAAGGGGTACGGTAGATGGGGCGCGTTTTTGGAAAACATCCTGTTTTTTCAAGGGATTGCAAAGCCAAAAAAAAAGAGCGGGCTGGCAGGCTAGCAGAGGTGTTTTAGGAATTTTGAGAGGCTAGCCGTCAATTTTGGAATGTTCGAGACTAGCAAAGACCACCTAGGAATCCCAGGCAGGCTAGCAGAGACCATTTAGGAATTGAGCACGCTAACCCAGATTGTTTAGGAATTTCGGATGCTAGCACTGATGCTTTAGGAATTCAAGGTAGGCTAGCTGAGATTATTTCGGAATTTCCACGGACTAGCGGAGATTGTTTAAGGAAAAGCAGGCAGACTAGCAGAGGCCCTTTAAGACGGTGGCACGCTAGCAAAGGTTCTCCAGAAATTTAGAAAGGACTTGCGGCTTTGCTTTGGGAATCGGGCAAGCTGGCAGAGACCCTTTCGGAACAAGGGCAAGCCAGCAGAGACTCTTTCAGAGTTCCCAAGTTCTCTCTGCTAGCTTGTCTAGGCAACCTCTCCGTTACTCCTCAATAATCGCTGCTAGCTTGCCAAGAATTACGAATGAAACTCTAAAACCCACATTCCTCCCTTCCCTTCTTCTTTGATCGTCTCCGCTGTCGACTAATCGATCGATCGGTCCCTCTTTCCCCTTCAGATTCTGATGTCTTGTCGGCTTCTCGTTGTCGCGAGGCCCGACGGGCCGCTAAAACAGTCGTTTTCCCCAAGGATCTCTGCTAGCTACCTCGAGCCTTACTGCTGCTTCTCTTCCTCGTCCTTTCATCTCTTTCATTCCCTTCTTGTATTGGGGATGTTGTGGGGGCCATTGATATTGTGGCTCTGGAATTTCGGTTAGGCTTAAGTTTCGCTTACAATTAGGCTTAGGATTAGCTTCGCTTGGCTTGACTTGACTCGGCTTGCGCCTGGCTTGGCTTGACTTAGATTGGCTTGGTCTTAGGCCTAGGCTTGGCTCGGCTTGAGCTTCGGCTTAGGTTTAGGTTTAGCTTAGGCTTAGCTTGAGCTTGTGAGGCATAGACTTTGACTTACTTTTCCGTAGAGGACACTCTTCTCAAAGCTTCTCGACTTGATGGCGAGAGAGATCTGAAAACGAGTTTTTACAGCGTTTCCCAAATTCCGCAAGGCGTCATTGGGTGTACCTCGTAGCGTATTGCCGCGTAGTTAGCAGACTGTCCATCGGATCGAGCGACGAGCGGATGGGGGAGAAACTTCTGAATTTTTAGCTTTGTTCAGCGCTCTATTGATCCGTTTTTCCCATCCGATTACGACATGCAATCCTTGCTTTCGCGGTCCATTTAAAAGCCCATAAACTCCTTACCGTGACATTTGCGACGATGTTTTCGACCTGCTGGTGTCGATGGTGGACCGGTATGGGGTGGATGCAGACGAGAAGAGAGCGCCCGTACGTGTCGAAGTCGGCGTTGAGTATCTGGACACAAAAAAGGGTCATATGGCTAATCTTGAATTTCCTCAAATTTAAAAATTTAAGTTTATTTTGCGATTTCTGCAATACTACCGTAATCGGAAAATCTGAATTTCATAGCGTAAACTGTTCGAAATGGACGCATCATGTCCCTTAAAAAGTGCCAAAATTTTTTCCAGAAAAACGCACCTCGAAAATCGCGACCCGACACTGCTCTCAACGGATGATTGTCGCGACGATGTACGGTACTAAAAAATAAAATATATTTCATAGGTGAAGAAACTAACAAAAGTGCTACCGGATGCCAAAAAAATTTAAAATTTTTTTGTGAATTTTGGGGTGTTTCTACGGAGTGTTGTGTAGTGCTAACGGCTGGGAGAGTGAGCGGGAAATTTGCGTAATTATTAATTTTTAGAGTAAAATCATTTTTTTTACATTTTTTAAACAATATACTAATTAAATTTTGAATAGTAAATTTAATTTAAAAAGTGATAGTATGAAATTTCCCGCCCACTCTATTTTTCTAAAGGGCTTTTCAAGCTTACCGGAACTCGGGGTTTTGGGTGGAAAATGAATTTCTGAAAAAAAAATGCGTGAGGATTACGGTAGTTTTTGGGGTACGGTATTTTTTGTATTAGGCATTCCGAGAAAGGCGTGAAGTTTCGAGTCAAAAAGAGGTTTTTCATGCTGATTTGCAATACCGGCGGTTCGCTGAAAATCTTCTCCACGTGGTCGTCCGTTTTTATGCGGCCCGTCTACAGTAGGAACATTTTAAATTTACTTTGAAATTCGAATAAACTTAATTTGAAACACTAAATAAATCTTTTTACAGATAAAATGAATCTCCATTCGATTACGCCATTTTTTTCTGCTGAAAACCTTAGAATCAGTGACTTTTCAAAATCCCTAATTCAAATTTTTGAAATTTCTGGGTATCCAATTACGCCATGTAATTATGGATTATCACGTTCTTTTCGGCTTAAATGGAATTTTTTAAACGTAGTGCATTAACGAGCTAAATTTTGGCTATAAAACGCTCCGCCACGTTAGATATAATTACGATGGATTATTGTAAAATTCAGCTTCATTTTACGGCCTTCTAAATACGTAAGTATCCTAACGATTGCGAGTTTTGGTGCGCCGCGACACGCAACGCGCGGTTCCCTAAGATGGCCGTAATCGCTTACGCAATCAAATGGCTGGGGCGCGTTGCGTGCCGCGGCGGGGAAAACGTCATAAAGAAATTATAGTTTAAAAAATGGAAACTATGGATTTCCTTGGGAATTGACATTTTCTAGCTTTTTCGCTCGGCGACACGCAACGCACTCCGTGAAACGGTTTTCATAGATTCCGCAACGGAAATCCTGGTTCGCGTTGCGTGTCGCGGGGCGGTAGAATTTTCTAGTAAATTCGTGGCCAAAAATCGTTAATAATGCCATCCCGGTCCCTTTAAAGCACTGACCGGTCTGACGGTAGCCACCGATGATCGTAGATCCCTCAATTCCCTTGACAATCCCTCGTCACCGCTTGCCTACAGTACTTTGTGGTATACAGCAGGATACGGTTCTCTTACTTGTGATAGACTGCCTCGACGAGAAGCTCTAGAAGCAGAGTATGAGGCTGAGGCCTCATCACCAACTGTCGCTCGAAGACGCGCCGATTCGGCCAGTCGGGTCCGCCAGGGGCGTTCTTTTCTGAAGATTTGGATTTATGAGCATCTTAACATCGGCGGAATTTTTTGGGAACGCGTCGCGTGTTGCGTCGCGCACTTGGTTACGTACTACGTCGCGTCTTGCATAGTCTAGCGCGCTGCGGGTGCAATTGTATATTGCCCTGTGTGCGGTGTTGCTTCAACGTTGCGTACTACGCTACATACCGCGTTAGTTGTCGCGTTCCGTACCGCGCTATGTGTCACGTTACGTAATCCCTGGCGTCTAACGTTGCGTACTGCGTTGCGCCGCGCGTTGAGTTCCGTTTGCGTTTTGTACTGCGGCGCGTGCTGTGCTGCGTTCCGGGTTGCGTTGCGAGCTGATTTGCGCGTAGCTTTGCGTACCGTGTATCTGTTAGACCGCGCGCCTGTTTTCTCATGCTATTTTTTTCAAGAATCAAAAATTAAGAAGAAACTGACGATGTGGAGTATGTAGATGAGGGATAGTTGATGCTCGATGGGCCCAACGATCTTTCGGCCGAATATCGGGATGATGGCGGCTCGACTGAGCATCGACTCGGCGTTATTGAAGGCCGATAAGAGGCTGAAAAATGATTTACACTTTTTAGGGCATTTTTAAGGTATATCCCTTGGGTTTACAGTCTAATTCTAATCGATTACGACATCAAATGACCCACCAGAAGCCCTGGGAGATGGCGAGACATAAGAGGAAACGGACGGCAGGCGAGGGGATGTTTCTAAAAATGTTTTAAAATTATTTGAAGCGTTTTAAAAAGTTAAAAATGTCCAAAAAACCTGAAATTTTAGGGATTAGACGTTAAGTTGATAATTTAAAATTTTTATTCATAAGTTTAACTCTAAAAAAACCTACCCGTCAATTTCCTGGGTTCGAAATGCCGTGAGTAATATCCAGATTTCAGTGAGGTCGTCGAGGCTAAATATAGCTTTTAATTTGCATTAAAAATAAATTAAATTAAATTAAATTAAATTCAAATTTAAATCCCACCTGGCGTTGTTGCAGCGGGCGTTCGATTCGTGTACTTTTCGAGCAGTTCGCGCGCTTCTTCCCGGTATTTTTCTTGGGCTAAAAAATGTAAAAACTTTTGCTGTATTACAGCGACTACGGCAGGGTTACGGTATGTCGGCAGAGGTTTAAAAACGCATAAAAATGCGTAAAAATTGCTTCAAAAAGCCTCTAAAAATTACCTTTATAAAATACAGCTTTTCCATTATATAACAAATAGCAAATCACTTTTTTTCTTTAAAATTTGAAAAAAATTTGAATTTTTTAAATTTTAGCCTGTATTTGGGGTACTTTACCACATTTTTTACCGTAATTACCTGAAGAATCGAAGCGGGAGGCGCGCTGCGGGACTGACGGGCCGAGGCTGAAAAACGGTGGTTTTTGGGAGTATTTCATGTGGTAATGCGTCTAAATTACCGTGCCGCACGCAACGCGCTCGCGACGCTTCTCCGCCGCGAAGCGGCGATGGGACAATCTATTACGCCATGTAAAGTCAGAATTCCATCGCGTAATTTGGTTTTGGTGACTTTCCGGCACTCAAGTGAAGCGCATTGCGTGTCGCGTCGCGGCAAAACATATGCCTTGACGGTCCCTTTTGACCGGTATTTCATGTCGTAATGTACAAAAAATAGCATCGTTCAAAAAACGAACCTAACAAGATCGTGAGCCATCCGAACGGCACTGCTGCTGCCATATTTTGGGGTACTCGAGGCTCGAGACGAATAGGATGGAGTGGTGGAGGAAAGCGAAGGCCGCGACTGAAATATACCATGTAATTTAAACGTCCTAACGGAAATTAAATGTTAAAATGGATTCAATTAAATAATTAAGCCTATTAACTAAATAAATCATTTCATTAAGTTGGAACAATATTTATACCTCAAACGAGTCGCGAACCCGAGCGCTGTGTGATCGATAGCCGGTGGTGGCCGGCTTGTTCCATCGCACCGAGTTCCAGCTGAAAATGTGAGGGTGGATTAGGCCTAGGCTTTGCTTAGCCGTGGATTGGGCTTGGCTTAGACTTGGCTTAGGCTTAGCTTGGGTTTGGATCTTGGCTTCGACTTTGGCTTAAGCTTAGACTTAGGTCAGACTTTGGCGTTGGCTTGGGTTTAGACAGGCTTAGACCTAAGCTTCGGCTTAGGCTTGACTTAGATTCAGGTTTGGGCATAAGTTTCGGCTTGGGCTTGGACTTAGCTTTAATATCCGAATTACCTTGTCCCAATCGTGCTCGGCTCTATACTGCTTGACAATGAGCTTCGTCGGGTCGATGGACTTGTTCGGCCTAGATTTTGAGTTGATAAGGTGCCGATTTTTCCGCAACAGTCTTACCATTCGTTGATGCCCATCTTGATCTGTAGTGTCCAGACATGTAATGACAGTCGATACCCCAGAGATGGGTGGAATATCGCAGGAATAGTCACCCGTGGAAAAGGTCTGAAAATTGGTTGATTGTGGGCAGATAGCAGTGGCTATTTGAGGTAGGAAGGCCAGTAGAAAAGGTTTGAGGTAAGCTAGCAGAAACTATTGCGGAAAGTTTGCAGAGATTTTTGAGGAAATTAAGGGTCCAATAGCAAGCTAGCAGAGATTATTTGAGGTAGGCAAGCCAGCAGAAACCCTTTGAGGCAAGCTAGCAGAGAGCATTCACGAAAACCTGGTTGCTGTCGAGGCAAGATAGCAGAGAAAATTTAGTTACGAAAAGCAGACTAGCATGGATAAATGGGGAAGATAAAGCTAACCAAGGATCGAAGGCAGGCTAGCCGAGGTTTTTGTGGATTGCTGGCAGGCTGGCAAAGGCATTTCGAGAACGAGAAGCCCGCTAGCAAAGATATTTAAGGGAAGAATGCGCCTGACGGCCCAAAGCAAGCTAGAGGGCATGCTAGCAGAGACCCTTGAGGAAGTCCCCAAAAAACATGCTCAACACTAGCGGAGTGCCGTAAGGTGTGAATGGCTAGTGGGCCCCCGGGAAAAACGGGGTAGCTTTAGGGGGGTGGTCGTACAACCTGGCGAGAGAGTGAAGAGAGAGAGAGAGAGCGAGAGAGAGAGTGTGTGAGAGAAACGCTAGGTTCTGCGGGAAAAAGCAGGGATGGGAATTACGAGACGAGACACACGGGCAATACTCCCGGACAGTTGGTTCGTTGAGGGAAGGGGGGATACAGAAAAAGAGGCTGGGAGATCGACTTGCTCTGGACACTGAAGAGGACACCATTTACACATACAAACATTGACCCTGTACTAGACAATCAGCAGAGAGAATTTAGAAAAAGTATCTTGGGCAAGCGAGCATAGAAAATTGGGGAAAATTGGCTTGGCAGCCTAGCAGAGGGTATAAAGGAAAATTTGCCGGGGCGGGCTAGCAGAGAGCATTTAGTAAAACTATTTCCTGGCAACGAGCTGCGAACCAAGATCGGCACGGGCCAACTAGCAGAGACTATTTAGGAAGATTGGCTAGGGCGGGCTAGCAGAGAGCATTGAGCAAAATCGTCCCGGCTGGATAGCAAGGGTTATTGAGGAATTTCAGAGCGGGCGAGCCAGCAGAGATCATTGAGGAAATGGCGAGATGAGGCGAGCTACCCGTGAGTCTTTCGCAAAGTGGTTCCCTGGGATGCTGGCAGGGATTATTGAGGAATCACGTGATGAACGGGCTAGCAGCGATTTTGAGGAATTGCGAAGCGGGCAAGCTAGCGGATATTTTTTAGGAATCGACGAGGTGAACGGGCTAGCATAGATCATTGCGGATCGGATCCGCTGATGAGGGCCAACAGAGGTTATTTAGGAACTTCGCAGAGCCGCAGATTAGCAGAGATTTTTCAGGAATTAGAAGGGCAGGCTAGCCGAGAGCGTTGAAGAATAGAGGAATTTTCACGGGAATGTTTGAAGCGATTTTTGGAGAAACCTACGGTGAGCCTATGGGAAAGCTAGCAGAATTTTTTGTGGAAGCAGCTTTGCTAATCCAGCTAGGGAGGCAAACACAGGTTCTTGAGGAAAGCTGTTTCACGGCGTGCTAGCAGAGATTCTTGAGGAATTCTTTGTAACAAATAAAGGAAAACTTACGATAGAACCCCTGCGGGCTAGCAGAGATTTTTGAGGACTAAATAACCGAAAGTCGCTGGAGAAAACGATAAAAATGTTTGCAGAAAATGGGTGGTGAGGCGGGATGGGGTGGAAGGCTGGAGGGGGGAAAGGGAGGACTTGTGCCCTTCAGGCGATCCATCAACCACCACATGCTGACAGACAACTATTTCTATCCAACCCACGGCACTATTTAGCCAAGCTAATGCCACGCCCTGATAGGGATTATCATCAAAAATGGCTTGACACTTTTCCTTTAATTCCCCAAAAGTCTCTACAAGCATCATAATTTGGAAAAAATGCAAAAATTCCTAGCGCCTCTCATTTCCTTAAAAATCACTGCTAGCACATAAAAAATTAAAAAATTTGAGAATTTTGGTCTGTCGCATTCCCTTTAATTCCACAAAAAAAACTAGGAATGTTGCCCATTTCCTCAAGGATCTCTGCTAGCTATCCTGAATTTTCTAAATATGCTTCAAAAATTCATGGTAATCCCCTTACAATTCCACAAAAACCTCTGCTAGCTTGCCAATCACAAAAATCAATAATTCCACAAAGAATTCTGCTAGCTAGCCTGAATGATGGGAATTTTCGATAATTCTGAGTGGTCGCCTCCAATTCCTCAAGAAATTCTGCTCGCTAGCCGAGTATCCTAAAAATCAATAATTCCACAATGATCTCTGCTAGTTGCCCCCAGTTTTGGCCTGTCGCGTTTCCTTTAATTTCTCAAAAACCACTGCATCTCACCTATTTTCTCAAAGATCTCGGCTAGCTACCCAAAACTGCTACAGAGTAGCTAAGTAGCTACTGAGAGTCTTTGGAAAAAGATGGGCCACACCCCTTTACCGTTTTGTTTTCATTTTTCTGGTATCCGCAATTTCGGGCTTAACGCTGAGGGATTTTAAAGGTACTGAGAAGCCAGGTTTGAGAAGCGATAGAAAGACAGCTATAGAGAGAGAGAGAGCAAGAGAGAGAGAGAGAGAGAGAGAGAGAGAGAGAGAGAGAGAAACAGGGTAACGACCTGAGTGTCATCCCGCCGAGATTGGGTCCACATGTGGGAGATGCTAGGGGGGTTTGGGTGGGTCTTCACAACCGAGGGTCCAACTTTTAGCAGTGGTTATTGGGGAATTGGCGAGGCCAGTGAGAGAGAGAGCGAGAGCGAGAGAGGGAGAGAGTGAGAGTGAGAAAAGAGAAAATCAAGGTGTCCTTACCCCCTTAATTGATTTTTTCCTCGAAACTTTGAAAAATCAAGGAATCACAACAGGCGTGAGAGAGGCGAAAGAACAAGAGAGAGAGAGAGAGAGAGCGAGAGAGTGAGAGAGAGTGAAATATATAAAGAGCGCAAATCTACCGGTTTAGGTGACAAAAGGCTACTTCAAACTCAAAGAATCACTAGAGGCCAGAGAGCGAGAGAGACACAGATCGAGAGAGAGAAATTAGAGCCCTGGTCAGCTGTTTCCGCTTTCAAGCGCCGCGAAGGGTGTGGGACGGGCAGTTGTCGATGAATCAGTCGTATTTTGGGGGTGGGTGGCCGAGGTTTAGGAGTGTTGTCATGGCGGGCTGGCAGAGGAACTTTAAGGAAATCAATCGTTATTAGATGAATAATTCGAAGCGGAAATTAGCGAGCGATAGCGGAAAAATGTCCGTATCTCTGGGCATGCTAGCAGAGGGCTTTGTGGAATGAAAGCCAGGGCAGGCTAGCAGGGAACTTTGGGGAAAGAAGTCAGGGCGGGTTAGCAGTGACAATTTGATGCTGATCCTTTGCTGTCCGATTTCGCATAAATCAGGAAATTTCAACCTGGGGGTGATTGGTGGGTTGGGGGAAAGGGACGGAGATAAGCAAAATGGAAATTTGCATCTTCGGGAATGGGAGAGAGAGAGAGAGAGAGAGAGAGAGAGAGAGAGAGAGAGTGGGTGATCCTTGATGGCTACTAGCCCATCTTTTAGGGAAATGAGGGCGCATCTTGCGTGTATTGCGGGACGATATGGAAAGTGGACCGCGTATTTTCGTGAAACGGATGGTAGCGGAAATTTCGCTTTTATCGAAGCCAGTCGAATTAAAATTAAAATTCATTAAAATACTTCAGATACATTAATCAAAAAAAATGATAAAAATTAAACGTTTTCCGATCTAGTTTAAAATTTCACAGATTTTGTAGTTTCAATTTTTGTGGTATCTTCGTGATTACAAATTTTAGATTTAATCTCCTCTTTTGTCAATTTATTGCAGCTGCAAAAGTCATTTGATGTTTGTTTCTGGACTTACCGTGCCCTAAATTTTTACAGTATCTTTAGAAAAATTAGTCGATATTGTAGTTTGTAGTTTGCAGGTCCACAGAATCCCCATCTGTCGCCATCCCTTTAAAATGCAATTTGTCAAGAGGATGATAACCCTTTGAACTGTTTTATTCCACCAGAAATTGTGTGTGTAAGACGTGAGCGATAAATTAAGTGAAGCGAGAGAGAGAGAGAAATAGACACAAAAACGGACAAGAAATACGGTAAGAAGGCAACAAATGGTGTTTGCTCGTGTGTTTTTTGACAAGAATCGGGCAGTGATGTCCACGGGACGGTAATGGGGGGAGAATACCAGGCATAGCACAGACACGATAGACAATTCGATACCTGAAGGGGGAAGGGGCGAGGGGTACCACGCATTGGCGCAACGAGGGGAGTACGGTAGATTTGGGGCACGGTATCGGGTTACGGAAGCTTTAGGGGGATACAGTAATGATCATTTGACGGTTACGGTAGCTCTGGGGGTTACTGTAGCTCTAGGTCCAGAGGGTTATTCTAACCATAGCCTTCGGGTTCCGGTAACGCAAGAGGTATTGTAGCTCTAGCATTCGGGTTACGGTAGCCGTTGCGCTACGTTACGTTACGTTCCGTTAGGTTACGTTCCGCTACGTTACGTTACGCTACGTTCCGCTACGTTTCGCTAGGTTACGTACGCTACGTTCCACTACATTACGTTACGTTACGCTACCGTACGTTACGTTACGTTACGTTACGGTACGTTACGGTACGATACCTTATGTTACGTTACGTGAGGCTACAGCGGCCCCACAAAGTTTACTGTAGTCATACGATATTCCCGAAAATTTGGATTACTGTATCTCCAAAAAGATTACGATAACCAAAAATTCATTAACCGTATCCGCGTTACCGCAGCTCGAGGAAAACAGGAATTTTTTTCTATTTTAAAGGTAGAGTGCCAACATATATTTTAATGCTGTCACACTCCCTTTAAAATGACAGGCAGGCAGCTCAAGAAATT